AACATATGGAACTTTTGGTTAAAAAAAATATTATTTTAAAACCATTTGACTGAATTGTTTCTAAACAAACTTATCAATTAATTAACTCAACAGTAGCAGATTCAGATTAGGGGGGGGGGGGGGGCTTAGAGGAAAAGACCAGTTTTGATTGGAAATTTTGTTCTGTAAACTGACTTTAACAGGTCAAATCATGTTCTGACTTCAAAGAGTCAAACAAAACTTAACTTATTACAACTTTTAAGTCTAGTATTGTCATATTGATTTAAAAATATATAGGTGAGCCAGATAAAAGACAGAGGAAATAAGGTAGCCATAAGTCACAATAATGAGGACTATAAAAAAGTTTACTTGGTATATTCAATATTAAATGTATTTTGTTTTAAACAGGTCAAATCATGTTCTGACTTAAAAGAGTCAGTCCAAAACTAAAATAAATTTATTGAAATATATAAGCTGGGCATTGCCATATGTTATTTAATGAATGTATGGGAACGTCAGATAAAAGACACAGGAAATATATGTAAGATCCCCTAAAATAAATAACCATTTGACTTAATTGTTTCTAAAAACTTATCAAATAATAAACTCGAAAATGGCAGATTCAGAAGCAGGGCTTAAAGGAAGTACACCTAGCTTTGATTGGAAATTTTGTTCTGTAAACTGACTTTAACAGGTCAAATCATGTTCTGACTTCAAAGAGTCAAACAAAACTTAACTTATTACAACTTTTAAGTCTAGTATTGTCATATTGATTTAAAAATATATAGGTGAGCCAGATAAAAGACAGAGGAAATAAGGTAGCCATAAGTCACAATAATGAGGACTTTAAAAAAGTTTACTTGGTATATTCAATATTAAATGTATTTTGTTTTAAACAGGTCAAATCATGTTCTGACTTCAAAGAGTCAAACAAAACTTAACTTATTACAACTTTTAAGTCTAGGATTGTCATATTGATTTAAAAATATATAGGTGAGCCAGATAAAAGACAGAGGAAATAAGGTAGCCATAAGTCACAATAATGAGGACTTTAAAAAAGTTTACTTGGTATATTCAATATTAAATGTATTTTGTTTTAAACAGGTCAAATCATGTTCTGACTTAAAAGAGTCAGTCCAAAACTAAAATAAATTTATTGAAATATATAAGCTGGGCATTGCCATATGTTATTTAATGAATGTATGGGAACGTCAGATAAAAGACACAGGAAATATATTTAAGATCCCCTAAAATAAATAACCATTTGACTTAATTGTTTCTAAAAACTTATCAAATAATAAACTCGAAAATGGCAGATTCAGAAGCAGGGCTTAAAGGAAGTACACCTAGCTTTGATTAGAAATTTTGTTCTGTAAACTGACTTTAACAGGTCAAATCATGTTCTGACTTCAAAGAGTCAAACAAAACTAAACTTATTACAACTTTTAAGTATAGTATTGTCATATTGATTTAAAAATGTATGGGTGAGCCAGATAAAAGACAGAGAGAATAAAGTCCCCATAAGTCACAATAATGAGGACAATAAAAAAGTTTATTTGGTATATTCAATATTAAATGTATTTTGTTTTAAACAGGTCAAATCATGTTCTGACTTAAAAGAGTCAGTCCAAAACTAAAATAAATTTATTGAAATATTTAAGCCGGGCATTGCAGGGCTTAAAGGAAGTACACCTAGCTTTGATTGGAAATTTTGTTCTGCAAATTGACTTAAACAGGTCAAGTCATGTTCTGACTTTAAAAAATCAGTCAAAAACTAAATTTATTGAAATTATTAAGTCAGACATTGCCATTTGATATTAATGATAATGTATGGAAAAATCAATTAATAAACTCAACAGTGGCAGATTCAGAAGGGGGCTAAGAGGAAGAACACATAGCTTTGATTGGAAATTTTGTTCTGCAAATTGACTCAAACAGGTCAAATCATGTTCTGACTTAAAAGAGTCTGTCAAAAACTAAATGGATATGCATAAAATCTGGTTCATAATTTTTGAAAAGATGGAGAGATTAATGAGTCTATATTTTGTTATTCCGACTCACAAATGTCACTATGTGACAAATTTCGGGAATTTTTCTCTCCTTTTGACTGATTCCTATATGTTGTATGGGTGCCATAACTATCACTACAACATGTACAAAGTCAGCACATTCTAAGGGATGCCATCAAAAGACCAATGTAGGATAAAAAAACTTAAATCAAATAGTTTGGGGGTGGGGGTGGGGTTAAAGTTGCTGCAAGTTTTGTTTATCCAAAATCGATTTTACATAAATCCATATTGGTCAATCAATCTTTCCCAAATTAAGTTAAGAGGGGGGGTGGGTGGTCAATGAAAAAACTATGTGATGTGAATTAAGTTTTTTATCCTATATTGAACTTTTGATGTCGTCCCTAATGACTTGACCTATTACAGTATTTCTGTCTGAATTTTTTATGAATATTCTGTATTTACTAATTTAACTACATGTATGTTATTGCAAGTGTATTAATTAGTATTGTTTATTACTTATATTAAACTAAACCTCTATTAATCAATTATCTTTACTCTAAATGCTTCATGTGGCTAAGCATCTGGGGTAAGAATTATAGATGTGTAATTTCAGAGGAAAACAAATATGCCAAATTTTTTTTTTTTTTCATATAGATTAGACCGTTGGTTTTTCCGTTTGAATGGTTTTACACTAGTAATTTTTTTGAGGCCCTTTATAGCTTGCTGTTCGGTGTGAGCCAATGCTCCGTGTTGAAGGCCGTACCTTGACCTATAATGGTTTACTTTTATAAATTGTAACTTGGATGGAGAGTTGTCTCATTGGCACTCATACCACATCTTCCTATATCCATGTAATTAATAAGATGTGATGCATGTGAGAGGAAAATAATACTGAATAGACAATTCTGTTTGCACAAACACTGATAAATATAATATGTAAAGGTGGTCTCTCAGCAGATTAAAATAAACAAGAAATAATTGTAACAGGATGCTGTTACGAAGTCTCCCAAACAAATTTAAGCTCTCATAATTCGTCATTCCCATGGTTGCCTGACATTGGGCAAGTTCCAGTACAAATTGGTTTTGTCTAGTAAAGTGATATGCATAAGTGACTCCTAGGGTTTGACCCTGCATGTCATTCAAATCTTCTTGAAATGACGAACAGGAATATCATATGGTTTACCTTTAGGGGTGGTGATCCAGAACATTTCAAAAAGGGGGATGGGGATGACCCCAATGGACTTCCCCTATATTTCATTTGATTTGTTTTATTGTCCTGTGCAAGAATGTATATGGTGTAGGGGTGGGGATCTCGACTGTTTACAAGTTATCAAACATGAGGGGGTGGGGTGACCCTCAGGGACTCCACCTTTATTTCATTTGATTTGTCTTATTCACCCTTACAAGAATATATATGGTTAAGGGGTGGGGATCCCGACCGTTTACAAGTTTTCACACAGGAGGGGGTGGGGGTGACCCCAAGGGACTTCCCCTATACTTCATTTGATTTGTTTTATTGTCCTATTCAAGAAAATATATGGTTTAGGGGTGGGGATCTCGACCGTTTACAAGTTTTCAAACAGGAGGGGTAGGGGTGACCCCCAGGGACCTCCCCAACATATCATTTGATTTGTTAAATTGTCCCATACAAGAATATATATGGTTTAGGGGTGGGGATCTCTACCGTTTACAAAATATAAGAATATTTGCAAATGGCAGGGGGTGGGGGTAAACCTGGAGACTAGCCCGGTATATTTCATTCAAATCAATTTGACATTATAAAGAGCAATAGAGAAATGACAGGGATAGGGGTGATCCCTGGAGACTTGCCCTACATTTCATTTGATTTGTTTTATCATGTCCCATGATCATAAATGAAGACCAGGTGTGTGCATCACTTATTGTTCTCAAGTTATAACTTTAAAAATAAAATAAAAAACCATTGGGTTCTTTAGTTAAACCCCTCCCTTCCTTTTTCTTTTATTAAAATTTTTCCCATTTTCGTTTCATTATCATCATATCAATATTCACAATGATCGTTTTTCTCATAGGGAGAAACGAATCAGAAAGGTTAAAACATCAGTTCGTGATTGAGTTTAAAAATAGAAAAATCACGTGACGATGTTCAGCTCGAAGCAATAATTTTACTTTTTAAATTGCACTGACTGGTTAATAATGTTAATATTGTTTAAGACAACACGAGTTATCTCCCGAAAATAACAATTCATTATCATAACAACATTTTCTGACCTGAACAAGTCAGAATTGTCAAACACCAGGTCATCTAAAAGACCACGCGTCCGTATTTACAGGTCGCGCGCCTTCATGCAACAGCAAAAAAATCACTTGCAATGAACTTCTTTATAGGCAAAAAATATAAAAATGCCCATGAAAATACGGAGGTAATATGAATTACCTTTCTAAAAATGCCCACAATGACCTAGATTTTCACTAAAAATCGTAAATAATCAATATAATATTCAATGACTTCTCGTTCGAGACACTTCCAAAACAACGACTCTCAAACACGTGATCTCTTGCAAAAAACCACGTGATCGTATGTGTCGTAGATCGGCGGCAAATTCAAAATAACTTCTGGTTTGACGGACTCGAGTGAAAACTACGCAAAACAATAATTGACGCGTACAGGTCAGAATTTCAAAACACTTTCTGACTTGAAGAAGTCATTTTATTCTGACTTGTTTATGTCAGAGCTCTGACTGAAAACAGGTACTTCAGATCTGACAAACAGGCAAAATGTACCCTCTTTTTAAAATGTGGTGCAGTTTTTTTAAATATTCAAATTTATAAGTCATAAAGTGTTCTACAATGATTACCAGTCATTCAGCTTTCATTTGATACCAAAAATAGCTAAATATTCTACATATTTTGAAAGTTACACTCATGCGTAGGAACTATTTTGTGTTAAATATGTACTACTTTCTGGTATGTGCTTTCAGGCTGGGCCCGAATTAGTGGTGTTACACCTTAAACATTATCTGATTATATTACCTTAATTCTAAGTCTTGATTGTGTTTCATATCTTATTTCTACTGTTAGATCATTGATGGCTTCTGGGTAAGGTGATTGTGTGGTCCTTATAAGATCTGCATTTAATCCTAATTTTGTGTTGTATACTTTATTGACCTTGTATCCTTCATAATTAGATGGATAGTAACACCAAGGAACATTCAATGGAGGAACTATTCCTGCTGACTGGTTTACTGTCAGTCTCAATACTGGTTTCCAGCAACATCCTCTCTTCTCACAGTTAGTCTGAGTTATTGCCCCTTCAGGATCACAATCAAATCTATCTTCATTCCTTACTTTTGTACACTGTTGATTATTTTTAGGTCTTTGATGGGTCCTGTTCTGTTCAATCCCTTCTAATTTTATGTCATTGACAATATAAACAGTTTCTACTATCTCTGCTTCATATACTTCATGTTGTTCTAGATTACCAGAGACTCTGTATACCTGTTGGGCTGAGGAATCTCTGGTCTTATTACATGGACAGAAGAAGACCTTTACATAGGGTACCAGCACAGCATTAAACCAGAGCAGAACTGTCACTATGACAATTAAACTCAGTAGGACAATAATAGTTATTCTTGAACTTTCAGCCATACCAAATTTATGTGTACTCTATATTCAAACCTGAAAATTAAAAGAGAAATATAATCTTTCATGATGTGTTTACTTTTTTTTGTTTTCAGCTGTTTCTGACTAAAATTATAAGGTAATACAAAAATCTGAACAAACTGTCATGAAAAATAAGTTCCTTCATAATAGAAGTTCCAAATGGAAGAAATATTATGTAATATCATTTCAACTGGATATGTTCCTTACGGAATAACAGGTATAGAATTTGTTCCAACAGGAGCATATATTATGGCATATTTATAACAAAGTTTCCAGGGGAAATTCTGTTAGGCAGAAAAAATATACATTGACAGGGGTCAGCATCAAACAATTTATATGACATATTCAACTTAAGAATAAAGAAAAATGATATTCAGCAATGGATGAAGAGCCATGATTTAATATAAGCATTTATATCTTCTTTCATAAGACAAAATAGCTATAACTTACAAGTTATCAATTCTAGCTTCTTGTACAGTAATCATGATAAATTTTATTACATTATATTTTTTATATAATTACACCTTATATAAGAATGCCGGATTTTGATTGGTTGGTAACCAGTGTATTTTTTGCATATTCCAACCTTTTTTCCTCATTTCAAACGAAATTTGCCTTTTTTTCACCACTGCCGGTGAATATGCCTCAAATTCCCCTCTATGCCGTGGTATTTGCCATTTTGGATATTTCATTTTTACCCTCGCGAGCCTCTTCCTGCAAAAATTATTCGGAACCTTTCTCACCTGATCCTAATTATTAAGGCAACATGATTAAGCAATATTGATTTTATAACTCCTCATCCGGAAATAATTCCAATGAGAAGGTATTCCATGATTGGAATTTAATACGTATAGAAGAAGAAGATTGATAGAGGTAATCCAAAAACTGTAAACAAAAATGACAACACGACTGCAGGCACCAATCGCGTGATCGTATATTGAAGAATGCGTTGTGTATATAAAGTGGAAAAAGACGTCTATACAAATGAACGATTAAATGACGGAATGACAATGACATTTACACATAGATACTATAATGTTACATAAAGACAGCGCTAATGCGTATAAGTACATGTATAATTCCCGCTGTACTATGATAGTCTCTACTTTAATAACCTCAAAATTATGCATAAACATATTTATGGATTACAGATTACTAGTGAAAAAAAAATTTTCCCTTCACCTGTAAAGATAGTTTCAATCAAAATCTATTCGGTGTAATTAAACAGATATATCATGTTATGGAGGGGTATTTGCGAAAAATACCAGTCTTGGGACCAAAACTTCACAGTCCCTTTACTGGTATTTTTTGCAAATACCCTTCCATAACATGATATATCTGTTCATAATCCATTGCATGAAGGTTATTGACTTCCTACCTGCTGAACTTGATATCACTTTGAAAAGAAGAAAAGCCATGAGATAGCCTTTTATCTTAGTTTGATATAATCTATATACATTTAAATATTCTTATCATAATGATATATATAGATTATAAGGCCAGATAAAAAACATTGTGTGTTTACTGCTTTTTCCATATGAAAAATATGTTAAGTAGGTAGGAATACACCTTATCTATATTTGTCCGCCATTACTGGATATCACAAAGGTTTCCGTAAAATTTTGACATCATAATAGAAAATATCTGACAGGGCTCGACAATAACGCTTGTCCGATTGTCCGGTACCAGAGGAAAAAAAGGTCGGACAAGTAAAAGCTATATCAAGCTTGTCCGACGGGACAAGTTAAATTATTATGCAGAAAATAAATTTAATCCAACTTTGATGAACAAAGTAATTATAAACAAAAAACAAGAAAAGAAGATAAACACAAGTATTAATTTGACATGTTTACTTGCAATCGATAATTTGAAACTGGTTCTTTGTCAGGTACTTTTTAACAGGTAAAAGGCATACATGTACTATTCTCGGAAACCAGTCTTACTGATCCGAATCAGGATGCGCTTTGTAGATAAGGTAACTTTACAAGACAGTTCGTCACCAGCTCAGAACGATTCGGCTCCAAGTTTAATAGACAGTTTGGCACTGTAGGAGACATATTTAATAGACATGATTGATAGACAGTTTGGCAACGCAGGAGACATTTCGGGACCAAGACAAATCAGTACCTCGTTTTCCTACCTTATTCTGTTGCTTTATAATAAATACCATACCGTATTTTTTTTAACAAAAATATTTTTTAAATAAAAATGAAGAAATTATTTACCATAAAATTCCCAAATCATATTTGATCATATATAGAAGAAAAAAACAATACTTGCAATACGGTGACCTATAGTTATTAATTTCTGTGTCATTTGGTCTCTTGCAGAGAGTTGTCTCATTTGGCAATCATACCTCATCTTCTTTTTTTTTTATTGATTGAATTTGAAGAAACTTTTTTCAACTTAAAAAACCAGGATACAAATCCAATGAGTGGAAATTGACAGACCTATCAGACGGTGCCTCATGTGTAGAGTCTGATGAGACTTTGGCATTGATGAAAACTAGAACATAAGTCCTGTGACATGACTAGATTCAGTTGTTCTCGACTCATATTTTTAAAAGGTATTTCAAAAGATATAAATCAAATTCTGTTCTATTGTTTTAATTCATTTTGTTCCTTGAATCAACTTAAAATGCAAAAAAGGTTATTATTAAGATTTTTGTTGGACAAGTTACAATTTCATTCGGACAAGTAAGTTTTGGTATGTACTTGTCCTACTGGACAAGTTGGAAAAAAAGTTATTGTAGAGGCCTGTCTGACGCCACAATGGAAAAGAGATTGTTGTATGACGTCAATAGTTCAAGAGGCGCAGATTCTCGGGTCAAGTAGTGGAATTTCCAAACAGCGATAAGGTCTATATATTTTTATTTTACTCTATTTTTTTACCTTGAGAACATGGGGAGACCTTTGATTCTGTCATGATAATTGTACATGAGTACCTGGGAATTCGCCATGATTCTTCTCCCTATTTTGAGTACATGGGAGACCATTATCTCTTTTGGGATTGTGTGGCGATCTAATCAGATAATTACTTTGGACACAGAATCACAAAAGGGATTAGGGAGACATTGGATTTTATCATCATTTTTCTCTGTATTTTACTTCGAGTACACAGGGAGACCTAGGATTTTGTCATCATTTTTCTCTGTATTTTACCTTGAGTACACAGGAGACCTTGGATTTTGTCATCATTTTTCTCCGTATTTTACCTTGAGTACACAGGGAGACCTTGGATTTTGTCGTCATTTTTCTCCGTATTTTACCTTGAGTACACAGGGAGACCTTGGATTTTGTCATCATTTTTCTCCGTATTTTACCTTGAGTACACAGGGAGACCTTGGATTTTGTCATCATTTTTCTCCGTATTTTACCTTGAGTACACAGGGAGACCTTGGATTTTATCAACATACCTCTCACTTTTTTTACTACCAACAGTGCCAGTATCATTTTTTGGTAGGCATGCTGAGGCCTGAAAAGGATAGGTAGGGAAAATCTATAAAACACAAGTATCTTTTCTTTTGGCCTAATACACCTTATCGCTATTTGTCCGCCATTACTGGACATCACACAAGTTCCCGTAAAATTTTGACGTCATAATAGAAAATGTCTGACGCCACAATGGAAAAGTGATTGTTGTATGACGTCAAAAGGTCGAGCGGGATAGATTCTAGGGTCAAGCGGGAATAGCGATAAGGTGTATGAATCAATGAAAACAGCTGATCAAGATATGGACATATACAATGTATAATGTGAGTTATATTTACATGTGCAGTATTTTGAATTTATATACACTCTTTTTGTGTTTTTGCATACTTACAAAAAAGATGCGACACTTTACATGATAAAAAGATCAGTTTTCGAAAAACAATCCAAATTCAGAAGGTTATTATTTGGGATGAAAATATAATTGTTAGATTATGACGGAAAGGTTCCGGATTATTTCCGTAAATTGCCGGTGAAGTGAAGATAAGAAAACTTCAACTTTATTCTAAATGCATAAACGATAAAAACCAAGCTCTTTTGAAATTTTGTCTGGTAACTAATCACAATATCACTTTTATACTTGGTGTTTTTTTTTTTCTGAATAATTGTACCTGTAGTTCAGTTCAGACTTGGACAGAAGAATAGTAAACTGACTAAATAACTAATTCTGTCCAAGATAAAATCCGGAACAAAAGGATCCTATAGGGGGCACGGTAGTATTTCCTAGCCCATAAGGGATAATGATAGCCTTTTTAGAATTTCCACCACTTTCTAACACTGCCAAAAACTGCTTAAACAGTTAACTGAAGTACTTTCATTATACTATTCAGAAATGAATTTGAATATATGTATCATGACCGTTTACTTTTTTTATATCTTTAAAAACCTAATGCCACTAGTGCTTTTAGGTCTTTTATCATGCAGTGAATACAAAATTTAAAAAAATTCTCAAAAATTCATTTTTACCTGTATGTAAAATTATTTCATATTTTTCTACACCTGATTCATCCCTCAGTTTGGGAAAGTGTGTTCAGTTGATACTGTATTTTTTGTCCAATCACATTGTTCAGATACATTGACCTAACACAAAAGAGCAACCTAAATTCTGGAATGCAAATACTACCGTGCTACCTATACGAACTGGGACATAATATATTATCCCAGGTTCAGTAAATTATTAAATGGGAACCCTTATTGCCCCCGAACTAAACTTTGAAGCCTGCTTTTTATTGCTTGAGTTGTAGCTATTTTGTTGTTGATATTGCTCTTTACGTCTTTAATTGTGCTGTGTTTCTACTGGCGTTATCAGTGTATGTATGATATATGAAAACCCGAATTAAATAAACATTACTTACTTACTTACTTACTCAACACATGCAAACAACATATTCAAATTTCCTTCGAGCACCAAGATTGATTGTTGGTTGTTTAACATCCAGAGGCAAATATTTCATATTCCTGACTTGTTACAGACATTTCCTTATGTAGAAAATGGTGGATTAAACCAGAAACATATATATGTTTCTGATTAAACCTGGTTTCATAGCTAGCTAAACCTCTCACTTGTGTGACAGTCGCATATAATTCCAGTATACTGAAAACAAAGTGTTAGCAAAAAAACAGAAATGATAAGTAATAATGTCAAAAATTGGGGTACAGCAGTCAACATTGTGTTATAATCTTAATCATTGCGAGACCCTCATGGGTAGTCAAGGTCGTTAAACACCCCCTAGTAGTATTATAAAAACAAACAACTATGTCAACAAAGAAAAACAAAATGGCATATAGACACTATATAGACAAATAGAAATGAGAAGGTGTGGTATGAGTGCCAATGAGACAACTCTCCATCCAAGTCACAATGTGTAAAAAGTAAACAATTATAGGTCAAAGTACGGCCTTCAACACGGAGCCTTGGCTCACACCGAACAGCAAGCCCAAAATGACTAGTGTAAAACAATTCAAACAGGAAAACAAACGGTCTAATCTATATAAAAAACGAGAAACGAGAAATACTTAACAATCACATCAACAAACGACAACAACTGAAACAGGTGCCTGACTTAGGGCAGGTGCAAACAAATGCAGCGGGTTTAAACGTTTTAACAGGCGCCAACCTTCACCGGCCCTAACCTGAAATAGTACTGTAACATTACAACATAGAAAGACACACTATAAAATATCAATTGAAATGGCTTAACTCGATCAAAAAAACTACTGTGCCAAATGCTACCAATCTTTACCTGGATGTTCCTTATGGAATCTACTTAAGCAATTTGTATCCTGAAATTACATATTAACAAAAACAAGTAAAACATACACTGAACGAATAAATTTGATCTATGACACAATGTCAAAAAGACAACTATAACCTTGAACAAAATGGCGTTAAATGAAATAACGTATAATGTGTCGGGATTAAACATGCCTGTAAATGTTAAACTCTCCCCTAACCCACGACAGTTGTGGAACAGCACAACATTAGTAAGTATAAGAGTTTTCACACATGTACACACAACCTCTAAAGAGCTCCTACAACCGAATATATAAATCATATGCATATGAACACATGTATAAATAATATGCATATACACACATAATAGAAATCATATGCATATAAACACACAAACACTATAAAGAAAAAATCCTAAAAGCATGCAGCACAATAAATACTTTAGACAAAAGAGCACCATGTCCCAGGTTAGCATGGTTAGAAGGGTTCGTGTTGCTTAATCTTTAGTTTTCTGTGTAGTTTTTTGTTTTTGTTTTCGTTTTTTGTTTTTTAGTCGGTCTTCTTTATTGCCGTGGTGTTGCTTGTTTTTATTCAGCCTATGCTATAGGTATCTTCTCTCTCTCTTTTATACACTGCATCCTTGACAAATTTATGGTAAAGTTGTTAGAACTACTTTTCTCCGTTTACCTTTTAGAGATAAACGTTTTTTTTTATATATCTTAACGGGGCATTAGCTGTCAAATTCATCATCACCGATTTGACTCACTGAATTCTTATATTCGACTTATAACATACTAAAACCCATATTCAAATTATAAAAAGTCTAAAATAAACAATTTACCGGGTGCATAGACTCGATAGTATGTATCAGCATTTCGTGTGTATTGTAGTCTAGACGCCATCTAATTAACCATCGAGGTGACCTCCGAAGACTGCCGACGGTCATATAACCCGATATAAACATAAACATAGATATAAATAGATTACGAACTCGTGCAATTGGATTTTTCTAGGTCGGTTTGATTTCATATTATAGGTTAAAACATATGTTTGATAATCGTTTTTACCTGTATAAGAATGACTTTTTCTAGATCGAATCAGTCAACCAAATATATATATATATATATATTATTGTGAAACTACCCCTTTACAACGGGGACAAGCGCAAGCGGGGTACTGACACCTGCGTCATTAAAACATAGTATTTACAAACAACATTATATGATTGTAGTAAAACATGGTAAAAGCATAGACATGTGTATATATGTCTCTGGTACAAGATACTTGCAAATATTCAAAAGTCTAATAAATACATTGAGGCGCTAAAATAGCATAATACATCGGTTATTTCGTAAAAGTACATTACAGTAACAAGTTCATATTCATCTATTATTTGAAATCTTTCTGTCGTCCGTAAAAGATAAAGATTTCAACCTTGAAACCAAATGGTTTACCCTTGTTTCACTTCCAATGTTTACATTCTTTTGAAATTTCCATTTATTAACTGAACACGCCTAGTTCATGCGTAACCCATATTAAAGTTAACATGAATACGGATTCAATGAGGTCGAATTATTCACTTGCAAGGGAATAATTCATTCGCGATGTTTCTTTGCTTATTTTGACAAAACTGAACCAAACTGGTTGTTAAAAAGCGAAATATTATTTCACTATTTCACTTAAGATTAAAAAAAAAATTAAAAAAATCATATTTTACTTTTTTTTTTATATCTCGTAGCTAATGCCCTTTAAATACAAACGAAAACGAAAGTAGCTCTTTAGAAAATATAGTTAACTGAAACAATAACCTGAGCTGTATATATAAATGTATATGAATAAAAATGTATATAAAATATCGTCAATATGTACATGATTCGTGTCTTACCCTTGAGTGTTACTTCCTCATAAGATTATTTAATGTAAAACAATTAATCCATAAATATTACATCCATGTACTTTAACAAAATATCCTGATAAGTATTTTCATATGATACAGTGCTACACACGTGCTTGTAAGGAGACAGGGGATACCTAATATATAAATACTGCTGATCATGCAGTTATCACTCACCAGGACAATGATCACACATAGCTGTCGGGTTAGATGGTGAGAGAGAATTAATGGGGAAAGGAGTTATAATTCACATATTTCTTCTTTATATTAACAATACTCATTCTGAACATTTAGTAATTTTACTTTTTATGTCCCCATTTAACATACGATTTTAATACAGCCACTTGTATTTGAAATATTGTAAAAACGTAGTGTGTGAACATGGACCTCCGCCTATTCTTTTCCCTTTCTGCTCACCAGGCCCAGGTGAGCTTTTTTCATCACTTGTCGTTTGTCCATTGTTTTAAACTTGATTAAAAATCTTCTCCTTTGAAACTACTGTGCCAAATGCTACCAATCTTTACCTGGATGTTCCTTATGGAATCTACTTAAGCAATTTGTATCCTGAAATTACATAAAATGTTAAAACTGCCAATTGACCCATAAGAGGAGTTACTGCCTTGGTGAGATCCGTGCATTTTTATAGAATCTACAATAGATATCGAGGAACAGACACTTACAAACATGTTGAGTATAACCAGATCTATAAATAAGTTAACATAGTGGAATTGTCAACCAATTCTTTATAGAATGATGTTCTTACATATTTTTTCTATTTTTTGTCAAACCTCTAGTAGATGGAAACTTTAAAAAGCAAAACAGATAAGTAAATTGAGATCTACAAGTTATAGTGAATATGGCTAAACTGTCAATCTCCCAATATGAATATCCCTGAGTTGCCTGAAATGATGATTTTCTACTGATTTTTTTAATTTTGCCAATTATACCTTGAAAAATTAGACAGTAAAAATGATTATCAATACAATATCTACAAAAATGCCACTAAATGAGATTTACAAATAAGCAAACATAACTTTTGAAATAAAGATAAAAATTAATATCCAAATGTGATATTTTTACCTGTTGAACCATTCAGGCTCTTCAGAACCTTCTGTTTTATTTGGGTTTACGATTTTTGATTTGCTTTTCTTTGATATTTCAACTCATTTTCCTTTATTCCAGGTGTTCTTGATCTTTTTGCTGCTAATGATTTCTCTCTTTCTACTATATACAGTTCACCAAAGACACAGAAATGGGTAAAACATTGTAGCTAAAGGGCAATAACTCCTATATGGTTTCTATTATATTGACTTTTTTGTAGATCATTTTTGCTGATACTTTTTTGTTTACAGTTTTTCTCTTTCTATTTTTTTTTCTAAAAATAACACAAAAATCATTTCAAGAGCGTTTAACTACTTTTAAGGTCATCTGACGATTCCAGTCACATTTTTTGCACTTGTAGATCTTGTCTAGCTTATTGATTTTTTGCTGTTTAAAGTTCCTTTATTTTAGTTTTCAAGATAATAGCAAAAAATGCAAAAATTGGTAAAAAAAAATCATTATTCAAGTACAGTAACTTATAAGGAAACGACTTACAATTTCGACTTTATTGTCCTAATTTGAGAACTTTTCTAGCTGATAATTTTTAGATTAAAATTAAAGTGACTGTAGTTACCAAATTTCTGAATCTTGTAAATCAATTAAAAAGAGACAAATCAAGGGAAAAAACAAAAACTTAGGGAATTCAATGAACACTTAATGGGGCGAGGCTGAGTGAATCGACAGGGTAAGTGTCTTCTGCTTTACATGCACCACCTGCCATACAAATTCACTCTCAATCAAAATGTCAGAATCAGAGATAGGATACAATTGGTTAAATTACAGATCAGATTACTTTATTGGTAACTTAAGATCAAAGACAGCAAAAACATGTCCCTAGTGTGTTGAGACATTGACACATGGTATCGGTCAACCACTTCGTGATGGTGATCAATAAACTTATTTAGTGTCAATTTCAGTTGTTCATAGTCCTAACCCTGTTGGATCAGTTTTTGTGTAAGGGGCAATCCCTTGTAAAAAAGGTTTATTTGTCAAACAATTTGTATGTATGAAATATTTGCCCCTGGATCTAAATAAAACATTAATCAATCAATCAATTGCACCATTTTTTTATGATGCATTTGAGCAATGAAGATCTGATTACTTTCATGTTTTCATGTCATTCACTAATCATTACTACTCAGACAAACGATATCAGATTTGACCAATGTAGATCTGATTACTTTCATGCTTTATGGTCATTCACTAATCATTACTACGGAGACAAACGATATCAGGTTTGAGCAATGTAGATCTGTTTACTTTCATGGTTTCTTGTCATTCACTAATCATTACTACACAGACAAACGGTATCAGATTTGAGGAATGTAGATCTGATTACTTTCATGCTTTATGGTTATTCGTTAATCATTACTACGGAGACAAACGATACCAGGTTTGAGCAATGAAGATCTGATTACTTTCATGGATTCATGTCATTCACTAATAATAACTTTTGTGACAGACGATATCAGATCTGAGCAATGTAGATCTGATTACTTTCATGGTTTCATGTCATTGGGTAATCGTTACCACGGAAACAAACGATATCAGATTTGAGCAATGAAGATCTGATTACTTTAATGGTTTCATATCATTCACTAATCATTACTACACAGACAAACGATATCAGATTTGAGCAATGTAGATCTGATTACTTTCATGCTTTATGGTTATTCGTTAATCATTACTACGGAGACAAACGATATCAGGTTTGAGCAATGTAGATCTGATTACTTTCATGGATTCATGTCATTCACTAATCATTACTACACAGACAAACGATATCAGATTTGAGCAATGTAGATCTGATTACTTTCATGCTTTATGGTTATTCGTTAATCATTACTACGGAGACAAACGATATCAGGTTTGAGCAATGTAGATCTGATTACTTTCATGGTTTCATGTCATTCACTAATCATTACTACACAGACAAACGATATCAGATTTGAGCAATGTAGATCTGATTACTTTCATGCTTTATGGTTATTCGTTAATCATTATTACGGAGACAAACGATATCAGGTATGAGCAATGTAGATCTGATTACTTTCATGGATTCAAGTCATTCACTAATCATTACTACTCAGACAAACGATATCAGATTTGAGCAATGAACATCTGATTACTTTCATGGTTTCATGTCATACACTAATCATTACTACTCAGACAAACGATATCAGATTTGAGCAATGTAGATCTGATTACTTTCATGCTTTATGGTCATTCACTAATCATTACTACGGAGACAAACGATATCAGGTTTGAGCAATGTAGATCTGTTTACTTTCATGGTTTCATGTCATTCACTAATCATTACTACACAGACAAACGATATCAGATTTGAGCAATGTAGATCTGATTACTTTCATGCTTTATGGTTATTCGTTAATCATTACTACGGAGACAAACGATATCAGGTTTGAGCAATGAAGATCTGATTACTTTCATGGATTCATGTCATTCACTAATGATAACTTTTGTGACAGACGATATCAGATTTGAGCAATGTAGATCTGATTACTTTCATGGTTTCATGTCATTGGTTAATCGTTACCACGAAAACAAACGATATCAGATTTGAGCAATGAAGATCTGATTACTTTAATGGTTTCATGTCATTCACTAATTATTACTACACAGACAAACGATATCAGATTTGAGCAATGTATTTCTAATTACTTTCATGGTTTCATGTCATTAACTTATCACTATTACTCAGACAAACGATATCAGATTTGAGCAATGTAGATCTTATTACTTTTATGGTTTTATGTCATTCGGTAATCATTACTACATAGACAATGATATCAGATTTGAGCAATGAAGATCTGATTACTTTCATGGTTTCATGTCATTAACAAATCATAACTTCTGAGACAGACGATATCTGTATATAGTAATAAACAAGAGTGTACTCGCAGAAATGTCTCGCCTTCTTTACTGACCATTGATTTTATGTTGATAGTCCTAAATGTAAAGCTTTACTACAACTATCACATAAACTTAACATGATAAAAAAAAATGAGGTCAAGGTCAGATAAACCAAACGGGAAATACAATCATTCCATACACCAAAGATGCTTTAAATATAGTTGACCTAATGCACATAGTATTTAAGAAACAAACTTAACCGGGAAAATTCAACATTGATCAATGAACCATGAAAATGAGGTCAAGGTCAGATGAACCCTGCCAGACAGACATGTACACCTTACAATCATTACTTGCTTTAAATATAGTTGACCTATTGCATACAGTATCTAAGAAACAAACTTAACCAGGAAATCTTAAGATTGACCAATGAACCATGAAAATGAGGTCATGGTCAGATGATAATTGCCAGACAGACATATACAACTTACAATCATTCCATACACCAAATATAGTTGACCTATTGCTTATAGGACTAGAAAAACAGACAAAAAAACAAAAACTTAACATTGAGCAATGAACCGTAAAAATGAGGTCAAGGTAAAATAAAACATGCCAGACTGACATATACATTGTAAAATATTTTCATATATACACAAAATATAGTTGACCTATTGCATACAGTATTAGAAAAACAGACCAAAACACAAAAACTAAACTTAAACCACTGAACCCTGAAAATGAGGTCAAGGTCACATGACACCTGCCAGTTGGACATGTACACCTTACAACGTCTTCTGTCAAATATCGTTAAAAAACGTAAATCTAAAAGAAGACATGAAAACAACTGATGTTTCATGAAAGTTATAGAGATGATAGTTGTTTTAAGCCAATCTTTACATTTGTTTTCCTTTATCCAATATAAAATAAGTAGATTTGGTATGATTGCTACTGAGATAACTCTCCACTAAAGTCTCTACAGGCACTCAGGCTTCCTTCACCAATAAAAACTGACGGCCACAAAATAGCCAAGTGTTGAAAGTGGCCTTTGACTAGTTCAAGGATGAAGATAAATATAATTATCATTATGGCCTTTAGGAATGACTGAAATGGGGTTTGGTGTTAGGTTTCACTTTACATGGATGAAGTTTTCATCTTAAGAGAAAATACTAATGAAAAGCTGAGATTAAATACATCTGCTACTATTATTCAAACACAATGTTAGTTTAAAACTTTTAATTACAAAGAAATATCACAATATAGCTGTAAAGCTTTGATTTATTTGACAGAACATTCTGGAATTAGACGAAGGATATAAAAAAACAAGAGTGTACACGCTGATATGTCTCGCCTGTTTTACTTATCATTGAATTTATGTTGAAAGTCTGTTATATGAAGGTTGTCTGTTCTATGGTCGGGTTGTTGTCTCTTTGACACATTCCCCATTTCCATTCTCAATTTTATTTACTACAAGTATCACATAAACTTGACCAATGAACCAGCAAAATGAGGTCAAGGTCATATGAACCCTCTGAGACAGACATTTACACCTCACAATTGTTCCATACACTCATATACATATAATTGACCTATTGCTTATAATATCTGCGAAATAGACGAAACCACAAAAATAAAAAATTGTCCTATGAACCATTAAAATGAGGTTGAGGTCAGATGAAGCCTGCCAGATGGACATGTACACCTTTCAATCAATCCATACACCAAATATAGTTGACCTATTGCTTATATTATCTGAGAAATAGACCAAACCACAAACACTACTCATTGTCCAATGAACCATGAAATTGAGGTCGAGGTCAGATGAAACCTGCCAGATGGACATGTACAAACTTTCAATCAATCCATACACCAAATATAGTTGACCTATGGCTTACAGTATCTGAGATAAGGACTTGACCATGTAACATTAACCTTGATCACTGATCTATGTATTAAGGTCGAGGTCAGGTGAACCCTACTGGACCGACATGTAGATGTTGCAAGGAACCCATATACCAAATATAGGTATCCTATTATTAGTATTTTACATAACAAAAAAAATGTAATTTTTTTCAAGCAGTCACTGTACCATGAAAATGAGATCAAGGATAATGGACATGTAACAGACGGAAACATCGTAACATAAGGTATCTGCATACATGGTATGAAGCATCCAGGTCTTCTACCTTCTGAAATATAAAACTTAAACAAATAGTTTACAAGGTTGCCGCTGCCAAATTGTAATACCTATCTCTCGTCACAAATCATCACATTTTACATCAAATATGTTTTGACATGACAAAACTTTATTATAAACAAAAAATACATTTAACAAGAACTTTGATTTAAGTAACAAAAGGATGCCCTGCCTTGTAATACTAATATTTCATGTAATTCAGGAGGATTTGTGCTTAAAGATACTACTGCCAAAATGTTGCAATATTTAAATAAGTGGATTACCTCTCCTATAACATGTAAGAACAGGATAAAATTACTGGGTAGTGTTCTATAACTCTGTAAAGTGCCATCAATATAGGAGGGTATAACATATATTATTTCAACCGCTTTTGTGAGTTGGTTCATATGGCAGTTATGTGCTCCCGCAAAAATCTACAAAATACTAGTATTTAAATACAAAGCATATGGCACATAACTTAACAAATATAAAGTTATAACATAACAATAACAACTAGTTGTGGACTATCTGTAACATCATATTATCATAAAACATAACTGTGTCACCTCCATACATTAACCTGCTTAACTCAAAACAATATGGTGTGGTAAAAGTAGAAGAATTGAAATATTTTGGTCCTATCTAAGCACGAATGAAAGAAGATGAGGGGTAGAAACCCAACAACATATAAAGCAAAAGAAATTTAGAGGTCAGCATACTACCTAGATATGTTTTCCTGTTTTTAATCACTTGAAAACTAAACTTATCACAGTAAATTCATATTAGCTTCCAATACATAGAAACTATAAAACAGTTATATAAAACAGTTATCTGACAGATTCTATACAAAAATTGCTTGAAAAAATAATGAATATTTCAGGTAATCTTTATTGCTCAATCAATAAAAAGCTTCATTTTATGATGTATCATATTTTTCCTTTATTTATTGTTCATCTTAAGGCTAATTGAGTTTAAGATGAATTTTAAATATTTTTGCTGCTTCAGGTACCTACTTCAGAGTTCAGGAAGTTTTAATAGATCCTTTACTATGTAAATAAATACAGTCTGTCAAAAGGCCCTTTATTACTATTGTGGAGGCAATTCAAATACAACAGCCACAAAAGTATTAAATCAATAAACTTTTTTGTTCTGTAATTTTGTAAAGAATATCTCGTAGTGACTGATCATCTATTGTTTTTGCTTGGACCTATATCAAGACTGATTCTGAAGAACTTTTGAATATGGCTAAAACTGAGGTGATAACAGGAAATACTTGTTTTTACTTAGTGTTTATATTGTTTTGATATGTCTAGGACAGGAAATACTTGTTTTTACTTAGTGTTTACATTGTTTTGATATGTCTAGGACAGGAAGTACTTGTCAAATAACTTTAGTGTATCCATATACAACATAATCTAAATACCATTGTAATTGTTATTCTGTAAATTTTATATAAGACTTGTTTAGCAGCATAACACTATATAAATAGCTGCATTATAAAATCCCCATAATTCACACTCAATATCTGTTTTCACAGAAGGAAAAATATAGTTGGTGTAATAAAAGATGGCAAGGTAACAGCATATTATAAAAACAAAGCATTGTTTACTTAAAAATTAATGATATTTTTTTAGTAAGTTATTTATCCTCTAAAAACTCACTGGAGCCTCTAAAATAGTTTATCCTCTAGAAATTTCTTGAAACCTCTCAAATTTGAAAGAAAATAAATAGAAAACTTAAAAAGACCAATCTCCTAATAGAAAATCCCCTCTACAACCAATCTCCTAATGTCCACATGAATATATGTTTTACGATTTTCTTTGTAAACTTCTAAATATGTGTCTCCCAACTGCTTGCTCAGTGAACCTTAAAAAAATCTTTAACCCCTCCACCTTTTTTCACCTGTCCAAAGTCAGGAACCTTTGTTAGTCTTATTTTTTTTTTAAATTTTGGTTCATTTATATGTTTCAGAGTTTAGTGTGTCGTCCATTTCGCTGAACTAGTATACATAATTGTTAAGAAGCCAGCTGAAGTCCGCCTCCAGGTGCGAGATATTCTCACTGCGTTGAAGACACCTTGGTGGCCTTGGGTTGTTTTCTGCTCTTTGGTCGGGTTGTTGTTTCTTTGACACATTCCCTGTTTCCATTCTTTCTTCTAAAAATGTTGTTGTTCAGTTTGGATGTTAACTTAAGGAAATCTGCATTCCTAATAGACAGAAATGGCAAAAACTGTTGTGGCATAGGTTACCATAGAAACCAATCTGATCTAAGAAAATTTAATGGGAAAGGATGTACAACTAAGTTATCTGTCAAGTTTTGTTCCATTCACAGATAAAGTGTTGGGAATAATGTGCTCAAAGGCAAAGGAACCTGGTGATTAAACATTAGGTTGAAAAATTACAATACTATTCATTTAGTAGCACAAGGTTGAAAATGGCAACTCTGTAACTTAGGAGAGCCTATTCAGCCTCTCAAAGTTTTATTTTATTGAAGAATTTAAAAAAATAATAATTATAAAACTAAATAATAAGAAGTTATAAGTCCAAAAATTACATATAAAAAGAAAATCCACATAATATATGTCCCTCACTAAGAGGTTTTACTGTTGAAGATTAACAAAATGAATGCCTAGAATAATAATTTTGAGACATTTTTTGTCACATAAACAATGCAGTTAAAATAGAATATATCCACAATTGTTAAAATTACATCAGAAAGAGTATTTACATCTAAATGAACTATCCTCACATATGTCTCCTGAGAAATATTTAGTTATTGTTGTTTGCATAATCTAAAGTTTATGGAATTACAACTGAATAGCATACAGCCCCTACCTTGTGTCAAGGCCTGAATATAACCTGACATAAGTTACTTCCCTTTGTGTCAAGTAGAACTGGTTCACGACAAAGAAGAGCAATGGTAAACAGGAGGTATTAGATTAACATTGATTATTTCACTATAAATTTATAACCTGACATAAGTTACTTCCCTTTGTGTCAAGTAGAACTGGTTCACGACAAAGAAGAGCAATGGTAAACAGGAGGTATTAGATTAACATTGATTATTTCAATATAAATTGATAAGCTGACATAAGTTACTTCCCTTTGTGTCAAGTAGAACTGGTTCACGACAAAGAAGAGCAATGGTAAACAGGAGGTATTAGATTAACATTGATTATTTCAATATAAATTGATAAGCTGACATAATTTACTTCCCTTTGTGTCAAGTAGAACTGGTTCACGACAAAGAAGAGCAATGGTAAACAGGAGGTATTACATTAAAATTGATTATTTCACTATAAATTCATAAGCTGACATAAGTTACTTCCCTTTGTGTCAAGTAGAACTGGTTCACGACAAAGAAGAGCAATGGTAAACAGGAGGTATTACATTAACATTGATTATTTCACTATAAATTTATAAACTGACATAAGTTACTTCCCTTTGTGTCAAGTAGAACTGGTTCACGACAAAGAAGAGCAATGGTAAACAGGAGGTATTAGATTAACATTGATTATTTCAATATAAATTGATAAGCTGACATAAGTTACTTCCCTTTGTGTCAAGTAGAACTGGTTCACGACAAAGAAGAGCAATGGTAAACAGGAGGTATTAGATTAACATTGATTATTTCAATATAAATTGATAAGCTGACATAATTTACTTCCCTTTGTGTCAAGTAGAACTGGTTCACGACAAAGAAGAGCAATGGTAAACAGGAGGTATTACATTCAAATTGATTATTTCACTATAAATTCATAAGCTGACATAAGTTACTTCCCTTTGTGTCAAGTAGAACTGGTTCACGACAAAGAAGAGCAATGGTAAACAGGAGGTATTACATTCAAATTGATTATTTTACTATAAATTTATAACCTGACATAAGTTACTTCCCTTTGTGTCAAGTACAACTGGTTCACGACAAAGAAGAGCAATGGTAAACAGGAGGTATTACATTAACATTGATTATTTCAATATAAATTGATAAGCTGACATAAGTTACTTCCCTTTGTGTCAAGTAGAACTGGTTCACGACAAAGAAGAGCAATGGTAAACAGGAGGTATTACATTAAAATTGATTATTTCAATATAAATTGATAAGCTGACATAAGTTACTTCCCTTTGTGTCAAGTAGAACTGGTTCACGACAAAGAAGAGCAATGGTAAACAGGAGGTATTACATTCAAATTGATTATTTTACTATAAATTTATAACCTGACATAAGTTACTTCCCTTTGTGTCAAGTACAACTGGTTCACGACAAAGAAGAGCAATGGTAAACAGGAGGTATTACATTAAAATTGATTATTTTACTATAAATTTATAACCTGACATAAGTTACTTCCCTTTGTGTCAAGTACAACTGGTTCACGACAAAGAAGAGCAATGGTAAACAGGAGGTATTACATTAAAATTGATTATTTTACTATAAATTTATATGCTGACATAAGTTACTTCCCTTTGTGTAAACAACAATGAAAAGCAATGGTAAAGAGGATGTATCATATTAAGATTGATTATTTCTTGTTTTTATATAAACTTACAAGTTTGTGGGAAGTAAACAGATCATAAAAAGTCCCAAAGAAGTTATATAAACCAATTATACACAAGACTAACATATTCAATAACAAAAATATAAAATATAATCATAGCACCAAATAAAACCAATTATATTAATAAACATTTTAAAGGTAAATATATATAAACAGGCAAGCCTTACACAGATATACTTTTGACAGGATAACATAATACATGTACCGTACAAATAAGCCTTATAAATATATACATTATACAGGTACATCTGTAAATTGTCTTGCAGGTAAAACTTATACATAGCAAACAATATTTTAAGAATCTTATACAGATAAATATTTCACAGGTTAACATTATAAATAAAAATATTACACACACAAAATCACATGGAAAGGTAAATAATGAGATCTAAGTGAAGTGCCAGGTAGAGATATGCAGGTGACATTCTATCACAATCAAAAACTATTGATAAATCATACAAACATAGAAACAACATCACAGCTTATCTAAACATGAAATAGTTAAAGGAACATTTTTAATGTTCTGTTATCAAATAGAATTAAACATAAAATAGGTGCTGTCAAAGGTTGTCACAAGTGCTATCAAAGGTCATCACAAGTGCTGTCAAAGGTAGTTCCAGGGCAACCAATCAAAGCACTTGTGAGCCTTAAGGAGTTAAAGATTGCTTTCATTTTACATTGTGAACTTAAAATTAAACATTGTTAGGCAATATTTTCAATTGAGTTATTTCCCATTATAATCAAAAGTAGAACTAATAGATTCATACACTATGCACTACTTTTTGCAATTTTTAATAAAATGTGTAATACATATATACCTGGGCTCCTAATTGACTTTAAGAACTGTAAATTCTGATTATTTTTCTATTCATATTGACCTTCTATTTATAATTTTATTTTTTATTTATATTTTCATTTTCTATTTAATTTTTTTCTTTCTGTATCATTATGACAATTATGGTGTATTTCTCTCTGTAATACATTTATCTTGATGCCGTTGGCACACAGAAATTTGTTGATCTGATTAGATTACTGCAACAATCCCTAAAGTGTTGTTCTAAAAAGGTCCTTACAAAATGTGATTAGGTTACTACACAAAGAAAATATTTAACCATAGACAGGGTGCATTTTTCATTTGTGTAGTAATGGATCAACCCCATTGAAGCAGTATGTTTAAATAAAACTTATGGTGTAACTACATGCTGGAAAGTTTAAAGTATCATTTTTTGCTCTCCTTGTTGGATATGGTATAAAACCAAAAAAAAGTAAAAGGTATTGTCTTTTCTTCATGCTTTAAGAAAATAAAGACTAGATTGTCCTCAGGTTTTATAGGACAAGGCCAGGATAAATCCATTTTGTCTTCATTTCTCAATACTTGTAAAATGTTGTCTTAAGTCAATATGAATCCCTTGAGTGGTCTCTTAATACAATTTTGACTGTTAAATATACACATTCAACTGTTGAATGCCCAAATCCTTCACTTTCACATCCAATGGATGCTTGGAGACAGCAAAATTTATGGCAAAAACTACAATTACACTGGTATGCACTGATTAATGATTAACAATGGCTTCTAAGCATATAACAGATGTATTGTGAATAGTATACCCTTTTTTGAATAATACTTTTGAATATAACATGAAGAACTATAACCTACTACCCAACAGCTTAATATTGCAAAATCATGAGTATTTTTCAAAAAGCATTGCCATTGTCTATGTGATGAAAATATTATATATTTAAGATTGCCGAAATATAATATATACTACGTGATATGTGATATACCATAATTTCTTTATATAATGAAATCATTAGACCAATCAACACTATTAACTTCCTATTCTTTTAAATTGATTTGGATATTCTCAAAAACCTTACAATTTTGGCATTTTGGCAACTGATTAAAAAACTTGCCTTCCCATGATGCACCAGTAAGATATTTTCCTTCAACCATAAGGACAAAGTTTGAAATTCCAATAAAATGCGTTTTTTTTCTTTTGCAATGGCAGTTTACTCTTCCAAATTTAAAATTTGTTTTTATAAGTCATATTTAGATGATGTTTTTGTATACTTTAAATTCAGATATTATTGCATGCATTTATTATTGCGATTTTTTAAGGAGTGACAATATGCGAGATTAATTATAGCGATTTCGGAAAAACCTGCATTCCATTCTCAATTTTATTTCTATATATGTATCAAATACCAGTAAACAAGTTATTATTGCGATCATCACCCAGTCGCATTTTTTGCATTAATAAAAACCTCACAATAATTTCTGAATTTTCAGTAGATAATATAAAGTTTTGTTAAGAGAAATTTAAGGTTTTGTTTGAATTTTATACATATATTTAAATATAAACCAATCAGCATTTGTCATCATTGTATAAATAATTCTATAGGCTATATTATCCTTGTTACAGTGCAGTTACTTCTTCTTGACTCTTCCGTCGTTTTGGTGTGAAGTCTTTGTCGCTTAGATGTTCTAAGGCTGTCATTAGTTTATCAGGGATATGATCTGTTACCATGTCTGGAGACAGGATTATCTCCTTTACAAAGTCTTCTGCTCTCGACCATTCTGCATAAAAACTTGAAGTTCCACAACAGGCTCTGTAAATAATTACAAAACAGACATAATGATGTCTTAAACATAAATCCATTGGATGTTGGATGTGTACTGATTGATATTTTAGTCTTAAGATACATTATTTTTTGATAAGCTGTTATTGGCTTTGAACCAGCATTCAGTAACTGAGAGTACTCTCAGATCTGTACTTGTCTGTTTTTGTGATTTGTGATTTGTATCGATTTGATGAATTAAATGAATTAAGCCCTTTCAACTGTTTCTTTATAGTTTGTTCTTATGCTGCGCTGTTATACTACTGTCAAAGGTTAGGGGAGGGTTGGGTGCCAGCAACATGTTTAACCCTACCACATTCTGTATGTGCCGGTCCCAAGTCAGGAGCCTGTTATTCAGTGGTTGTTGTTTGTTGCTGTATATCATATTTGTTTTGTACATAATTCAGACCTTGAGTTTTCTTGTTTTTCCTTTTGCATTTTTGGGCTTTTTATAGCTTGTTATGTGGTATGGGTTTTGCTCATTGTTGAAGCCCATACAGTTACCTATAGTTGCTTACTTCTATGTCATTTGATCTCTGGTGGATAGTTGTCTCATTGGCAATCATACCACATCTCCTTATTTTTATATTACAACTTAATATGTACAGAATGCCAATAGAAACACAACACTTAGCTGTATTCATTTTTCAAACAAATATATCAGCCAACAAATATCCTGTACTGATTTTTATGGTATGTTTTTTTTATGTATGTTTAGTTAATCTACTCACTGAGATTAAACATGGTAGGGTTTAGATCTTAAAAGCTAGTTTTACCTTACCATATTTTCATAAACATGTCTCAAGTTAGGAACCTTCTCTGTAGTTGTTGTATGTCATATCATAACATTTGTTTGTTATTTGGAAAATTGGGCGATAATGGCAGATTTTTATTTTCTGTTCAATTCATTGATAACTTTATAGTGTTTGAACGATTTAGAGCTTGGAATATTGTATAGAAACATGTTTATTGTTGAAGACGATATGTTGCTGTCTAGATGATCATGACTTTTGGTTATTTTTTTCTGTTGGTTTGCTGTCTCAATGACATATATCCTAAAAATTTTATTCATATTAAAAACATTTCTAGCAGTTGTCAATGCTATCAAATTTAAAGATCTCAACATTAATATATTGAACAGTTTTCACAAAGTTTTGGATTGTTCCACCACTTTTATTCACACTATCTGAGCTTGTGGGTACAATGATGGGCAAGTAAAATGAGTTATTGCGAACCCAATGAAAGTTTTCCACAGTGCCATCTCTATCTTGACCAGGTATTTAAACTTTTGCAAGTTCACCTGTCCTATTGAATAAATACAATAGCTATTGTTCTCTGTGTAGGTTATTCTCTGGGACCTTTAAATTTCTTCTAAGAGAAATCTATCATTCATTGATTAAATTACCTGAGTAAAAAAAAATTCTTATATATAGACAAAAATACTGTTTTTATACTCATTAATTGCGTGTGCTGATGTATTTATTCAATATTATTAATATATTTTCATTCAGTTTAATATAAACAGAAATCAACTTTTTATGATTGAATCAATGTTTATATTAAACTGAATAAAAATATATTATTAATATCGAATAACTACATCATCACACGCAGTTAATGAGTATAAAAACAGTATTTTTGTCTATATATAAGAATTTTTTTTTACTCAGGTAATTTAATCAATGAATGATAGATTTCTCTTAGAAGAAATTATTGCGAACCCAATGAAAGTTTTCCACAGTGCCATCTCTATCTTGACCAGGTATTTAAACTTTTGCAAGTTCACCTGTCCTATTGAATGAATACAATAGCTATTTTTCTCTGTGTAGTTTATTCACTGGGACCTTTAAATTTCTTCTAAGAGAAATCTATCACTCATTGATTAATTTACCTGAGTAAAAAAAAATTCTTATATATAGACAAAAATACTTTTTTATACTCATTAACTGCGTGTGATGATGTATTTATTCAATATTAATAATATATTTTCATTCAGTTTAATATAAACATTGATTCAATCATAAAAAGTTGATTTCAAACAAAAGTTTTATCAATGTTCCTATTGAAATTTGATTTTTTTTTGTCTAGTTATAGAATACATTTAATAAAATACTGTAAACCAACTTATTTTCACAGATAGTTATTCATGTTAACTTATCCCTTTTATTTCTATAAATCTATGTCTGAGAGGATTATTTATTTTGACTTTTTTTCACAAACCTTTAAGCATGATTAGAATAAATGTACATTGAAGTACAGTCTAAATGGATAATAAGAGTAAATATTAGCATTGTCACTTTCATAGTTTTTTTGGTCCAACACAAAAAAAATAATTTGAAAGTCACAAATTTCCATAGGAACATAGCAAAATTTAATGTCAAAACATTGGAACAAAATTATGAAAAGCTGTAGACAATTTAGTAAAAATTGGTAAATAATGCAAATAAAGTAAATCAGTTTATTATGGCTAATATTGCAAATAGCCAATGCAGACAACTTACCCTAATACATTCTAGAAGCCTACTAAATTATTAGATATTGAATAAATCAACATCACATATAGTTTTGTGTGTCCTTATTTAGTATTGGTACATGTATTTTTATCATTGAGAGTTAAATTTTTTGTTCAGGTAAATTAATCAATGAGTGATAGATTTCTCTTAGAAGAAATTTAAAGGTCCCAGTGAATAAACTACACAGAGAAAAATAGCTATTGTATTCTTTCAATAGGACAGGTGAACTTGCAAAAGTTTAAATACCTGGTCAAGATAGAGATGGCACTGTGGAAAACTTTCATTGGGTTCGCAATAAAAGGTCCCAGAGAATAAACTACACAGAGAACAATAGCTAGTGTATTTATTCAATAGGACAGGTGAACTTGCAAAAGTTTAAATACCTGGTCAAGATAGAGATGGCACTGTGGAAAACTTTCGTTGGGTTCGCAATAACTATATAAATAATTACCTCCCTCCATCTACTTCTAATACATGAAATATCTGTCCTGGTGGATACATTGATGGGTGGGTCATCTTAAACTTTATAAATAATTACCTCCCTCCATCTACTTCTAATACATGAAATATCTGTCCTGGTGGATACATTGGAGGGTGGGTAATCTTAAACTTTATATAAATAATTACCTCCCTCCTTCTACTTCTAATACATGTAATATCTGCCCTGGTGGATACATTGGTGGGTGGGTAATCTTAAACTTTATAAATAATTACCTCCCTCCATCTACTTCTAATACATGAAATATCTGTCCTGGTGGATACATTGGAGGGTGGGTAATCTTAAACTTTATATAAATAATTACCTCCCTCCTTCTACTTCTAATACATGTAATATCTGCCCTGGTGGATACATCGGTGGGTGGGTAATTTTTAATTTTTCTCTGGCCATACTGACATTCTGCAATGCTTCCTAAAGATATCACAGAAAACATTTCATATGATCAGTAAAAACAAAATAATAAATTAACATGCAAACTGCGTGGGATAGAAATCGACCTTAAGCAAATGAATATCAATACATCTGTTAACCAATTTCAGATTGAAAAAAATCTCTATACAAAGTCTGTAACTGTTTGAAAATTGAGTTGATATAAAAACCATACAAAACAGCCCAAAATTCAACTTTCACTTCACATTTGAATGTTCCAAAATCAATCAAAGTCTTATACATGTACATGTATACATGCACTTACATAAGGTTGATTTCTATCCAACACAGTTCATATCTGTTACCCTCTAGGACGTTTTATGGGGGAGATCCAATACAGAAAGTATTCATTTTTAATGTGCACTGATATATATATATATATATATATATATACACAATTTCTGAATTTTAAGTATTTATTGATATCATGGATTGAGATTGGTTCAAATTGCATGAGGCTTAAATAATGTATGTTAACTCAGTCTTTAGTTATGAAGTTACATGAATGAAGATTTATCTTCATTGTCCTCATTTCTGTTTAACATGCAACTAATCCCAACAAAACTATTTAAAGGCTGACTACAATTATATCAAGTTACATTTGATTATTTGTGTCAGTCAAATCTAAAATTGATGCTGGTGTGTCACAGTCAAATCTCAAATTGATGCTGGTGTGTCACGGTCAAATCTCAAATTGATGCTGGTGTGTCACAGTCAAATCTAAAATTGATGCTGGTGTGTCACAGTCAAATCTAAAATTGATGCTGGTAACTCTTCAAATACTGTTATTCCTATTATAATGCAATACTCGTACAATGTATCAAAACTTAACAAATTGAAATATCCCTGAAACACGACTAAGATTGTGCCACATTGTTGTCAATGACTTTGACCCTTAACCTTGAAACTGACATCATTCATAAGTGACATTACTTGACATACTGCATTACAATATTTTTCCTCTTCTAAAAGGGTACCAGCATATACAGTATAAAGAGTAGATATATGGACCTCAATGTAAAGGTTTCCCCTTCAAAAGGGTACCAGCATATACAGTATACATAGTAGATATATGGACCTCAATGTAAAGGTTTCCCCTTCAAAAGGGTACCAGCATATACAGTATACAGAGTAGATATATGGACCTCAATGTAAAGGTTTCCCCTTCAAAAGGGTACCAGCATATACAGTATACAGAGTAGATATATGGACCTAAATGTAAAGGTTTCCCCTTCAAAAGGGTACTAGAATATACAGTATACAGAGTAGATATATGGACCTCAATGTAAAGGTTTCCCCTTCAAAAGGGTACTAGAATATACAGTATACAGAGTAGATATATGGACCTCAATGTAAAGGTTTCCCCTTCAAAAGGGTACCAGCATATACAGTATACAGAGTAGATATATGGACCTCAATGTAAAGGTTTCCCCTTCAAAAGGGTACCAGAATATACAGTATACAGAGTAGATATATGGACCTCAATGTAAAGGTTTCCCCTTCAAAAGGGTACCAGAATATACAGTATACAGAGTAGATATATGGACCTCAATGTAAAGGTTTCCCCTTCAAAAGGGTACCAGAATATACAGTATACATAGTAGATATATGGACCTCAATGTAAAGGTTTCCCCTTCAAAAGGGTACCAGAATATACAGTATACAGAGTAGATATATGGACCTCAATGTAAAGGTTTCCCCTTCAAAAGGGAACTAGAATATACAGTATACAGAGTAGATATATGGACCTCAATGTAAAGGTTTCCCCTCCAAAAGGGAACTAGAATATACAGTATACAGAGTAGATATATGGACCTCAATGTAAAGGTTTCCCCTTCAAAAGGGTACCAGAATATACAGTATACAGAGTAGATATATGGACCTCAATGTAAAGGTTTCCCCTTCAAAAGGGTACCAGAATATACAGTATACAGAGTAGATATATGGACCTCAATGTAAAGGTTTCCCCTTCAAAAGGGTACCAGAATATACAGTATACAGAGTAGATATATGGACCTCAATGTAAAGGTTTCCCCTTCAAAAGGGTACTAGAATATACAGTATACAGAGTAGATATATGGACCTAAATGTAAAGGTTTCCCCTTCAAAAGGGTACCAGAATATACAGTATACAGAGTAGATATATGGACCTAAATGTAAAGGTTTCCCCTTCAAAAGGGAACTAGACTATACAGTATACAGAGTAGACATATGGACCTAAATGTAAAGGTTTCCCCTTCAAAAGGGTACCAGAATATACAGTATACAGAGTAGATATATGGACCTCAATGTAAAGGTTTCCCCTTCAAAAGGGTACCAGAATATACAGTATACAGAGTAGATATATGGACCTAAATGTAAAGGTTTCCCCTCCAAAAGGGAACTAGAATATACAGTATACAGAGTAGATATATGGACCTCAATGTAAAGGTTTCCCCTTCAAAAGGGTACCAGAATATACAGTATACAGAGTAGATATATGGACCTAAATGTAAAGGTTTCCCCTCCAAAAGGGAACTAGAATATACAGTATACAGAGTAGATATATGGACCTCAATGTAAAGGTTTCCCCTTCAAAAGGGTACCAGAATATACAGTATACATAGTAGATATATGGACCTAAATGTAAAGGTTTCCCCTTCAAAAGGGTACCAGAATATACAGTATACAGAGTAGATATATGGACCTAAATGTAAAGGTTTCCCCTTCAAAAGGGTACCAGAATATACAGTATACAGAGTAGATATATGGACCTAAATGTAAAGGTTTCCTCTTCAAAAGGGTACCAGAATATACAGTATACATAGTAGATATATGGACCTCAATGTAAAGGTTAGGTGCCATTAGAAACCATAGAGGATGAATAACATCACTTTTTTTTCATTTGGAAAAAATCAATTTGTTCATATTTTACATTGTTTTAAGTTTCATTATGACTGAGTGTATTATAGAAGTATGATATGGGAACATGGGAAAAGCAATTTGAACATGAAGAAATCTGCAATCTAGCCATACTTTGAGAAGCTATTCAGAATTGTTGATAGGACGGGATATGTAAAGGAAGCGGTCATTGAGAATTCTTAAAAACTAATCAAGGACAGATTTACTGAAATCTAAATTTAAGTTAAGTTTTAAGTATGTTAAGTGGACTCACAAATAACAAAAATGTGGATAGTGTCCACATGTGGACACAGATAATGCCCCCGCTTGCATATCATATAGTTATAAAGGGACATAACTGAAGAACGGTAAAAGTGACGCTACCCAAATTTGAACTTGATCCGAGTTTTGTGGTAATAAGCATTGTGTGTAAGTCTCATTACATTTGGTTCAGGCTAACTTAAGTGGAGAACAGAAACTAAAAATTCAGCAATTTTTCTATTTGTAAACATGCATACATGTAACTCTAGAACAGTTGTGTATAAATTTTATAACATTTGGTTGAGACAAACTAAAGTTAGAGAACGGAAACGAAAAATTCAGCAATTTTTATGTTTATAAAGGGACATAACTCAAGAATGGTAAAAGTGTCGCCATCAAATTTCATACTTAATCTGTATTATGTAGTAATAAGCATTGTGTATAACTTGCATAACATTTGGTAGAGGCAAACTAAAGTTAGAAAACGGAAACAAAAATTTGTACTTGATCTTAGTTTTGTGGTAATGAATATTGTGTATAGGTTTCATAATGTTTGGTTGGGGCAAACTTAAGTTACAGAATGGAAACTAAACATTTTGCAATCTTTTGATTTATAAAGGGGCATAACTCAATAATGGTTAAAGTGACACTACCCAAATTCAACTTGATCTGTGTTTTATCAGTGGAAGTCAAAATTAAACATTGCATTGTATAAAGCATTGATTGTAGTTGATTCAGCTATAAACATGGACAAAGGAAGATAACTCCAAATTTAAAAATTACTTGATATTAAAAAGAAAATAAAAATTTTGCAATTTTTCCATTTATAAAGGGGCATAACTCTAGAACGGTTAAAGTGACGCCACTAAAATTTAAACTTGATCTGTGTTTGTGGTAATAAGCATTGTGTATAAGTTTCATAACATTTGGTTGAGGCAAACTTAAGTTAGAGAACGGAAACTATAAATTTTGCAATTTTTCCATTTATAAAGGGGCATAACTCTAGAACTGTTAAAGTGAAGCCACCAAAATTCAAACTTGATCTGTGTTTTGTGGTAATAAGCATTGTGTATAAGTTTCATAACATTTGGTTGAGGCAAACTTGTTAGAGAAGGGAAACTAAAAATTTTGCAATTTTTCCATTTATAAAGGGGCATAACTCTAGAACTGTTAAAGTGACGCCACCAAAATTCAAACTTGATCTGTATTTTGTGGTAATAAGCATTGGGTATAAGTTTCATAACATTTGGTTGAGGCAAACTCAAGTTAGAGAACGGAAACCAATTTTGGGACGTACATACAGACGGACAAGGGTAAAACTTAATGCTCCCACCGCTACGGTGGGGGCATAAAAATATCATGTGTCCGATGCTTAGCTCACACTATCATATTCCAATCTTTTGATTAGGGACTTTCCGTTTTGAATTTTCCTCGGAGTTCGGTATTTTTATGATTTTATCTTTTTGTGAACTGTCAAATCATATTCAAAACGTAATTTGGCATATAATCAAAAAAGTTCCCATCCTTATAAACATTTGTATTAACTTTTGAGATGATGTGACCACAACTTAGTGGTAAACTACCTGATAACTTAACCTGTGAATGTACTGGTTTGGTCTACCTTAACCTAATAACTTAACCTGTGAATGTACTGGTTTGATACATTGACATTTCTATGATCAGTAAATGGGGACATTGAGGTCAAAACTGTAATCTGGCATATAACTTTAAAAGTACATATCATAATGAGCATTTTCACATCGGGGCCATTTATAGCCAACTATACAATATGGGTTTTTCTCATAGTGAAGGCTGTATGGCGACCTATAATTGCTTACTGTTGTCTCATAGGCAATCATACAACATTTCCTCAATGTTTATATGTGTTCTAAGTTACAAGTTGATTTGACCAAACTTTCTGGTAAACTTCTTTTATAAACTTTGACAATACACAAGACTGACAAACGAACAGAATATTGGACGGACATAATAAAGGACAAATGCACAGACCAGAAAACATAATGCCCACTATTATTGTAGGGTAGACATAACAATTGTCTTGCAATTAATCTGTTACATAGTGATTACTGTGCATTTATTTGCCATAGGAGTTAACCCTGTGTACCATAGCAGTCTGCACCAAAATCTTTTCCAACTACTAGTCCGAAGACCAATATTCAGACATTTTTCTTATGTGTCTAAACAAAGTTTTGTCAATACTTACTAGTCTGGATAAAATTTTACTAGTCTGGGGCATCGGACTAGTGGCTAACGGTGCAGACTGCTACAGGAGTAAACATTGTGGTTACTGCGTGCCTTATGAGGAACTTAATTTATCACATGACTAAAAGTCACTAAACACATTGGTTTAAATAGTTGTTTTTTAAAACAGTTCTACAGAGCATAAAGATGCTGCATTCAAATATTAATAATATATCTTTTAAAGAAAGTAGAAAGTCTTGCAAAAATGCCATCAAACTGTTATGAATTCTCATTATAAGAAAAATAGAGTTGAAAACCACTGAATTATAGACATGTGCAACATTAAAGGTAAAAAAACAAGTTTCACTTACAGCTGTCTGTAAAAATAGAATCACAAAAATAACTTATAAGAATTTCTATGTGACCAAAGATTATTTGCTATGTGGCATAACCATTCATTTAACTAAAATATCTGTTAATGCCTCTAAGACAATTATTTGAATTGAAATAAAACGAAAGCCTAGTTCATATGTTTATTTCTCCTCTAAGGATTTATAAAACAATAAATTGCAAATTCAATAGTTTATGCATCATCAGAATCATTTCAATGGAAACACTGCCACCAATAATTGTGTGTATTTCAGATCAGGTATATCAGATTGCAGTTGGTGAAAATGTTCTGGTCATATATTATTTCATATTTTTGGTTTCTTCTTTTCTGTTTCATAGAATCTCAAACTTAAGTAGTATTGTACACTTGATATTCATAGAAATATATTATAATACAACTGTAGCTATCTTTTACCTTAGTTTAGGGTTTGAAATTAGATTAACGGAGAAGTGGGCAACTTGCTGTGAAGTGAGAGGTTTTTTTTGCTCCTTGTTGAAGGCCTCACTGTATCTTTGAGATGAAGTTCAGCAATAAAAGCACTGTTCCTTTGCTTTTTGTGTTTTTTTTACTGTGCATCTACTGATTTTGTGTCATGGATGGATACTCCATATCCTTTGTTTTGCTATTATACCCCAATGGTAAAGCAATATACAAATATTTGTGATTAAATTTAGTAAAAGTTTGGAGCAAATTATGATATTCCTGTTGTAAAACCTGGCCTCATCACCCACTGAAATTCTTTTAATTGCTTGATTAAATGTTTAACCTATCATTTATGTTACCTGGATAGTCTATCAAATTTTATATAAGGGATGTCGTCTTTATTTTTTCAATTTTCTTTATAAAACACTCACATCTTTTGTTTGGAGCTAAAAATCTTGATCAAAATGCATATTTTGCTTTAGCTTAAATAATGAAATTTATATTGTGTATCTCTATATGAATGTAATTTGATTTGTTGAGAAATAAAGATATATATATATTGGACAATTGATAATAAAAATAAAAGCTAATACAATACCTCTATATCATTGTTGCCTATATTAGTGACACCTCGACCAAGAAGTCGCTCTGTTGCTGTACTATCACTAATAAAACAGCCACATAATACCTCCCAGGCACCAGATGCTAAAGTTCGGAACTGAAAACAAAAAAATAGAACTCTCTAACAGTCGTCACTTATAGCACAAACACATAATACCTCCCAGGCACCAGATGCTAAAGTTCTGAACTGAAAACAAAAATTAGAATTCTCTAACACTCGTCACTTATAGCACGAACACAAAATACCGCCCAGGCACCAGATGCTAAAGTTCTGAACTGAAAACAAAAAATAGAATTCTCTTATTCTTGTCACTCATAAAAATCAAAGCATCATGGATGTTGTGATCCAGCCAATTTTGTAGCTAGTCCGACATTTTTTCTGACCATACTTTGCTATCTTCATTTCCATAATCTCACTGTAAAATTTCTATTCTATTGCCAAAAGATGGAGAATCTTGCAATATTGATGCAAATTATTTTGGTCTTTCAATTGAAGACACTGTCAGATTTTTTAACATCTTTTTTTTAGAAACATTTTAAATTCAATGATTTTGACAAGAATGTTGAGGGAAATCTTCAAATGTGTAGCATATTTTTTATATGCCGTTAATAATAATTGCCTTAATAATTTCCATTAAAAATGCACTTTCTCAACAACAACAAAAAAAATAAATAACTTTTATCTAAATTGGTGTTCATTCTTCATTAAGGAAAAAATACATTTCCTGTATTCAAATAAACATATACACATGATGTACAAATACCTAATGCTGAGATAATTCCATTTACTGTTAAGTAGCAATATAATGGGGAATATACAAATAAATATTTTGCAGAAAATGCTCATGTAAGAGTTATGCAATTGTGTTTATTGCTTCAACCAAATAACTGATAATTGTAACTTAAATAGACCTTAATTATTAACTTATGTCAGATGATTATGACACTAATTTTACAACCATTGAGGTCAAGATTTTGTGTATTCAGTTAGAGGTGTAATAAATTGAATACACAAATTCTTGACCTCAATACCAGTATGATTATCAACTGTCATAATATATTAAAATAGCTGTGGTCAATTAATATAAAAAGAAGATGTGGTATGATTGCCAATGAGACAACTCTCCACAATAGACCAAATGACACAGAAATTAACAACTATAGGTCATCGTTCAGCCTTCAACAATGAGCAAAGCCCATACCGTATAGTCAGCTATATATAAAAGGCCCCGAAATGACAAATGTAAAACAATTCAATCTAGAAAGCTAACGGCCTCATTTATGTACAAAATAATGAACGAAAAACAAATATGTAACACAGCAACAAACGACAACCACTGAATTACAGGTTCCTGACTTAGGACAGGGACAGGCACATACAGAATGTGGCGGGGTTAAACTAGTTTGAAAGCGCCAACCCTCCCCTAACCTGGGACAGTGGTATAACAGTGCAACATATGAACAAACTATAAAAATCAGTTGAAAAAGGCTTAACTTATCAGATGGATACATATAGAAATACATCTAACGAAAACACAAAGTAGACGTGGACGGGTAAGACTGCATTTGAGTGGAGTTAAATCTAATTAATACTTACAACTTTGAGTGTAATTGTTTGAAAATCATGGCAGCTGTCAATCATACTGGTATTGTATCAATAATCTAATTTGCCTAATGCAAGAATGGGAATAATAGCATTTCAACATAGGCGGATCCAGGGGGGGGGGGGGGGCACTGGGGGGGCCCAGGCCCCCCCTTTTGTGTGAAAAATTTGGTTGATTATATAGGGAATCACTGAAGCATGACTGGAGCGGGACCCCTTAGGTCAGTCAGTGGGACCCTTTAAAAAAAGTTCTTGAACTGCCACTGTTTAAAAAAGTGTGGGAATCAACTCTTGATATCTAAACACATCTTGAACCAAATTTTATTCAATGGCTTATAGGAACATAAGATACTGATAAAACAACACTTCCATTATTCTTATTAACTTCTTAAATTTGATACATTCCACATTAATTAATAAATGGCAATTTAATATAAATTTTGATTTACAAAGGAACTATATGCAAGTGTATATATAAAATAAAGAAGTTGTTCGCCCAACCTTTTCTTAATTTAAGGACAAATAACATATTAAAAGTTGGCAATTGATGATTAAATTGTGTATAAAGTTTCTGCAAGTCATAGAAACACCTAATTATTTTCATGACATGTCTTCAACTTTGAATTTTGCACCATCTCCAAATCCGGAGTGATCACATAGATCAAGCTTGCCGAATTAAAAACCCAAATAATACCTCCCAGGCACCAGATGCTAAAGTTCATAACGGAAAACAAAAAATAGAATTCTCTAATACTTGTCACTGATAAAACAACCACACAATACCTCGCAGGCACCAGATGCTAAAGTTCTAAGGTGAAAACAAAAAAGTAGAATTCTCTAATACTTGTCACTGATAAAATAACCACACAATACCTCCTAGACACCAGAGGCTAAAGTTCTAAACTGAAAACAAAAAAAGAATTCTCTAATACTTGTCACTGATAAAACAATCACATAATACCTCCCAGGCACCAGATGTTAAAGTTCTAAGTTGAAAACAAAAAAAAGAATTCTCTAATACTCATCACTGATAAAAAATCAAACTTCACATCCAAAGTCACAGGCCCAGATTTTTTTCTAATTATAAGAGAATATAATTTAACAGAAAGGATATGGGATATCCATCCATGACACAAACTCAGTACATGCACAGCAAAAACATGTTCTTATCATAAGAGAATAAGTTCTAATGTTCTAATCCTTGAACATTTTTACTATGGTGTTTATTGCAGATAGTTTCAGTTCAATTTATTCATAACTTTTTTTTCACTCAGGACAATTAAGAATTTGACATAAAAAACACCTTTTAATTGTTGAAGACTGTATGTTACCCTATAGATGTGTTTTAGTTGTTTGTGTTGTTGGGTTGCTGTTTTTCTTTCTCTTTGATATATACCATACATTTCATTTTATTGATTATCACTGGGGAATATGTACTTACCTTAGGAGAATGTGAATTTCTGATGGCTGTTAATGTTTTTTCCTTCAGATCATACATTGACCATATACTGAGTCTGGTTATCATATCTTTCCCTAGCACAACAGAACATATGTAGTCTTGGCTCGCCTGGCTAGCTTCAAAACTGAAAAATAGATAAATTTAGAATACAAATCACAAACTTAAAAGTCATCCAAAGGGTTTGTAAAGATTCTTAAAGGTCAATATATATATGAACTTTTTTCTCTAAACCTGCCTTGACATTTAGTACATTTGTCTTACCTAATGAGTACAACAAGTGCCACATGTGGAGCAGGATCTACTTACCCTTTAGGAACAACATAGATCACCAGAGTTTTTGATGGGGTTCCTGTTGCTCAGTCTTTATTCTTTCAGTGTTGTGTTTTATAAACTGTTGTCTTTTCACAGTTTTTTTTTAATTAGCCATGCCATTGTCAATTTGTTTTTCGAGTTTGAATATCCTCTTTTTTACAATGAGTACAAAAGTTCTTGATAAAATGGTTTAATTAAATCTGTAAGTTATACTACACCTTCTTACCTCATGAGGCCACCTGGAGGAGCATAAGCAAAACAGATTAAATCAGGATATGATTGTTTGAGTAAAACTGCGAGTAATGCCGCTGTACCTGCTCCTAAACTGTGTCCTGTGATCACCAACTTACTGCCCTTTAACAATGGAAATTAAGAAATTATTTGCAAAAGAATGAAGAACCCTGATCCTGATGTTAAAATGTCTTTTTTTCTTAATATATTTTGGTTATTCGTGACTTTAGGTTGCTGTCTCACTGATGTACCAAGCATCTCCTTTTAATAGTTTATATTGAGTGCAGCTATATAACTACATTATAACATTTGGGCTAATTTTTAATTAATGCTATGTATAATCTAGACCCTAGATTTAAAATGAGTAAAGTCAATGTATGAGTATAAATAGGCTAAATCATAGCAGAGTAGAACAGAGTTTTAAAAGTGTTCTACTCTTTTCAAATATCTCTCCTTAACTACGCTATGTTAAATAAGAAAATTCAATAAAAATAGTTGGTTACTCAAAAATCTTATAAAAGTTACAGAAATCAGCTAAATTATTGGAACATTTTGTTGCATAAAGTTTTCTTAACATAGCAATACCATTTCAAGAGTTTGATTTAAAAATATTTTTTTTAAAGATATATATGCATTGAAAAAGGACTGATTTTCAACAGTTTAAAATTGACATAAGGTAGACACGCCAAATTCAAGTGCAATAACAAACGAAAGTAGCCTAATTACTTCATTATAAAATCAATCTAAAGTCTTATCTATTAGACATGAAGATATTTTTGTTGATCTTTATTTCTAATATATCTGTGACCTGTCAAATGTAGCAGTCCACACCTTTTCTAACATGTGACCTGTCAAATGTAGCATTCCTCATCTGTACTAACCTGACCCATCAAATGTAGCAGTCCACACCTTTACCTACCTGTGCCCTGTCAAATGAAGCAATCTATAACTAACTTAATTGTGCCTAGTTAAATGTAGCAGTCCACACCTTAACTAACCTTTGACTTGTCAAATGTAGCAGTCCACACCTTAACTAACATTTGACCTGTCAAATGTAGCAGTCTCCAATTAAACTAACATGTGCCCTGTCAAATGTAGCAATCTATACCTAACTTACTTGTGCCTAGTTAAATGTAGCAGTTTACACCTTAACTAACCTTTGACCTATCAAATGTAGCAGTCCACACCTTAACTTACCTGTGCCTTGTCAAATGTAGCAGACCACACATTAAATAACATTTGACCTGTCAAATGTAGTAGTCCATACCTTAATTAACCTTTGACCTGTCGAATATAGTAGTCCACACCTTAGCTAACCTTTGACCTGTCAAATGTAGAAGTCCATACCTTTACTTACCTGTGCCCAGTCAAATGTTGCAGTTCACATCATTACTAATCTGTGACCTGTCAAATGTAGCATTTTTAACCTTTACTAACCTTTGACCTGTCAAATGGAGCAGCCCACACCTTCATTAAAATGTACATGGTCAAATGTAGCAGCCCATACCTTCATTAACATGTACATGGTCAAACATAGCAGCCAACACCTTTATTTAACTGTAACCTTTCAAATGTAGCAGTCTACACCTAAATTAATGAGTGACCTGTCAAATGTAGCAGTCCACACCTGAAGTAAAGAGTGACCTGTCAAATGTAGCAGTCCACACCTGAAGTAATGAGTGACCTGTCAAATGTAGCAGTCTACACCTGAAGTAAAGAGTGACCTGTCAAATGTAGCAGTCCACACCTGAAGTAATGAGTGACCTGTCAAATGTAGCAGTCTACACCTAAATTAATGAGTGACCTGTCAAATGTAGCAGTCTACACCTGAAGTAAAGAGTGACCAACCCACACCTTCATTGGCATGTTCAAGGTCAAACACAGCAGCCCTAATCTTTACTTACCTGTGCCCTATCAAATGCATCCTCTAAGATATGTTTCTCCTCCAATGTCTTTTTTACATACTGAGCAGCTTGAAGAATGCCTTTGTGAGCAACACAGCCTATAAGACCCTCACACTCTAAACATTCACTGTCTGCACTCATATCTGTAATAGCATCCTGTAAAATATAGTTTACATCATCTGTTATGGCATCCTGTTTAATAAAGGACCTTCTTTATTCATTTCTCCAAAGCTAGGTTCAATTTTGAAGTTTCAGGATAAAAGGTAAACGAAGTTCCCATCAGGTTAGATAGGAAACTATGGAAAATTAAATGTCACAAGATCAGCATAAAATTAGGAATGAAGAGAAGAAATTTAATAGTTGACCTACTAGAATAAAATCAAAGCATCATGGATGTTGCATATGCACTTTCTCAACAACAACAAAAATAAATAACTTTTATCTAAATTGGTGTTCATTCTTCATTAAGGAAAAAATACATTTCCTGTATTCAAATATACATGTACATGATGTACAAATACCTAATGCTGAGATAATTCCATTTACTGTTAAGTAGCAATATAATGGGGAATATACAAATAAATATTTTGCAGAAAATGCTTAGGTAAGAGTTATGCAATTGTGTTTATTGCTTCAACCAAATTTCTGATAATTGTAACTTAAATAGACCTTAATTATTAACTAATGTCAGATGATTATGACACTGATTTTACAACTATTGAGGTCAAGATTTTGTGTATTCAGTTAGAGGTGTAATAAATTGAATACACAAATTATTTACCTCGATACCAGTATGATTATCAACTTTCATGATATATTAATATAACTGTGGTCAATTAAGACTGCATTTGAGTGGAATTTAATCCAATTAATACTTACACCTTTAGAGTATATATGAATTTTTTGAAAATCGTGGCAGCTGTCCATCATACTGGTATTGTATCAATAATCTTATTTGCCTAATGCAAAATGGGAATAATAGCATTTCAAAATAGTGTGGGAATCAACTCTGATATCAATACACATCTTGAACCAAATTTTATTCAATGGCTTACAGCAACATAAGATACTGATAAAACACTTTCATTATTCTTATCAACTGCTTAAATTTGATGAATCACATTTTCCACATTAATTTATAAATGGCAATTTGATATAAATTTTGATTACAAAGGAACTATATGTAAGTGTATATCTAAAATAAAGAAGTTGATCGCCAAACCTTTTCTTAATTTAAGGACAAATAACATATTAAAAGTTGGCTGTTGATGAATAAAATGGTGTATAAAGTTTCTGCAAGTCATAGAAACACCTAATTATTTTCATGACATGTCTTCAACTTTGAATTTTGCACCATCTCCAAATCCGGAGTGATCACATAGATCCAGCAAAGCTGAATCAACAATGCATGATCATAATCTCATAAGTAAGAAATGAGTAATTGAAATAAAAGATATGATTTCTGCCAATATGAATATAAAGTTGGTTCCAAAATAGAATCTATATATATCATCATTGTGTACACAGAAAACAAGGAATGTTTGTGAAACATTTGAATGGAATTTTCATATACAGTTTTGAACCAAAAATCAAATTTCCAGACAGTGGTGTTGATTATATGTACTACAAGCAAGAAATAAGAGAAAAGTTGATTTCAAGATATACATGCTCTTTTTCACCATTTTGCAGTCAAAGTAGAGGTTCCACTTATTTCTTGTAAAATTAATTTATTATTTCAATCATCTACTTAATCAAATTTAATCAACTACTAAAAAATATATATAAAAAAATGCTTCATTTCAAATTTCGTCTTTCTTCTTGTACCATTGCATTAAAATGTATAAAATCCGAAACATAATAGAATATTCCTTTGTATTTGATGTAGCTGACAGCGTTTTCTTTTAGCTAAATAAATTCAACATTATTTTACTTATTTTTTTTTTTGGCTCTTGAAGTGATCTTGGCTTTATTCATTTGCTCAGTCTTAAATTTTTTATGTTCTGTTGTTTGTCTGTTTGTCTGTTTGTCTTTTTCTTTATTTGTTATGGCGTTGTCAGTTTATTTTAGACTTATAAGTTTGAATGTACCTTTGGTATATATATATATCTTTCGCCTCTCTTTTTTAAACCTCTTAAAGTTTTTAAGATTTATTTAATAAAATTTGAAACTTTTTTTGATGGAGGTAAGCAGATTTTTCATGGAAATACTGGTAAGGACCATATATCATTATATGTCTTGAACTTGCCCGAGTTTCATTATGTGATGACAAAAGTTTTTTTTTCTAAATTCCTATGGAAAAAAAATGTGCAAAATACATATAAATACAAAAAATGCACAACTCTTTAACAGTACTATAAGTATCTGAATCTACATGATACAAATAACTGACACCACATGATACCAATAACTGACATCACATGATACAATAACTGACACAACAGGATATCAATAACTGACACCACATGATACCAATAACTGACACCACATGATACCAATAACTGAAACCACACAATACCAATAACTGACACCACATGATACCAATAACTGACACCACAGGATACCAATAACTGACACCACAGGATACCAATGACTGACACCACAAGATACCAATAACTGACACCACAGGATACCAATAACTGACACCACAGGATACCAATAACTGACACCACATGATACCAATAACTGATACCACACAATACCAATAACTGACACCACATGATACCAATAACTGACACCACAGGATACAAATAACTGACACCACAGGATAACAATGACTGACACCACAAAATACCAATAACTGACACCACAGGATACCAATAACTGACACCACAGGATACCAATAACTGACACCACATGATACCAATAACTGACACTGCACGATACCAATAACTGACACCACATGATATCAATAACTGACACCACATGATATCAATAACTGACACAACAGGATATCAATAACTGACACCACAGAATATCAATTACTGATACCACATGATACCAATAACTGACAGTATATATTCCTTCATCCCCTTGAGTTAAACAGTTGCAAATTTTATTAGCAGTTTTATAACTTCTTAAAATCCCATACATATTTTATTGCACAATTTCAGCACAATTAAATTCATAATACAAAAAGGTATTTTTAAGTCTTACCTTAAGTGATAAAGTCCCCCTGATGGCTATAACCACTGACTGTTTCTCTTTATCTATTGCTACATAAAATGGTATTTCAAATATCTACAATTTAAATAAAGTTTTATTTTAACCACATTTTCCTCCACACAAGATAATCCAGCTTTTCATACATGCTATGATACTAGATAATATTGATTTTCATTCAAAATATGAAAAGACTAATATTTGAACTTAAATTTCAAAACATTACCATGGTCTGATTAAAATTTCCCAGTTATTTGAATATATGTACTAAATTTTGTTCTTCTAGCATTATTACCAAATTTGCTGTCATTTTCTGCAAAATTAATTTGAACCCTTTGTTCAATAACACAATATTATCCCACTTTCCTACTTGGTCAGATTTTTGATGTGAAAATAAATGTTTTTCATTCCATGATTTGTCAGCCTCCTCTATTCATCTTATTTTATGATAAGATCTCCTGCTAATATCAAGTTGATAAATGTCTTGTATTTAGACATAAAAATGAAAATGTGGATCCTCAGTTGCTATGATATCTATGATGAATTTATTGGAATCCACTTGTATTTACCGGAATGAAAAAAGTATATAAATCAGCCAGGACCAGCTTATGCATTACAATGTATAAACTACGAAATGTAATTGGTCATTTGTTTCTTGTTGGTGTTTCATGCTGACGCATGCGTTTTGTTTTAGCTGACGATCATTCAAACATTAATGTAATGGATATATTTAATAGTATTTCACTAAAGAAGAGAACTGTTTTAGTTTCAAAGTCATATTCAAGTAATTCAAGTAACAACTATGAAGTATGGATTTTTTGCACACTCTCACTGTAATTATTTTGATTTACACATGCTATGCGAACTTCCCTTTAATACGAAATACAACTTACCCAATTGTTTATTCGTGATTTTGACCTTATTTTAACACTCGTGGAGTGTTTTAGAATCATTTACAAGCATTTTCAACTTCTACTTTCAGGTTTATACATGAAAACACCGCAAACAATAACTTTCCGTAGTTTCAAAAGACGTTTTCAAGCAGTTCCAAAAAGTTTTTCTCCTGAATTCCCATGGCGAAAAGGGGTGCGGACAATGTACCAGTGCAGACTTTACAAGCCTGAATAAGGTAAATGTAATAAAGTTTAAATGTAAACCTGTTCCATACTTCGATACCACCTACCCCATTATGATAATCTGCATAGACCAGATCAAACTGATCCAACCCTGTTAATACCTACCCTATTATGATAATCTGCATAGACCAGATCAAACTGATCCAACCCTGTTAATACCTACCCTATTATGATAATCTGCATAGACCAGATCAAACTGATCCAACCCTGTTAATACCTACCCTATTATGATAATCTGCATAGACCAGATCAAACTGATTCAACCCTGTTAATACCTACCCTATTATGATAATCTGCATAGACCAGATCAAACTGATTCAACCCTGTTAATACCTACCCTATTATGATAATCTGCATAGACCAGATCAAACTGATCCAACCCTGTTAATACCTACCCTATTATGATAATCTGCATATACCAGATCAAACTGATCTAACCCTGTTAATACCTACCCTATTATGATAATCTGCATAGACCAGATCAAACTGATCCAACCCTGTTAATACCTACCCTATTATGATAATCTGCATAGACCAGATCAAACTGATTCAACCCTGTTAATCTTTTGATTGTGGCTGTATTACACTGACAACAGTTGTCAAAATGAACTTGGTTCTCTGGTAGACAACAACTACAGCACCTGAAACAGAACAACATATATTGGACTGTTCCATTAAAACATATATTGGGCTGTTCCATTAAAACATACATTGGAATGTTCTATTAAAACGTACATTGGACTGTTCCATTAAAACGTACATTGCACTGTTCCATTAAAACAAACATTGGAATGTTCTATTAAAACATATCTTGGACTTTTCAATTAAAACATACCTTAGACTGCTCCATTAAGACATAAATGGTACAAAGGAAGCTCTAAGAAATAAGAGTTACCGGTAATAATATTTCACACCCACCCTTAGTGGCCAAAGCAAGTTCCCTTCCCAGGGTCCAATGTTGGTTTTTAGAAACAGCCTTTAATATTTTACAGAGCATAAAAACATACATCAATAGTGTTTAGTTTTTACAAAGAAACTCTTATACACAATTCAGTTAATTTATACAATAAACTGTTATCACAGAGATATGTCTCGCCTTTTTGTAATTTTGATAATGCAATTGTTGAAATTAAAATAGCAATACTTTAACATGTAAGTTATGCAAATATTCAAAGTCGATGGATCATGACTGAAGGTACATACATATGGCTAAACAATCTCCATGGAATGAGATGTGCCAATGCTAATACAACTGCATACCAAATACCATTGACTTATTATAAGACGTTCCCTTTAAACAAACCTAAACACAAACATTAACTTGTAAACTATGTAAAAGTTTCAAAGTCAATGAACCATGATCAGGGGTGGGGCTATATAATCTCCATGGAAACGATACTTGCAAATGCCAATAAATTTGCATACCAAATATCATTGACTTAACATTAGCAGTTCATCTTAAACTGATCTAATCACAAACTAATACATGTAAACTAAGCAAAAGTTTCAAAGTAAATAGACCATGACTGAGGGGGCGGGGCCAAATATTCCTCATGGAAATGAGATGTTCTAATGCTTATACAACTGAACACCAATTAACATTGGCCTACCACTATTGGTTCCCCTTGAACTGACCTAATCACAAACTAATACATGTTAACTTAGCAAAATTTTCAAAGTCTATAGACCATGACTAAGGGGGCGGAGCCAAATAATCTCCATGGAAATAAGATATGCCAATCCTTATACAACTGCATACCAAATATCATTGACCTACCAGTAGTGGTTCCCCATAAATTGACCTTATCACAAACTAATACATGTAAACTATGAAAAGTTTCAAAGTCAATAGACCTTGACTGAGGGGGCGGGACCAAATAATCTCCATGGTAATGAGATGTGCCAATGCTAATACAACTGCATACTAAATATCATTCACCTACCACTAGTGGTTCACCATGAACTAGACCTAATCACAAACTAATACATTGTTGACGCTGTCGCCAATGCCGGAAAAAGCATACCTATGTCTCGCTTTTTGACTCCGTCAAGGCGAGACAAAAATAGCAATACTTTAACATGTAAGTTATGCAAATATTCAAAGTCGATGAACCATGACTGAAGGTACATGGCTAAACAATCTCCATGGAATGAGATGTGCCAATGCTAATACAACTGCATACCAAATACCATTGACTTATTATAAGTCGTTCCCTTTAAACAAACCTAAACACAAACATTAACTTGTAAACTATGTAAAAGTTTCAAAGTCAATGAACCATGATCAGGGGTGGGGCTATATAATCTCCATGGAAACGATACTTGCAAATGCCAATACATTTGCATACCAAATATTATTGACTTAACATTAGCAGTTCATCTTAAACTGATCTAATCACAAACTAATACATGTAAACTATGAAAAGTTTCAAAGTCAATAGATCTTGACTGAGGGGGCGGGGCCAAATAATCTCCATGGTAATGAGATGTGCCAATGCTAATACAACTGCATACCAAATATCATTGACCTACCACTAGTGGTTCATCATGAAAAAGACCTAATCACAAACTAATACATTGTTGCCGCCGACGCCGGAAACAGCATACCTATGTCTCGCTTTTTGACTCCGTCAAGGCGAGACAAAAATTGCCATGACACACTTTTTCTCAATTCTTTCTTTTCCATTATATACATGATGATATACTTGTCTCACATTTTTACACTCTCTGGTATACAATATAACAACAAGGAGAAGTGATTGCCAAACTATCCATTTGTATGAAAACATAAAATGCCTTTTAATGGTCATGAAACATTTATCTCACATATTGACACTTTTGACATGCTTTTGTACACAAGTGTGTAAACATATAAAATGGAAATGACAAACTTACCTCATGTGTTTACACAGACAATACACTCTAGTACACAAGTGTGTAAACATGAAATGGTTATGAATAAAAAATACCAACTTACCTCACATGTTTACACAGATGACACACTTAAGTACATAAATGTGTAATCATAAAATGGTTATGACCAAGTTAGTCAAACTTACCTCATGTGTTTACACAGACGACACATCCCAGTACACAAGTTTGTAAATATATAAAATGGCCACCCATAAGAAGCACTGGCATATCTCATGTAATGGAACATCATCTTGGTTGTCATCCATGGTTTGGGTTTTACATTACATTCTTCTGTGGATGTGGAAGCCTGTCCATTGGACCTACTATAATATTTATAATAATTATTTGTCTTAAAGATTCAGAGTGATTTTTTAGAAAGACAAATTCAAATGTCTTGCTATGTTGCACTCTAGATGACACACAAATTTACTGTCAACAATTTCTTCAACCAAATGGTTGACAGAGACCATGGAAAATAGTTTTGGCAGTCTTTACATACCAGAGTCTTCTTATCTGTACCCATTGTGTCCTATTCCCGAGTGTGACATTTTATAGGTGTAGATTTACATAGCGGGTGATGCATGGACAGCAGTAGTTGCTTACTTCGTCAATTTACCCTGTCTCGTTCCTTTTAGGATTCATGCGATTCCTTCAAGTTTTGTTCGTTCCCTTGATTTGTTATTTCTTCATCATGTTCATGGATTAATAAGATTTGGACATTGGTAAACTGCTGTTGCCTTTATTCAAGCAAGCTATTTGAGTGTATTTTTTTTTAATATTATTTAAACTAAGAAACATACAGTTTATGCATTGAAAATATTAGAAATTTCAAATTTAATATGAAAATAAATAAACAATACAAATATTTTTTTAGTATGTGAAAAAAGCAATAAAACTACAACCATTTAATTCTAAAGCAGTGCAAGTTAAATATTGGTTGTCAGGAGTATAATGGAGTATTTGGGATTATAAAATACTGCATTGGATAAAATACCTAGCCTAGCTATACACTTGGTAAATACAAGAATAGAAAAGATTAATAAAAGAACAGAGTTCCATTGTCCCGTTGCATATATTTTATCAGTCCAAGGACAATTACTAAAAAAAAAATTTTTTTGTTCTTTAAAAACTTTTTTTATAAATATCTTAGAGAAATGAACAGATGAAGTTTTGAAAGCTCTAACAATGATATTTTCAATACAATTAATATTTCCTAAGGAACATAATTCTTTTTAATATTATTGATGGGTACTGATTTCGAAATTGTCAGAGACTTTGCTGATATAAATCTTTGATATAAATTAAATATATATCTGACTAGAATTGTACACATGAGAGCACTTAAAACACAATTTCCAAAAAATAATATTTCCAAGGGCATAACTCTTTTAAAAATAATTGATCAGCACTGATTTTCAAACTTGTAAGAGACATTGCTGAAATAAACCTATGCTATAAGTTTATAACCTTGGTGAACACAGGAATATATGGATCCACAAAAGTAAGGTATTGGGCAACCCAGCACACACAGCTATAACCTTGGTGAACACAGGAATATATGGAATCCACAAAAATAAGGTATTGGGCAATTCACTTAGCCAAGCTATAACCTGGGTGAACACAGGAATATATGGATCCACAAAAGTAAGGTATTGGGCAACCCAGCACACACAGCTATAACCTTGGTGAACACAGGAATATACAGAATCCACAAAAGTAAGGTATTGGGCAACCCAACCAGCCCAGATATAACCTTGGTGAACACAGGAATATATGGAATCCACAAAAGTAAGGTATTGGGCAACCCAACCAGCCCAGATATAACCTTGGTGAACACAGGAATATATGGAATCCACAAAAGTAAGGTATTGGGCAACCCAACCAGCCCAGATATAACCTTGGTGAACACAGGAATATATGGAATCCACAAAAGTATGGTATTGGGCAACCCAACCAGCCCAGATATAACCTGGGTGAACACAGGAATATATGGAATCCACAAAAGTATGGTATTGGGCAACCCAACCAGCCCAGATATAACCTGGGTGAACACAGGAATATATGGAATCCACAAAAATAAGGTATTGGGCAATTCACCTAGCCAAGCTATAACCTGGGTGAACACAGGAATATATAGAATCCACAAACATTGTACTGGAAAAAGCACCTTACTATAGCCAAGCAATATCAAAATTAAAATGAAATGAAAAATACTTTGGGGTGAATAATGTCTTTGACTACCCATAAGGTTCTCAAAGGTAATGGAAATATATCATTTAAAACAACAAAACTATCCATTTAGACATTGCTTTACAAAAACCAGGTCAATGACTTCAATTTTAACTTTTAATCTTTACAATAAGAATAGTAAAGGTAACAACATACTATAAAATGAAAGACATTGTAGGATTATACTATTAATTATGCTCTTGACTACAGAGATGAACTTTTGTTAGCTGAAGATAAAATATGTAAATAAAAGTGACATAATAAGTCATTAAAGCAGAGTTGCTAGAAGTATTTGCTTTAAAACCACACAAAAGAGTGTTTATAGGAAATACAAGAAGATAACAAAATCACAGAAAATGATCTAATTTTATGTAAAAATTGTGAAATCTATAAAATTTACCCCCAAAAAGTGAATCTATTTCCATGGTTTCTGTAAATATATTAAATACTGTTTGTATGTATTACGCGTATATAGGAGAAAAAAATTATATCATCAGTTTTAACAATGGAAAAAAAAGGATATAGCAGATATAGATAAATCATGAAATCAATTTCTATATGTACTTGAAAAAAGCCAGAGCTAAGGACAGTGCATTATTGCTCTTCTTCATCTCGAGGTCATAGTTCATGGGCACACATATTGTGTTTAAATTTCCAAAAAATATTCCATATATATATTTGAGATACATTTGTAATTACAAAAATATAAGACAATTACTTCAGTATAAATTTCTAAAGTACATTTAACATTACATGTATGTTTCATTATAATACGTTATTTTGATTGGCTAACAGCATTCTCGCATCATTCTAAAATTAACCTTCATTTCAAAATGAAATGTAACATTCATGATGACACAAGCTTCCACAATAAAGAGCACAGGTAAGAAAAAACTTGATAGAAAACGTGTTGTTATGATCCAAGCAAAAAATGTAATTATAAGTATTGAATGCTTCTTTTAGTAATTTTATAGGGTTGTGAAAGCGTTGACTGTGTGCACATTTTAGAATGAAGCGCTTCTGCGCTTCATACAAAATGTATTTCGGTCAATGCTTTTACATCCCAATAAATTTCCAAAAACAACCATTCAATTCTTAAATCATTATTAGCACTATGAATAGCTAGCCACTTGAAAGCAATTTTTTTATAAATAATTTTTCTTGTTAAAAAAATAACTACCTAGCTGCTCCATTGGTGAATGTATCATATGATATACTTGGCAGATCACTAATCTGTTTCTCTTGGTCTTTATGTACCAGTATCAAACCAGCAGCAATGTCAGTGGGTACCAGATCTACATCCTGTCATTCATAAAAAGAGACATACATAGATTATTCCCAATTATTATAAACTAGAGGCTCTCAAGAGCCTGTGTCGCTCACCTGTATCTACTGTGGTTTTGGAAATCATGTAAAATAAGATTAAAATCATATAGATACCCTAATAATGATTGAGGCCAAGTAGTTAAATTAAAAGCAGAAGATTTTTGAAAAGATTTACAAAAGTTACCAATAAATTGCAGAAAATAACTTTAAAGGACAATAACTCCAATAAGATGCCAATTGGTCATGTTAACTTATTTGTAGTTCTTTCTTTGCTTGATATTTTTGCTGTTTACAGTATATCTCAACCTATAATGATATTCAAGATAATTAACAAAAAATAAAAAATTTCCTTTCCTCTGCTCCAAAATTTATTTCACCCAGGGCCTGTATAATGCTGAAAATGCCTTTAAATGTTTTTATGGAACACCCTTCAAAAAAAAATTTGGGCAGGGGTTCCCCTGACCCCGACAAACTTGCAGGGTCTGGGGGGTATTCACCCAATATAACATGTATAAGTATGCTGAAAGAAGATATAACACAAGCATTCTGAGAGTATTGCATGGCAATACATAGTCCCCTACCGGGTAAAAATTCATTATACTGGAACAAAATGCTAACTTGTTCTATAACTTGTCATGGTGTAAACAATAAGAAAATATCAAGTCAATATCTTCAAGCATGACTAAAAACAGTGTGGAAAACTGAATATATGAGTGAATTTTTTCAAGTCCAAGGAACATAACTCTACACAAAATTATCAGACCGAAACAAAAATTTTAACTTGATCTGTAACTTGTCATGATAAAACTATATACCAATTGTCAATCAATATCTTCAAGCATGATGAAAAAAAGTGTGGAAAACCTATAACACTTTAACATAAGATAAGATTAATAGTTCTCTAAAATTAGATATGATGTAATACAATGTATATCTATTTTCAAATTACAATCAAATATAATTAATAGTTCCAAATATTTTTTCTTTCATTTGTCACAAACTAATATAGATTTGTAAATTATCTATAAAATGTCAACAACTTTTATTATGTTTATCTACACAATGTAATGTAATGAAATATACACCTTAATATAAATAAATTATTATCTAATTAAATGATTTCACTTAATAAAAAAAATTATATATATATACATGTAGCATTCAGAAAAATAGTTTATACAAAATAACATATAAACCTGCCACAAAATTCCTCAATCAATTTACCAAAGAATCTTTTATAAAAAAAATGAGTTATCTCCCTTTGTACAGATATATGGTTTAACATAGTACTCTTAACATTAGTTATGGAGTTTTTTTATGGACCATAACTCTGGACTAAATCATCAGACCGGAACAAAATTTGAACTTGATCTATAACTTGTCATGATAAAACTATATACCAAATATCAAATCAATATCTTCAAGAACGAAGAAAAAATGTGTGGAAAGCTGAGTTGCCGGACTGACGGATGGACAGACGGAGGGACAGACGGACAGAGTGAAAACCTAAATGTCCCCTTTGACTTCGTCGGTAGGGGACTAATAATGGTTTATAGAAAAAGTAACACTGAATAATTCTGAAAATGGAACATATCAAAGAGAAATTATTAGCAACCCAACCGCCCTACCCTCCCCCTGAAAAAAAATCAAGTCATCCCATTGTAGTCTTACAATAGTTACTGAAGACCCCTTATCATTATTTAAATTAGTTTTCAAGTTGTGACCATTTGAAATTGTTGTTTTTACATTTTTCCCATAGATTTCTATAGTAATCCCCTATGTTCTATTTTTACCAATGGGGATCGACCATGTTGGTTGTAGGGCAGGGTCATTGGATACATTTTTCAATCAAGATACTCTAATAATAATTGTGGCTAAGTTTAATTCCATTTGGCCAAGTAGATTAAGAGGAGAAGATTTTTGTAAAAAGATTAAAAAAATAGTGAAAAATTGATTTTAAAGGGCAATAACTCCTTAAGGGGTCAATTGACAATTTTGGTCATGTTGACTTATTTGTAGATCTTACTTTGCTGAACATTTTGCTGTTTACAGTTTATCTCTATCTATTATAACAAGAGTGCACACACTGAAATGTCTCGCCTTCTTTACTAATCATTGATATTATGTTGATAGTCCTAAATATAAAGCTTTATTACAACTGTCACATAAACTTAACATTAACCATGAAAACTAAACATTGACCAATGAACCATGAAAATGAGGTCAAGGTCAGATAAACCATGCCAGGCAGACATGTACAGTTAACAATTCTTCCATATAACAAATATAGTTGACCTATTGCTTATAGTTTAAGAAAAACAGACCAAAACACAAAAACTTAACACTGAGCAATGAACTGTGAAAATGAGGTCAAGGTCATATAAAACCTGCGCGACTGACATATAGATCATAAAATATTTCCATACACCACATATAGTTGACCTATTGCATATAGTATTAGAAAAAAAGATCAAAACTCAAAAACTTAACTTTGACCACTGAACCATGAAAACGAGGTCAAGGTCAGATGACACCCGCCAGCTAGACATGTACACCTTACAATCATTCCATACACCAAATAAAGTAGACCTATTGCATACAGTATAAGAAAAACAGACCAAAACACAAAAACTTAACTATTATTACCACTGAACCATGAAAATGAGGTCAAGGTCAGATGACACCTGCCAGTTGGACATGTACACCTTACAGTCCTTCCATACACCGAATATACTAGACCTATTGCTTATAGTATCTGAGATAACCTTGTTCACTGATCCATGAAATGAGGTTGAGGTCAAGTGAAAACTGTCTGACGGGCATGAGGACCTTGCAAGGTACGCACATACCAAATATAGTTATCCTACTACTTATAATAAGAGAGAATTTAACATTGCAAAAAATGTTAACTTTTTTTTCAAGTAGTCACTGAACCATGAAAATGAGGTCAAGGACATTGGACATGTGACTGACGGAAACTTTTTAACCTGAGGCATCCATATACAAAGTATGAAGCATCCAGGTCTTCCACCTTCTAAAATATAAAGCTTTTAAGAAGTTAGCTAACGCCGCCGCCGCTGGATCACTATCCCTATGTCTAGCTTTCTGCGACAAAAGTCGCAGGCTCGACAAAAATTCAAGATAAGATTCGTCTGAAGATTTCAGGGCAGATAGATCTTGACCTGATGAACATTTTTACCCCATGTCAGATTTGCTCTAAATGCTTTAGTTTCAGAGATATAAGCCAAAAACTGCATTTTACCCCTATGTAAAAATAATAATGTTCTATTTTTAGCCATGGCGGCCATCTTGGTTGGTGTGCAGGATCATCGGATACACTTTTTAAACTAGATACCCTAAGGATGATTTAGGCCAAGTTTGGTTTAACTTGGCCCAGAAATTTCAGAGAAGATTTATGTAAAAGATAACAAAAATTTACGAAAAATTGTGAAAATTTGACTTTAAAGGGCAATAAATCCTTAAGGGGTCAATTGACAATTTTGGTCATGTTTGACTTATTTGTAGATCTTACTTTGCTGAACATTTTTGCTGTTTACAGTTTATCTCTATCTATTATAATATTCAAGATAACCAAAAACTGCAAAATTTACTTAAAATTACCAACTTAGGAGCAACAACCCAACAACAGGTTGTCTGATACGTCTAAAAATTTCAGGGCAGATAGATCTTGACCTGATGAACATTTTTACCCAATGTCAGATTTGCTCTAAATGCTTTAGTTTCAGAGATATAAGCTAACAAGAGTGCACATGCTGAAATGTCTCGCCTTCTTTACTACTCATTGATATTATGTTGATAGTCCTAAATATAAAGCTTTATTACAACTGTCACATAAACTTAACATTAACCAAGTAAACTAAACATTGACCAATGACCATGAAAATGAGGTCAAGGTGAGATGAACCATGCTAGGCAGGCATGTACAGCTAACAATTCTTCCATACAACAAATATAGTTGACCTATTGCTTATAGTTTTTATATATTGTTTAATAGTTAACAGACCAAAACACAAAAACTTAACACTGAGCAATGAACCTTGAAAATGAGGTCAAGGTCAAATAAAACCTGTGTGACTGACATATAGATCATAAAATATTTCCATACACCAAATATAGTTGAACTATTGCATATAGTTTTAGAAAAAAAGACCAAACTCAAAAACTTAACTTTGACCACTGAACCATGAAAATGATGTCAAGGTCAGACGACACCTGCCAGCTAGACATGTACACCTTACAGTCATTCAATACACCAAATATAGTAGACCTTTTGCATACAGTATATGAAAAACAGACCAAAACACAAAAACTTAACTATAACCACTGAACCATGAAAATGAGGTCAAGGTCAGATGACACCTGCCAGTTGGACATGTACACCTTACAGTCCTTCCATACACCGAATATACTAGACCTATTGCTTATAGTATCTGAGATATGGACTTGACCACCAAAACTTAACCTTGTTCACTGATCCATGAAATGAGGTTGAGGTCAAGTGAAAACTGTCTGACGGGCATGGGGACCTTGCAAGGTACGCACATACCAAATATAGTTATCCTATTACTTATAATTATAAGAGGGAATTTAACATTACAAAAAATCTTAACTTTTTTTTCAAGTAGTCACTGAACCATGAAAATGAGGTCAAGGACATTGGACATGTGACTGACGGAAACTTCGTAACATGAGGCATCCATATACAAAGTATGAAGCATCCAGATCTTCCACCTTCTAAAATATAAAGCTTTTCAGAAGTTAGCTAACGCCGCGCCGCCCTAGCCGCCGCCAGATCACTATCCCTATGTAGAGCTTTCTGCAATAAAAGTCGCAGGCTCGACAAAAACTGCATTTTACCCCTATGTTCTATTTTTAGCCATGGCAGCCATCTTGATTGGTGGGCGGGGTCATCGGATATATTTTTAAAACTAGATACCCTAAAGATGATTTAGGCCAAGTTTGATTTAATTTGGCCCAGTGGTTTCAGAGGAGATGATTTTTGTAAAAGTTAAGGACAACGATGGACGACAAGTGATGAGAAAAGCTCACTTGACCCTTTGAATCAGATAAAAAACTAAATAGATATATTTTATCTTTTCAGGTTTAAAAGTTGATTAGCAATTCGCAAATTATAACATTTTATTCAAAAAGAAAAATGATGTAAATTCAACCTTGAAGGAACTGAAAATGTGTGACACTGAATGGAATAGCCATGTAATAAAATGTGTCGCACTGTATGGAATAACCATGTAACATAAATTGCTTCGCTGAGTGCAGCTGGATACGACCACAGAGGTCCAACCCTGAACAGTTGGGGAAAAAAAAGACACAACATTCGCGCTTGATACAGGTCTGAATTTGGATTGTAATTAAATATCTGACACAAAATAGGTTTCTGACACAGAATAACTGTAGACAAAGAATTTAGAATTGGTAATATGATTTGAATTTATATTCAATTTATGTTTTTGTGCAATACACTATGCTTTTGCCTATTGACCCCCCCCACTCCCTTCCAATCTTTTTTTGGCAAAAAAAAATAATATTTGAAGAAATTTTCTTTTTAATTTCTGAAATCTGAAATGAGAAAAATTGCCTCCCCCCCAAAAAAAAAATATTTTGTTTTTCAATTCCCCCTTTTCCCCTTTTCCAAAAAAAAATCTTTCCCTCAAGATAAGATCATAATCTCAATTCAAATTTCTAATGGAGTTTGCAACCATAATTACCCATTAAAATACATCATAAAAGTCTTAAAATAGAAAATGACATACATGTTCAAGGCTAAAATTAATATTAATTACTCTAACATTTAAAAATAAATTGACAGCTAATCACCTCAAGACAATACAGCATTTCTTATACATAATTTACAAGCAATGTAAGGGAGGTAATCCAAAACATACACAACATTGTATATTAAATGTGATCGGATTACCTCCCTTACACTGCTTTAAAATTGTCCATTAACCAGGAAACCCTTGTTTTTCCCCTTTTTTTGCCACTAATTCCTAAATGGTTTCAGCCATATAACCTCCCTAAAGTCAATCCTAACCATCCCTTTGTGGTATGGAAACTTGTGGTATAATTTCAAAGAGATTCATACACTTAAACACAAGTTATTGTCTGGAAACTACAAAAATGCTTATTTGGGCCACTTTTTTTGCCCCTAATTCCTAAACTGTTGGGACCATAATCCCCAAAATTAATCCCGATCTTCCTTTTGTGGTAATAAACCTTGTGTTTAAATTTCATAGATATCTATTTACTTATACTAAAGTTATTGTCAGGAAACCAACTGTATTTGGACGACGACGACAATGTGATATCAATATATGACCACAAAAATTTTTGGCGGTCGTATAAAAATGTGTAACACTGTATGGAATAACCATGAAATAAAATGTGTCACACTGTGTGGAATAACCATGTAATAAAATGTGTCACACTGTATGGAATAACAATGTAATAAAATGTGTCACACTGTGTATGGAATAACCATGTAATAAAATGTGTCACACTGTATGGAATAACCATGTCAAAAAAATTGTCACACTGTATGGAATAACCATGTCAAAAAATGTGTCACACTGAATGGAATATTCATGTAATAAAATGTCACACTGTATGGAATATTCATGTAATAAAATGTGTCACACTGTATGGAATATTCATGTAATAAAATGTGTCACACTGTATGGAATAACCAGGTCATACAAACATGATGGTACAATTTATTGTTTTATCAGGTTTATTTATTTGTTTGTTTTGATTGGAGATTAATGATCTACTGATAGTTTGTATTAGAGCTGTACATGTTCAGCTACATGTATTTGTCTTTAGTGAGGGTTTATCCAGGCACTGCTATATCATACGATAATAAACATGATAGATAAGCCTGGAATGATAATGTAGAAATATATCTATACAAACAAATGAATAATACCTTAAAATAATCTGCAAGCAGTTGTGAGATAGCATTAAATGCACCAGTATTTTTTTCACTTCCTGCCAAACAACAACATATTATTCTAAACCTGTAAATAAACAGAAAACTTTTCATAAATCTAAATAAAGAAATTAATTTTGGATTAGAAGATAAATTTATTTATAGGTTGCACTTTGTAAATACAGCTGTTTAACAAGCCACACCTCTTTTGGGGAGATATATAATATTCATAGATATTTTGCTTTGTTTATGTACTGGTTCCCAGATATGATCTCTATGTTTCATCTCATAGAGAAATAACTTGGGAATGTTACCAGTATAAAAACACATGGTAGCGGCGAAAATTGAATTACGAGGGAGACTCAAAGTGAAGGTAGGGGTAGTACAGAGTTTTAGTATAAGAGTTCGGGGCATATAAATGTTAAAAATATGCCGCACAGCCCTATGTTTTGACCTTTGAATAAAAAATAAGTGCATATCAACTTTCCCTTCTACATGTTCTAGGATATAATTTTTCACGAAACTTCATAGTAAAAGCATTTCAAAAGTGGCACAGCTTTAGCCGCAAAGGGAGTTCCTATGGGAAATTGCATTGTCTGTATTTCCAGAAATGCAACCTATACATGTACAATAATTGTACTACAATGTATATGTATGATAACTGTTCTTCCAAACATCCTTGGACATTTGCTAAAATTGGTATATATAGGCAAACAATTTTCTTTACACCTTTTGTTATTTCACTGACTGCTATACAGACGAAGGGAGGACTAAGTACTTGTACACACAAACAATCCTGTCACATGTTAATACACCTATTGTCATTTCACCGACTACTGTACAGACAAAGTGAGGACTAAGTACTTGTACACACAAACAATCCTGTCACATATTAATACACCTATTGTCATTTCACTGACTGCTATACAGACAAAGTGAGGACTAAGTACTTGTACACACAAACAATCCTGTCACATGTTAATACACCTATTGTCATTTCACTGACTGCTATGCAGACAAAGTGAGGACTAAGTACTTGTACATACAACCAACCCTGTCACATGTTAATACACCTATTGTCATTTCACTGACCGCTATACAGACAAAGTGAAGACTAAGTACTTGTACACACAAACAATCCTGTCACGTGTTAATACACCTATTGTCATTTCACTGAATGCTATGCAGACAAAGTGTGGACTAAGTACTTGTACACACAAACAATCCTGTCACATGTTAATACACCTATTGTCATTTCACTGACTGCTATGCAGACAAAGTGAGGACTAAGTACTTGTACACACAAACAATCCTGTCACATGTTAATACACCGATTGTCATTTCACTGACTGCTATGCAGACAAAGTGAGGACTAAGTACTTGTACACACAAACAATCCTGTCACATGTTAATACACCTATTGTCATTTCACTGACTGCTATACAGACAAAGTGAGGACTAAGTACTTGTACACACAAACAACCCTGTCACATGTTAATACACCTATTGTCATTTCACTGACTGCTATACAGACAAAGTGAGGACTAAGTACTTGTACACACAAACAACCCTGTCACATGTTAATACACCTATTGTCATTTCACTGACTGCTATGCAGACAAAGTGAGGACTAAGTACTTGTACACACAAACAATCCTGTCACATGTTAATACACCTATTGTCATTTCACTGACTGCTATACAGACAAAGTGAGGACTAAGTACTTGAACACACAAACAACCCTGTCACATGTTAATACACCTATTGTCATTTCACTGACTGCTATACAGACAAAGTGAGGACTAAGTACTTGTACACACAAACAACCCTGTCACATGTTAATACACCTATTGTCATTTCACTGACTGCTGTACAGACAAAGTGAGGACTAAGTACTTGTACATGCAAACAACCCTGTCACATGTTAATAAGCCCATCATTTGTAAATGTCATTAACTTTGTCAGTGATAGTAATTATTTCTTCTGTATTCTAGTGACATTGTTCATTCTTCAATGGTTCTTATCCATTTAGGATTTGGACATATGCATCAATGACTGATCTTTGATAATCTCTTGAATCACAAATTGTTTAGACTCATGGTAACTCAAAAGTTTGAGGTTGGAATTGGAAATTGAGGCCCTAAGAATGATCATTAATAATTGTTTTTAAAATAAAATGCTTCAAAGAATGTAAGTCAGACAGAATTCAAAATGAACATCCATACCCAATTCTGATAAATGAGAATTGACAAGGATCCTGAAGAAACTTATCATTGATACCAATCACAAGTACAATGGGAGATTAGAGTTTTGGACAAGAGGGAATCATTTTTTTGGACTTTCCACATGTTCCAATGTGATTTAAATTAGAAATTTCATTTATAATTGAATTTCCTTCTCACTATGTCTGTATCAGTTTTGAGGTACATGTATATTTTGTTTGTTGGTGTTTAATGCCAATTTCAGCCTCCTCACTATACCATTAGGAACAGATTGTATTGGCTGAGGAAGCCTCCTCACTAACCCGTACCATTAGGAACAGATTGTATTGGCTGAGGAAGCCTCCTTACTATACCATTAGGAACAGATTGTATTGGCTGAGGAAGCTGGAGTGCATAAAGAGAGATTTTGAAAAGGAAAACTAGCAAACATTGTCATCAAGATGGGAATCTGACAAGCAGGGTAATTTTACAATCTTAAAATTGACAGGCTAGTGATCACTATACATGTACATTGTACTTAACAACTTCAAAATTGACAGGCTAGTGATCACTATACATGTACATTGTACTTAACAACTTCAAAATTGACAGGCTAGTGATCACTATACATGTACATTGTACTTAACAACTTCAAAATTGACAGGCTAGTGATCACTATACATGTACATTGTACTTAACAACTTCAAAACTGACAGGCTAGTGATCACTATACATGTACATTGTACTTAACAACTTCAAAGTGATCACTATACAAGTACATTGTACTTACCGGTAACAACTTCAAAATTGACAGGCTAGTGATCACTATACATGTACATTGTACTTAACAACTTCAAAATTGACAGGCTAGTTGTACTTAACAACTTCAAAATTGACAGGTTAGTGATCACTATACATGTACATTGTACTTAACAACTTCAAAATTGACAGGCTAGTGATCACTATACATGTACATTGTACTTAACAACTTCAAAATTGACAGGCTAGTGATCACTATACATGTACATTGTACTTAACAACTTCAAAATTGACAGGCTAGTGATCACTATACATGTACATTGTACTTAACAACTTCAAAATTGACAGGCTAGTGATCACTATACATGTACATTGTACTTAACAACTTCAAAATTGACAGGCTAGTGATCACTATACATGTACATTGTACTTAACAACTTCAAAATTGACAGGCTAGTGATCACTATACATGTACATTGTACTTAACAACTTCAAAATTGACAGGCTAGTGATCACTATACATGTACATTGTACTTAACAACTTCAAAATTGACAGGCTAGTGATCACTATACATGTACATTGTACTTAACAACTTCAAAATTGACAGGCTAGTGATCACTATACATGTACATTGTACTTAACAACTTCAAAATTGACAGGCTAGTGATCACTATACATGTACATTGTACTTAACAACTTCAAAATTGACAGGCTAGTGATCACTATACATGTACATTGTACTTAACAACTTCAAAGTGATCACTATACAAGTACATTGTACTTACCGGTAACAACTTCAAAATTGACAGGCTAGTGATCACTATACATGTACATTGTACTTAACAACTTCAAAATTGACAGGCTAATTGTACTTAACAACTTCAAAATTGACAGGTTAGTGATCACTATACATGTACATTGTACTTAACAACTTCAAAATTGACAGGCTAGTGATCACTTTACATGTACATTGTACTTAACAACTTCAAAATTGACAGGCTAGTGATCACTATATATGTACATTGTACTTAACAACTTCAAAATTGACAGGCTAGTGATCACTATACATGTACATTGTACTTAACAACTTCAAAATTGACAGGCTAGTGATCACTATACATGTACATTGTACTTAACAACTTCAAAATTGACAGGCTAATTGTACTTAACAACTTCAAAATTGACAGGTTAGTGATCACTATACATGTACATTGTACTTAACAACTTCAAAATTGACAGGCTAGTGATCACTTTACATGTACATTGTACTTAACAACTTCAAAATTGACAGGCTAGTGATCACTATATATGTACATTGTACTTACCGGTAACAACTTCAAAATTGACAGGCTAGTGATCACTATACATGTACATTGTACTTAACAACTTCAAAATTGACAGGTTAGTGATCACTATACATGTACATTGTACTTAACAACTTCAAAATTGACAGGCTAGTGATCACTATACATGTACATTGTACTTAACAACTTCAAAATTGACAGGCTAGTGATCACTATACATGTACATGTACTTTCACCACTTGGCAATAGAATCATAGTACTTTAGTTAATACACTTGTAAAATATATTAAATCAATTCATATTTTTTTCACCTGCACAATGTGTATATATATATACAGGTAAATATAATGTATAAATAAGAAAATCTATAAACAGTCTAACCTTTTTTCCCACTTGTTGATGGCAGAAGAAGAAGCACCACTTTCTTTGCTGTATAGTCCATCATGATGTGATTTCTTTGATCCCCCTAAAATACCAAACACAAATAAAAAAGCAATGAACACAGTTACGGCTAGAACCCAGAACACAATGACCGTGATTTTAACAGCCAGTTCTACACTATGTTCACACGTAGTCTTCATTCCAAAGGCCCAATAGCTTCCTAATATATTCCAAACAATTTCTACGATGGCAAGAACTGACCGCACATAAAAAACCTTGACAAATTTTCTCCTTGGCTGAGCATTCATTAAAGACCCACGTGAGCTGATAAACACAATTACACATGTACTGATTATACACACACACATCACCACAAGGATTCCAATACAATAGATCTGTAGATAACTTCCTCCTTTACATCTAATAAAGGCATCTTGGTGAAGGTTATACACAACTGACATAAATATCAACCTGAAAATAAATTGAATGTAACATTAGATAGTTAAGTTTCTAGAAAAAAAATAATTCTATATTACAGGCTCTTATAGCAACATGTAGGACATGAAAAACTTTTAAATCTACAGGCCTGGAGCTCAATTTTTTGAAAATTGTAGTTAGATTCTGTTGGCCTGTAGAGATGATTTTTACAGGCCCGAGAACAATTTTACAAGCCTGGGCTGCTGGGCCTGTGGTTCAGCATGAAGACTGCCTCCATTGCCCAACTAGCAGCCATTTAAGTAAAAAAATTATCACCATAAAATCTTAAAAAATAAACAATACATATGACAAATATTTCAGTGGCTCTGTGTTTTCAAAGAATGTGATCTATATCATGTATGAGTTATGGTCTACAGAACACATGTTTTATAGAGCCTCACTCTATCCCTAATGGATGTAGTGCTGAGTGTGGATCATCTGGGAAATCATTCCCTGCACCAAATATAGTTGACCCATTACTGGTACTTATAGTATGCATGGTATCTAGATGATTGTGACACTGATTTTATAAGTAAATTAGACATTGCTTGCATTTTCTTCTACATATCTTAATTTTTGTTAATCCATAATCATTATTATTTGCACATTATTTAAAGAATAATTGTATTTCATATAGATCAAAAGTAAATATCAAACATCAAATATACTATTGAGGTCAAGAATTGTATATTAATTGTGTAATAAAATGTCTGTTCAAGTATGTAATACAAGAAATATTACCTGTGGTCAATACATATTATTAAAGTGGAGGTGATTCCAATTAATAACCAGGACTTTTGAGTGTAATTGTTTATAAATCATGACAGTTGTCAATCATACTGGTATTGTATTCAGTGTGTATAAATCTAGTGGCTTACCAAGCTCCATCATTAGTGAGGCAGATGTCTTAGGAAAGAATTGGAACAATAATATTGAAAAAAATGTGGAAACCTATTTTGATAGAAATTGATAGGCGGGGCTTCAGCTTGTATACATTATACTTTTAAATGTTTTTGGATGTTAAGTATAATGCAGAGTATAATGTATACAAGCTGAAGCCCCGCCTATCTATTGATTGCAGATGTCAATCTTAATTACAATGCTTGAGCAAATATTTATACAAACAAAGCATGCAAGCCAACCAAACTTTTAAACTACAAGCATTAGGACAATAGCTCTAAATTGTATGGCAAATTACATATAAAGCTGGTAGGCAATGATTATAATATGGTCTTTCTGCAAGTCATAAAACACATCATTAATTTCATTATATGTCTTCAATTCAGAACCTTAAAATCCTGAATGATCAAATAGAGACAGCTTGGATAGATTAAATACATCATAAAATAATGGGGAATACACACAAGATAAATCTTGTTGCAGTTTGTTCAGGTACATGTGAACGCAATGAATCTTTGCTTATTGTTATCTATTTATTAATTAATTAAAGATGATCACAGCACTGATTTAACAAGTAAAACAAAATATAGACCCCCACTTGCATTTTTTTTTACTCTTTTTTATTAAACACCTGGAAAATGCAATGTTATCACTATGATTTTACTTTAATATTTTGACTTCATTTCTCATTTAATAATAAATGTATTTTTCAAGGTTGAAGCCTTGTTGACCACAATAAAGAAGAAGAATTTGTAAACACCTGTGGTGAGAGCACCTTACATTCTTAAGTAAGATTCCAGAGCCATATGGATTATTAGCCGAATAGACTGTACAATGTATAAGGCAAAAAAGAAAATATGTCTGTTGAAGGTTACATTATAAAAAACAATAGAGTAGGTAGGTCAGTATTTCAATTTTATTTTTGCGACATGATTTGAGTCATGAGGTCCGTCTTGGTCCCAGTTGTCCATGGGCAGAGTTTACCCGTATTTTTCATGATTGGATGTTTTCCCTCTGTTGTTAGTTGGGAAAAAACATACGATTGTGATTTAGATGTATCAGGCAATGGATTTATTTTATTGGCAACTCTAACTTCGCTTTTGACACGAGTTCAGCTAACTTTTCACTTTACAATAGGAATAAAATTACTTAGGGTCGGTGCTCAAAGATAAGGTCCGTCGGGTAACTGTAATATATATGTTTTTTTTTGCCATATAGAGAGATCAACTGTTGATCATCAACATTGTCACACTTCACTAACAAACATGCCAATAAAAACTTTAGTGAAGACATTTTTAGGCATGCATAGGGTATATAGGGAAACCATAATCACATGATTTTTTTTTGGCTTGATTGTCCCAACCTTTAAAATATAAGAATAAATTGTTTTATATTAACAATTTTACTATGTGGTGATATTCACATCAATCCAGGGCCTATCAAACATCCCTGTACAGATTGCAAAAAATCAGTGCGGTCAAACCAAAAGGCCTTTCAATGTGACTTTTGCAACAACTGGACACACCTTAAATGTACAAACATCTCAAGTACACAATATCACATCTTATCAACGACAGATGATACATTTTATTGCTATGGATGCAGCCAGCGACTCCCAAACTTTACGGAATCGTTTTTTAATGACACATTTAACCAGAGCTGTAGTACCAGTTTTAACCTATCTGGGAGTTCACAAAATGGGTCAATAAATATTGTAAACAGTGACTCGGGAGATGAACATCAATATGATATATTTTCAGAACTAAATGAAGCATGAAGGAAGCACCCTGACACATTTACGTGTGCATACCTTAATATCAACAGCCTAAGGTACAAATTTTGTTCCATTAAAGAACTTCTATGTAAAAACACCGTAGATATGCTGATTATAGCAGAAACAAAAATAGATGACTCTTTTCCAGACGCTCTATTTAAGGTCGATAATTTCCACTTCTGGAGGAAAGACCAAACATCCCATGGTAGCGGACTTGTTATGTATGTTAGATCTGACATAGCATGCGACAGAAAATAAAATTATGAACTTAAATTTACTGAATCAATTATGGTAGAAATGCATATTAATAATAGAAAATGGTTAATTGCAGGTCTTTATAGACCTCCTACAATAAAAGATGATAATTTTAAAAATGAATTTATATGTACATGTGATAAATTATCAACTATTTATGATAATTTTCTTCTACTTGGTGACTTAAATTATAACATGCTCTCCCAGCAAAAATGTACCCCTCTACATGATATCTGTGATATTTTTGATTTCACAAATCTGGTAAATAAACCAACTTGTTTCACAAAACATGCTCCTGCTACCTTAAATGATGTTATTCTTACAAACCAAACAACTTATTGTCAAAACATTTTAAATTTCAACTGTGGTTTGAGTGATGTACATAACATTATTTCCACTCAAATTAAGGGCAAACTACCAAAAATAAATAAAGGTTTCATAAATTACAGAAGTTTCAAACACTTTTGATCAGGAACATTTTTTGACAGATTTAAATGGAAAAAACTTAACTGCTATAATAGAAGAATCAGCAGATGTTAATACAGCATATGACACATTTGAGACAAATTTCATGGAGGTTATAGACAAACATATACCTATGAAAAAAAAGAAAGCCATCAACAAACCAGCCCCATTCATGAATCAAACTTTACGAAGGGAAATATATAAAAAAAGAATGGCATATAACAAATATCAAAACTATAAAATTTAACAAATTGGGAATCATACAGAAAACAAAGAAATTTGGTTAATAAAATTAAAAAGAAATCCATCAGAAACTATTTCATGGAAAGATGTGTAGAAGGACCTAACAGCAAAGATTTTTGGCCAACAATCAAGCCCTTCTTAACTAACAAAGGTTCACATTTTTCAAAAGATCTAATACTATGTGAAGACAATAAAATAATTAATAATCAAAATGAAGTTGCTGAATTATTTAATAATTTTTTTATAAATGTTGCCAAAGATATAGGCTCAAAAGATACTATCATCGATGAACACCATCCCAGTATTAAAGTTATAAAAGAAAACAAACCAGAAAAAGAAGAACTATGTTTTAGCCCAGTAAATTCTGAGTTTGTTAAAAAACAAATCAATAAAATTAACATTAAAAAGGCAACAGGAAAAGATGGAATCTCTTCAAAAGTATTAAAATTATCTGAATCTGAACTATCCAATCCAATTTCTAAATTAATAAATAAATCATTTGAATTAGCTGTTTTCCCAGATAAATTAAAAGAAGCACAAGTAATACCTCTGCATAAAAAATCAAACACTCTAGATAAAGGAAACTATAGACCTGTAAGTATATTGCCCATGATTTCAAAAATTTTTGAGAGGTCTATAGAAAATCAACTTGGGGAATATTTTAATTCATTTTTCCACATTTTTCTGTCAGCTTTTCGAAAAGGATACGGATGCCAAACTGCTTTATTAAAAATAATTGAAGATTGGAAAAAGGCTTTAGATCAGAATAAATATGTAGCAGCTATATTAATGGACTTGTCCAAGGCTTTTGACTGCCTACCCCATGACCTCCTCCTACTAAAATTAAAATCCTATGGTGTCTCCGCTTCTTCTCTTAAACTTTTGGAAAGCTATTTAACTAATAGAAAACAGTGTGTTAAAGTAGGTACAAATTCAAGCTACTGGCAAACAATGTTTAAAGGGGTGCCACAAGGGTCGATATTAGGGCCAACATTATTTAATATCTTTTTAAATGACATTTTCTTTTTTATTCATAAAAGTACACTCTATAATTATGCAGATGACAACACCCTTTCATACGCAGATAAAGATTTAGATAAATTAATTAATACTCTAGAAGATGAAAGCAAAATTTTGATAAATTGGTTCTCAATAAATAAAATGAAAGCAAATCCAGAAAAATTTCAAGCAATAGCTGTAGGTAAAAAAACTAAAGACAAAAACCTAAAATTTAAATTAGAAGGTAATGAAATAGAATTTGAAGATAACGTTAAACTTCTAGGCGTAACAATAGATTTTAAACTAAATTTCAATGAACATGTCTCTGTAATCAGTCAGGTGACTTACTTAAATGAGTGATTTTTTAATCACTGATTCAAGTAACATTGTGTCCACAAATGTTGGAAGTAAGAGTTGTATTTCTTTAATAATCACCAAGGATTTGTATAGTGAGACAAATCCTTGTAATCACTTATTTAAGTGGTACAAATAAATCACTTGACTAAGTGATTTAATTTTATTGTAGCTTTAAATATACAATACTAATGATCCAGGGACTAATTATGTTGCTAAAATTATCAGAACCAATATCTGTGTGGATAAGATGACCTTGTACTGAATTTGGGATAATGACATGAAAAATCACTTGTTTAAGTATCATACCTCTATTTTCTTCCAAAAAATCACTTCTTTAAGTATTATTATTTTAATTAACCCTCACTAATTTCAACACCCCCGAACAGTGAAATTTTGATCGCGAACAGTAAAATTTTATTACATAATCTGTAAGATGAAACCTTGAATTTTACAGGAAAATTACTCTCGCTGCTGGGAAAAATCTGTTAAGAAAGTATAAGTTCATTACGTAAAGCCTTAATTATAGCATTTTTTCAACAAATATAGAATTTACAGCTAAATGATTGCATCAAAGGCATAAACCTTGCTATTAAAAAGAAGAAAAAGGTTCATTTTTTCCAATTTTACTAATAATAAGATATGATCTGAACCTATATGTTTAAAATTTTGGTAAAACTACAAAATCACAATTTGTGACAAAACTTCTAATTTTCTACTTAAATAAGTGATTTTTAAATCACTTATTTCAGTAATTCCCCTGACTGATAATATGTAAGAAAGCATCCAATCAGTTAAATGTATTAAAAAGAATAGGAAAACACCTGACTAAACTCGGAAAATTAACAATATATTATTCTTTCATAATGTCCAACTTTAATTACTGCCCACTAGTTTGGCACTTTTGTGGGGAGGTTAATACAAAAAAGATAGAGAAAATTCAAGAGAGAGCACTAAGGTTTATCTATGAAGACTATTCAGCAAGTTATGAAGATCTACTCTGCAAATCAAAATTACCATCTTTAAAAATAAGAAGAATGCGATCACTGGCTATTGAAGTTTTCAAAATTATTAATAAAGATTGTCCTGTTTATCTCCATGATTTAATACACTTAAAGGAAAACACTTACTCTTTCAGATACCAGAATACAGCCGACCTACCACATGTAAGAACAACTGCATACGGCCTACAATCTTTAAGGTATGCAGGTGCTAAGCTTTGGAATGAGCTGCCAGATGTGCTACGTAAGCAATCATCTTTAAATCAATTCAAAAACTTGATAAATTCTTGGTCTGGCAGCTCATGCCAATGTTTTGCCTGCAAAACCAGTTAATTTCAGATTTTCTGTTCATTATTTTTGGTTTAATGCTTTATTTTCAGCATGGCAATTTTATTTTATTATCTTTACTATAGTGCTTCTGCTGCTTTGTGCTAGTTTTAGTAACTAACTAATCTATATGTGCTTTTAATGTGCAAACCATTTTATTTTTGATTTTGTGCCTTTATCTCACAAGTGCATGTTTCAGTGTGTGTTTAACTTGTAAGATGCTTTTAAGAACTTGTGTGCTGCATGTTTATATACTGATAAGAACTCTTGCATTATATGGTTAATTTATGTGTGCATGACTAGATTATATATGTATGTTTTGTTTTATTTGTTGCTCTGTCAGTTTTAAAAGCTCTTCAGAGATTATGTTTTTATACTTGTATTTGCACATACCGACTCTAAATAAAGCTTTATGTCTTATGTCTTATGCTGTATTAGTATCAAGGATTTGTATAGAAAGATCTTACTATCTATACAAATCCTTGTCAGTATTTCACTATTTGAGGACATTTACCAAATCACTCTACAAAATATTTCTAAAATTCCTGGGAAAACAAAATCATCTGATCCTATTCCCCATTTCCTCCCAAATGCTATTAATCCTGGCATTTTCAAGTTTCTGTTTCAGAATCCAAAAAGCAAAACAAAATCATTTCTGTTGTTTCCTAGTTAACTTTGTTAAACCCCTTCTGATTGGCTTATTTTTACATTTAAACCAATTAAATTTCTTTTCATAAAACTGTTATACCGGAACCACGTGCAGTGCCCTGATGTAAACAAAACAACATTTTCTGCAAAGTGAGATAGTAATTTTAAAATGAAATATATGCTATTTTCAATAGTTGTCACTTAATTATTTTCTGAAAACTTATTTTCATTTAAATTACTCTTCAATCTTTTAACTCTCTTTGGAAAATTTCAAACAAAAGAAAAGTATGTAAAAACACTTATTAGGCTTGGACAGAGACTTATAATATTATATAGGTAACAAGACATTTCGGCACCCAAGTCCGAAGACATTTCGGCATCCATTTTGGACAGTTCGGGATCCGGACATTTCGGGACCAAGACAATTCGGCACCTCATTTTTTTAAATATATATATTAGGAAAAATAAAAGAATTGTTACCGTAATATGTTGATAAAATATGCAATAACAAAATTTGAAATCATCATTGAATTAAATCCTAAATGATTGTGTATGAATAGTAAAACATCATTTAATTAAATCATAATTGATTGTTAGATATGACGGTGTTTGAATAAACATCATTTAATTAAAATAAAATCATAATTAATTGTAGTTATGCATTAATCAGTATTTTATGTATAAATCTGATAATTTCTCAATAGAGACAAATGAGAAATCAAAAGTGTATAGCTTGTGTTTCAGCTTGTGTTCTCATTTGATTCTTACATCTGTAAAGACAACACAATACCTGAAAACTATATTTTATTGTTTTAATATTAAAACCCATAAACATAAAAGCGCGTGCAAGCCATAATGAGTAAAAACCCAGAAACATATGTAACACTCCCAAACGTGTCCATCCCCCCAAACGTGTCCGATTCCCCCAAACGTGTCTATTCTCCCTAAACGTGTTCGTAATATTCAATATGGCCCAAACGTGTCCGATTTCAAAACCCCCAAACGTGTCCGATAATTGTTATTCGCCAAAACGTGTCCACTGTTAAACGCCATAACGTCTCACGTCTTTTAGCGCCAATACATGTATGTCCTAAATAAAATCAATAACGTTTACGGTAATTCTATGATGGGGAAACAGTTGATGAGGTATTAATTTATAAGCATTAGTTTGTTCAATGCCGGTTGTTAATGATTATCATAATTGCAAATTTAATATGTAACATATGAATTAACTTTTGACTGAATTTGCTTATTGTCCAGTTGCAAGTATTTCATGCTCATTAAGAGCGAACATACATATAATTCTAGTGCAGTATAATTAATCGTTTACTATGTAAATTATGAGTTGCTAATAAACTCTGATGATGCCTTTTATATTAATCCGAAGGCAGGCTTTCAGCAGAATTGACTTCCCTTTTTTTCAACAGTTCTGATATTTTAAAAGCTCTTCAAATCAAAAACTGGTTTTCCGGGTTTCTAATAAATTTTAGGTTTCGAGCATCACTAAAGACACACGAACAAGAGAAATAACATCCAGTGCCAAATATTTCATGCATTATTTGAACGAAATCATGTTAACAATAAATACTGTATATAAGTTCTATTATCATACCGGGAATTTAGGATTGGGCCTAAATTGTTGCGGTTATTCGGGATTAACACTAGTTGGGATTGTAATCTAAAAAAATAAGAGCGTGTGAAGACCGATTTTTTTTATGACTTCAGTTAGAAACTACTGCAATCTCCGTTATGTAATAGAGGCCGTTTTAAATAAAAGTTGCGGAAATTTAAAAAAAATGTTGCCTTCCATAATACAACTGATGGCACCATGAAAGAGTGAATTGCTACATTCTCCCTACACGAGGTATCTGATTTAATATCTACAATTAACTGAGCATGGCGGCTAATACATTTACATTGTTGAAGGCTTGCCTATAATTGCTTACATCCACTTTATTTGAACTTTGGTGGATAGTTGCCTCATTGGCAATCATACCTCATCTCCTTATTTTTATAAGGATAAAAATGATAAGCATGTTAAGATTTATCTGCCACGTAATTTTTCAAACCAATTGGACAACCCTATTTGCAGTTATTTTGGAATTATAAATTTTATGAAATATCTCTGTTTTTTTTTTTTTTTAATTATTATCTTAAATGCTGATAAAGAGAAATTTTGAACAGCAAGTTGAGATCTACAACTAAGTTAACTAAGTTATCTACAACTAAGTTAACTAAGTTAACTGACCGAAATTGTAAATTTATCCCTTATAGGAGTTATTGGCTTGAAAGGCATTTTTTTTAAATTAAATTTTCAAGTTATTTTTAAGAAAGTATAATAGATGAAGGGAAACTTTAAGTGACAAAAATGTTCAACAAAATTAGATCTACGAATAAGTTGACAAGACAGCTATCCAAATGACTAAGCTGCAATACAGTCTTCACAAATAAAAAAAACCAAAAAGAATAAGATACTTCTTCGAAGATACCATATACAATATTGACAATAATGTCATAAATAGTGCAGGAATTAAATTGGTAATTTGTAAAAACAGTCAAACATAATCGCTATATTAACACTAAACTTGTAAATTGAGTTCATACCCACATACATATATCAGTGCCAGGTAACTTTAATGTTTGGTTCACTATATTTTGATCAAGGATAAAATAATTGATTTTATCTTTATAAGGTGCCGATTTGTCTATGTTAGATGCCGATTTGTCTAGATGCCAATTTGTCTGGGTGCCTAAGTGTCTTTCCTCGGGTGCCGATTTGTCCGGATGCCGATTTGTCTGGGTGCCGAACTGTCTAGAATTCTATTATATATGTCTCTGGCTTGGATCAGCATCTCAAGAACTTACAGGTCTACACAACATAAACTATACACACAACACAAAAAGCAAATGACAGTCACAATACAAGTACATGTAACTTAATTACAAAAACAGAAGGTACAAAAACCTATCTTTCAAAAAACACTCTAAAAACACACGTGAGCAAATGGTGAGAAAAAATTATTTTTTAAAAAGTGGGGCTGGGTGGGTGGGTATTTCAAGAATTATAAATTTAAGTCGATCGACGCATCAACTTAATAAAAATTATGACCTGTTCAGAGAAAACTGATTAGAATAATGACCATACAGATATAGTGATTTGAAAGGAAAACTTTACTGAGTAGAAAAAAGTAAAATCACAAAAATACTGAACTCCGAGCAAAATTCAAAAAGGAAAGTCCCCAGTCAAATGGCAAAATAAAAAAAACAAACACATCAAACGAATGGATAACAACTGCCATATTCCTGACTTGGTACAGGCATTTTCTTGTGTAGAAAATGGTGGATTGAACCTGGTTTTAAAGCTAGCTAAACCTCTCACTTGTATGACAGTCACATCAAATTCAATTATATTGACAACGATGTGTGAACAAAACAAACAAAAACAATAGGTAAAAATGTCACAAATAGGGGTAAATAGTCTAATTTGGTAGGTCACATTCGTGAAAAGGGAACGGGATTGTAGTTACGACATAAGGAACATATCCAATATCATCTGTGAAACGGATATTCCATAAAGGTCAACCAACTCGTGATGGCGTCCGTAAAATTTACAAAGTGATGATTTCAACTTCACCATTTGGAACTCTTGGTTTAAAAATGAAAATCCACAATTGGGAAGCTGAAATCATCTCTTTTGTAGTAAAGTTTTGTTTTCAACCGACTCTCATAGTCAATTTCTAGATATAAGTCATAATCAAATGGCAAAATCAAAAGCTCAAACACATCAAACGAATGGATAACAACTGTCATATTCCTGACTTGGTACAGGCATTTTCTTATGTAGAATATGGTGGATTGAACCTGGTTTTATAGCTAGCTAAACCTCTCACTTGTATGACAGTCGCATCAAATTCCATTATATTGACAACGATGCGTGAACGAAACAAACAGACACAATAGGTAAAAATGTCAAAAATAGGGTTACAGCAGTCAACATTGTGTTATCATCTTAATCACTATAAAAACAAACAAATGTAACGAAGAAGCACAAAAAGGCATACATCAAATTTAACATCCTCATTTTGCTTATATTATACGATTTTAGAAATTACCAGTAGGACCAATTGAACTGGACAAGCCAGGTAAAATATAAAATTCACTGAACCAATGAGAAAAAAATGTATCATTCTAATCGTGCATGTGGAACTAGCACTAAGGAAAAGTAAATGCTAATAGTAATAGAAAACAAATAAAAGATAATTGAATTTTAATTATGCATTTTTAGAATAAAAATTTTACAATAGTTCTTTTATTTTTTTTAAAAAGAGCTACTAAAACAATCTTCATTATTATCGAAAAATACCCCATAAATTTATGAATGGAGATATAATATAATGTGACTGTGAACTGTGTGATAAGTGTGTTTGTGGTACGGCAGCTATAGTAGGACATCCATGTAGGGACGATAAGCTGGATAAATATAAGAACTACATGGACAATAACAGTAAGGGGTGACTATTTGATATTCTGAGGAGGGGAAGTGGGGCAGGAAGAATTTTTGCAGACTTATTATTCATTTTAATCTGTCGTTAAGCATGCCTATTTTTTCCAGCTCTTACCAGGCCACCATATTCATATTCAAAATCCTCCTGTCCCTCCACCACCTTCCCCCCAAAAAATAAGTATCAAATGGTTTTCCCCTTATTTAACAGAGTTTTAATATAGATTGATTGTCGGTTGCTTATTTTTAATGTCTAGGGAAAAAATGTTTCATGCATGTTCAAGAAAACACCAGTTTAAAAGTCGGGTATATATATAATATAGAAATAAGGAGATGTGGTATCATTTCAAATGAGGCAACTATCCACCAGATTTCAAATGATGTGGATGGTAGCAATTATATGCAACCGTACAGCCTTCAACAATGACAAAAACCCAAACTGTATTGTCGGACTAATTATATATAACAAAACAATTTACAAAAAAATCAAATATGAGTTGACAGACTTGAACCAACGACAACCACTGAACTACAGGCTCCTTACTTGGGACTGGCACATAAAGAATATGACAGGGTTAAACATGTTTGTGAACGCTGAACCCTCCCCAAAACCATTTCTTGTAAACTCGGAGAGAATTAACTCAAAGGTCGACATAAAAAACAACTAATATTAAGACAATAAGCACAAAGCACTGTGTATTTGCAGTTTCTGAAAGCTTGTCTCAAAGTATCAATCAGTACACAACCAAATGATTAAGTAGATATAAACAGTCTGAGAAATGCCAGGACCTTGTATACCTTGTTTTCGAAAATTGGTGGTCCGAAGGTTTAGTCCATCAACATTTTGCAAGGGTCGGCACAATGTTGGTATATTGCAATAGAAATAATAGTTAGGACTAGCAGATTTTCTTCAAGGACCACCAGGAAAAAAAAGAATTTGAGGACTCTGCGATATCTTTTATATACAAAAATAATCCAGTTTGGTTAGATAGACAAGATGTCCTTTTCAATCATATACCAGCATGACCAGACAAACATTGACAATTTCTTGTACAGTTTAAGTTATTAGGCCTGAAAATCAAATGGTCAGAGCTTTAACATGTTTAAGCCAGATTTAATTTTGTTTTGTTAAATTAAATGAGGAAAGCATAAAGAAAATATGTCATGAACACAGCAATTTTTTCCAACCAATTTTCTTTGTTTTTACACTTTTGACATAATTACAGCAATGCCAAAACAGATCACACTGTTCATGTCTACTGAATGAACTGATGTCACTAAATTTTCTATTAACTCATCATAAACTTCATTTATGTCATCCAACATAAAAAGTAACTGCTATATTCGATGGCAAATTGAATTTGTGTTTTATTGCTTCTTCTATAGAAGAGGTCCGATTCATTTTTTTGGACTCTACACCAGAAGACATTCTACAAATGTACAGAAGAGACCAATAAAACACGCCCCAGATGTCAATTGTCCATTTAAATCAATACTACTCACAACATTTATATGAGGGGAGCTTCTCAAACCTCTTTCCCAACTCAGTTTATTTTGGCACCTTCTACAGGAAGGAAAAAAAATTAATAGCAAAATCCAGAAAAGGAATATAATTTTCTGAAACATAAAGTGCGTTTAAAATTTAATTATCTAGTTCCTGCCATGCCTTAAATGGTTTACTTTTATAAATTTTGACTTGGATGGAGAATGTCTCATTGGCACTCATACCACATCTTCAGTACCGCCAAGTCTCACGCATTTCAGGTGAGACTCACACATTTTCATGCTAATTAGGCGGCATTTTCCTTTGATCTATTTTTTTTTCTCTTTGATCTTTACAATTTTATGCCAAATCTTACACATTTGCTTAATGAAAACTTGGCAGCCCTGCATCTTTTTATATCTACTTAAAACTTTTCAAATTGCACGAGTTTGTCTGTACTCAGAGTAAAATTTGTAGTGAAAATACGGCCATGTTAGCAAAAAGGTTATGACGAACCTTAAGATTCATCTTTACCTTTCAGCTAAAATGGCTGTGTTTAAACCTCAAAATTTACTATTTTTATGTTTCAGAGTATTAAACACCTACCTAGAATTTGAGATTTGTTATTTTAAGTCTGCAGAAAATGATTAAAAAAACCTAACACATAAGTTGAATTTGATAGAGTACACTCATTTACACAGTTTCAATCATCTATTGTTGTGCAAATATCTGTTGTCTAGTTGTCAATCAGGTTAGAGTGAAGGTTGCAAATTGGCACCTGTTAAAACGTTTAAAGGCGCTGCATTTTCATGCACCTGTCCTAAGTCAGGAGCCTGTTGTTCTGTGGTTGTCGTTTGTTGGTGTGGTTCATAGGTGTTTCTCGTTTCTCTTTTTTTTTTATATAGATTAGACCATTGGTTTTCCTGTTTGAATTGTTTTACACCATGCACAATAGTCATTTTGGGACCTTTATAGCTTGCTGTTCTGTGTGAGCCAAGGCTCCATGCTGAAGGCCGTATTTTGACCTATAATTGTTAATTTTTTATACATTGTGACTTGGAAAGAGAGTTGTCTCATTGGCACTCATACCACTTCTTCTTATTTATAATCAATACAATTCACCACAATTATCATATCTGGGGAACATCTCAAACATTTTTCCCAACTTAAGAGAAAAGGAAGGATATGGGGTATCCATCCATGACACAAAATCAGTATATGCATAGCAAAAATTACAAAAAGCAATGACACAGTGCTTTTATTGCTGTTCTTCATCTCAAAGTCACAGTGAGGCCTTCAAGTTTATTTTGGCACATTCTGCATCAACAGAAAAAAATAAATAATCGCAAATTTGAAGAACAGTTTTTATTTTTCTAAAATATGAAATGCATGTAAATTTCATATACTTAGTTCCTGCCATGCCTTATAACTTTTCCAGGTGCACAGGTTTGTCTGTTTGCAGAGTAAATTTTGTGATGAAAACACAGCCATATTTGTCAATTCCTCACATAGTGGCATGTTGCTTCCAAAGGCAGCCACCTCAACAATGTATTAGTATGTGATGAGTTCAATTTAATTGGAACCACTTGTGGTAGGTCAATGATATTAAATATGCAGTTGTATTAGCAGTGGAACATCTCATTTCCATGGAGATAATTTGGTCTAGCCTCCTCAGTAGTGATTTGGAAACTTTTGCAATGTCACATATCATTTCCATGGAGATAATTTGGTCCAGCCTCCTCAGTAGTGATTTGGAAACTTTTGCAATGTTTAAGTTTACATGTTAAAGTTTGTGATAAGTTTAATTTAAGGAGAACTGCAATTGGTAGTTCAATGATATTTGGTATGCAGTTTAATTAGTACATCCATGGAAATTATTTGGAGCCGCTCCCTCAGTCATGGACTTTAAAACAATTGCTTAGTTTAAATGTTAAAGTTTGTGATTATGTATTTCAATTTAAGATGAACAACTAATAGTAAGCCAATGATATTGGAATGCAGTTGTATTAGCAGTTACATGTCTTTATTTCAATTGAGATTGTATGGCCTTACTCTCACCATGGTTCATTGATTCTGAAACTTTTGCATAGTTTTCATGTTAAAGTTTGTGTTTAGGTCAGTTTAATGGGAACCATTTACCATAAGTTAATGGTGTTTGGTATGCAGTTGCATTGGCATTTCTCATTTCCTCAAAGATTATTTTGTGCCTTCATGGTTTATTGACTTAATATGCTTTGCATAGTTTCCTTGTATTGCATAATACTACATGTAACAAAATTACATAAGGCAAAACATAACTCTGTGTCAACAGTTTATTGTAGTTAGCTTTTACATAGAGTCAGGGGTAGAAATGTTTAGACATCAATAACTTAGTTTAACCTTTATCATGTTTATGATATGTTATGAAACTTGGACAGAAGCTTCTTCAAGATAAGGAAACAGCATGCATATGAAGAAAAAATGTTGAAACTGTTTTAATTTTCTGTATTTTACTGATAATTGATAAATGGACCTATTTTTTGGCAGTCAACATTATAGTTTTACACAGACAGCAGCAATCACAAGTGAGACGCAGGGTTCTGAGAATTCCTTTACAAATATTTCAGGAGAAAGTGGATTGTCCTTAGAAACTTAGCAAATTTTATTATTTTCTTTTCAGAGTATTTACAATGGCAAAAGCTAGCTTGACACAGCTGGAGAAAATAATCAGCTTGTTACATAAATCATCATTTGTAAAGAGAAATAGAAATAGAGGAAAGTTTAGTAGTTATACATTTGGTCCGGCAGGAGTCTTAACATCTAGAAATCTCAACCAATTATTGTTAAGTATTACTTAATCTTTAGTAGCTATACATTTGGTCCGGCAGGAGTCTTAACATCTAGAAATCTCAACCAATTATTGTTAAGTATTACTTAATCTTTAGTAGCTATACATTTGGTCCGGCAGGAGTCTTAACATCTAGAAATCTCAACCAATTATTGTTAAGTATTACTTAATCTTTAGTAGCTATACGTTTGGTGCAGCAGGAGTTTTAACATCTAGAAATCTCAACCAATTATTGTTAAGTATTACTTAATCTTTAGTAGCTATACGTTTGGTGCAGCAGGAGTTTTAACATCTAGAAATCTCACTCAATTATTGTTGAGTATCACTTAATCTTAAGTAGTTATACATTAGGTTGGGCAGGTGTCCTAACATCTGGACATTGTTTAATATAATCTAATGTTTAGTAGTGATGTGTTTGGTCCAGCTGGTGTCCTAAAATCTAGATATACTTTAATTCTTATCAAAGGTGTAAAGAACATAAACTTGATTGATTGACTGGTAATCGATTACAAATAAATATAAGAACTATAAACTAAAATACACATGATTCGCAAAACTTTGAATTATTTTCATTGTGGCATGCTAAAAATTGAAGGTTTTGATCATTTGGGTAATAACAAACATGACAAATACAAATAATCGTTGCAATGTGATTTATTTTTATTTTATTTTTACATTATTTGCAAATGTTCGTTTATGACACCAATCAATAGATAGTCGCTAATTAACATTTTTCAACATGTCACTGATTGCTTTTTTGTCAAAAGGTGTGACATGTATGATGAACCAATATATCATGAAAACAAAGATTTAGATCTGAGTATTCAAATTCTTGTGATCTGTCGAACAGCACAAAAGACTGATTTTATAAATTATGTAATTTCACCTTTAGGGTGAAAATGGAGTTTACAAATACTTTACATATCAATTCCGTGTCTTCTAGATAATTAACAGTATAATGTATAAAACTTTCAAACACCGTTAAACCTAGGAATATTTATGTGGGGTCAAAATTTTGCATCTCTTTAGCATGTTTAGGTGCCGCGAACAAAGCGAAAATTAAACACAATAAAAAAAAACCCAATATGTGCGGTACTGATTGGGAAAAATGTTACTTTTGCTGCAAAGGAAAAATGGGAAAACCATCTTTATATGACTGACATTTACTGGACAAAATACAGATTTCATGTACAAAATACATTAGAGACACAAAGCTTTACTGGTTTTAATATAAAATTATCCATATAATTTTGGGAACTGATACTCTACTTTATAAGATGAAGTAAACAATAGTAATATATGTAAATTCTGCAAAGAACCACAGACCATAGAATATTTATTTTGAAGTCTTATAGTCTTCCAGTCTTTGGCATACTCCTAACGATTTTATTTTTGAGATCACAAGTATTGAACTTCCTTTGAATATCAAAATTATATTATTTGGTAACTTCGAAAATATTGAATTGAATTTTGTTAAAAATAAGATTATTTTTCTCATAGAAGACTACATTTTATACCAAACAAAATTACAAGAAGTATTGCCAAATTAAAATACTTTAAAAAATATATTTAAAGGAAAACTTGAGCTTAGAAAAATACATTTCATTAAAAAAAACCTCTCTAAAGATGAATATAACAAATACTGCGACTAATTTCACAAAAAATCTTTTGTAGTAAGATTTTTTGTGAAGAAAGCCTCTGGTTCCCCATTATAGACTAAATAATAAATTGTGTGATTTTTATTGTTGTTTTTTGTTTTTGTTTTTGATTTTATTCAAACTCCACAAATATATCCAAGAATGGAATAAGATTCACTCTTTGGTTATTAGATATCTATTTATCATGTTTATCATGTGCTCATGTTACTATTTATGTTTAATCTAATAATATATTCCATTGTTGTTTTGATTTAAAATTTCCTTGCTGTGAATATGTTCTGTATACCTTTGTTCATACATGTTGTGCCAGTTCATTTTTTTACTAGTTATATACTTCCAGATTTCAGGCTCTTAGGAGCCTCTTGTTTAAAGATTTGTGTAGTGTATATATATATATATATATATAGAGCTGTCTAGCATCTTTGAGCCACTTTTCTGCTAACATACCTCATCATAGTTTGAATATATTTTAGATGGGACAGTCTAGTCACTTCACAGATAGATACATATCCTGTTGAGAACTCCGTCTTCATGAACACGTTAGTACATTTCATGTTTGCTACATCCATTAAAAAACCGTCATAATTACTTTGTTTATCGTAGTTATATATTTCAGGTTTTTTCTTTTCGAATTGTTACACATTTTGTCATCCTGTAGAGCTTTATAGTTTACTATAGGTATGAGTTTTGCTCATTGTTGAAGCCTGTACAGTGACATGTCATAGTTTATACATATATATCATTTGGTCCTCAGGCCATGTTTCATTGGTAATCAAACCAAATTCCTTTTTTTAAATCGTTGCTTCTAATAAACCTCTTAAGTTTAAAACCTCAAAATTTTAATTCAATTTCCTTCATAGAATTGTATGTACAAACTCCCTTCTTTATATAACTATGGTTTAAATAAAACAGAAATGCATTCCTGACATCGGACTCAGACTTTTTTTAAACTGAGTTTTACAGTACTGTGCGTATGCTGTGTGTTTGTTTATGCTATATTGGCTAGAGGTATAGGGGAGGGTTGAGATCTCACAAAACATGTTTAACCCTGCCGCATTTTTGCGTCTATCCCAAGTCAGGAGCCTCTGGCCTATGTTAATCTTGTAAGTTTTTTAATTTTAGTTCATTTATATGTTTTGGAGTTTAGTGTGACGTCCATTTTCACTGAACTAGTACACATTTTTGTTTAGGGGCCAGCTGAAGCCCGCCGGGTGTGCAGGATTTTCTCACTGTGTTGAAGACCGATTGGTGGCCTTTGGCTGTTTTCTGCTTTGGTCAGGTTGTTGTCTCTTTGACACATTCCCTATTTCAATTCTCAATTTTATGATTGACTTTCACTTGACTTTTCTTCATTGCTATGTTTTACTTACAAGAATTATTTTGTTATTACAGAGATGAATCAAAGCAACTTAGAAGTAATCTATCTCAAGGTAAATAAGAACTTATTTTAAAATGGATGACTGATTTGGCACTAATATAGGTTTATGGGGCCAAAAAATTAAAAGAAAAGTTGTACGTGTATTTGGTATTGATCATGTTATATGAATATTCTTAACAAAACCTTATATTTATTGTTATTTAATATCTGTTAAAATGTTCTTTGATGATTAAAAGTCCATTTCATCATAGAGTTAAGAGTGAGAGGAAACCATTGTCTGATAGTCAATAAAGCTTTTGTTTATAGTCAATAGTAAGTTTATATGAGTAGGCGTAGCTCAGCAATGATATACTTGCCTAACAAAATAATTTCAATCATAAATATAAAAATGTGAATGCTCCATGCTTGTGTACTATAAATGAGAATTATTTGGTGTAGCATGATACAGTTATACACATACTTTTCAAGAACAATATTCCAAAGATTTCAGAAACATTCACAATTTCATGGCTTGTGATTTCTCAGGGAAAACATACTTGATTAGGAAATATTGTCAGTGACAGTGAAATATTGTCAGGGACAGAAATTAACAGTGAAATATTGTCAATGACAGAAATTAACAGTGAAATATTGTCAATGACAGAAATTAACAGTGAAATATTGTCATTGACAGAAATTAACAGTGAAATATTGTTCTGAAGAACCTTAAAAAAATTCATAGAGAAGTACACTATTTCATCAAGAAATATTGTCCTTGACAGTATTTCATTATAAAAAATTGTCTGCAGACCATATTTTTGATGAAATTTTGTTAGACAGACAATATTTCATGGGGGACATTATTTTATGGGGGACAATATTTCATGGGGGGCATTATTTTATGGGGGACAATATTTCATGGGGGACATTATTTTATGTTACATCTGTTGTTGTCTGCTTGAAATATTGCAGTTTAAAATTTACTTAAGGTAACACGATACCGAATGACGTTACGCCACGAGTTATCGTTCCTGACGTTATCGAATAACGTTCACACATACAAGCCAATGCAGCAGGTTCTGCAATCACAAAGTGATTAAATAATAAAAAAAATATTTTTGGTAATTCATTATGTGACATTTTTAACGGTAACTTTCCCTAGATGTAGAGTGCTGAGAGTTTTGATGCAATACGTAACGGTTAACTTATTTGACATAGATTGCTTTATCGTTTTCCGGCAATTCTTCTGCTCATTGTTAACCTTTAAAAATGTATTACTTTACTTTTAAATATTGTGTTTCTTTAATATTTAAGCATCTGCACGATTTATCTTATATATGTTTTTATGCATAACAGACTGAGTTTTAACACTTTATTTTATTCTTGGTTTATTTTTGCAATAAATACTTATTCATGATGCGCGCCGTATCGCCATGAAAGTTTGTTTTGAAAGTCGAAATCTAATCTATAGACACTTGGGATGATGTGTGAAAAAACAACTATTAATTCATGTTAAAATGGTCGTCAAAAACACCGCTCGGGCAAAATGGAACAAGGAAATTTATCGGAATGAGAATACGGATAGAATTAGGCGAAAAAGCACAATATAAGCAGACTTTGATACTCATACAGAAAATAGTTTGTTAGTATGGAATGTAAAAAACGTGTTTTAACTTGCTTATTTTGCCGAATAACTTTCCCTATGTTCCAAGTGTAAACAGTCTCTGAAAATCATTGGTTTGTACAGAGTAAATCCGATATAGTTTCGGAAACATTTTAAAAATAAAGTGCTAGCTTTGTAACCCTAAAGACCAAGTCTACACAGGGCAGACAGCAACATCGGAATGAGGCCTGAGAAAGTTAACGTAGGCTGAGAAATACATGGGAACTTGATTCGGCAAAAATAAAATAAAAAAAATTCAGGTCCCGTTACAGTCTGATTAAAGCCAGCTCCAAGTATCCACTTGCGTCTATAAACGCAAGTTGATAGTTCGGGCTGGCTCTAGTCAGACTGGTTCAGTTACAATTTTTTTCTCTCGAAATTTACAAGCAAACGACTGACTAATTATTTTTCAAACGGCAGAAAGAGACTGAAATAGCTTGATCTTGAAATCATTTAGATTTTATATTCGTGTTAATTTACGCTTGCATGGGTATTCGGTGGTAGTGTGGTTTGTTTGGTGTGATTTGAGTTGGAAATAATTTACATTTACAAGTTCGGAGACAAAACAACTGAAAGAGAATAAACATGAGGCCCTGAGGGACATATTGCTCACATACTAGGCGTCAGGAAAAGCCCGAAGAGTTTCACAGTCTTAAAAGGAGTTTTTAGAACAAGTATAAAAGTATATCTATATACATGTAAAAAAGAAGTGTTTTTATTTCTTTGTGTGGATAAATATACTATATACTAGTATATATATGTACATTGTAATATAAAATGTATGTGTACGAGCTTTAGAAACACGATGAAAAGCGAGACTCGCCGACCTTTCCACTTGTTTCGTAGTGAGTACAAATACATTGAATTTTATATTTCTGACAATGTACATAATTTTTATATTTTGTTTTTATTCTACAATTTACACCCCAAGGATGACTAGGAAATAGAAATATGGTCACTCGGTCTTCTTCCGACCTGCAGTCAGAAAATGCTTCCAAAGTGGGGCGTCCATTTGGCTGTGCGGGATGTATCAAGTTTGCAGCCACGTCCGGTCAGAATGGGGACGTTAAATCTGATGCCTCGTGTAAAGAGAGTTCTACGCTCTTTGAACATTAAGAACCCTTGAAACAACTCTTTGAGAGGTCCGTAGGTGGCCTGTTGCGAAACAAAATGTCTGTCCCTATCCAATATACCCTCATTTTCCAGTGTCAGTCCAAGTTTTCTCGACCATCATCCCAGATGGTCTCTATTACAAAACCTAGCTATTGTATTTATTGTTAACTTGTTCTCGTCCTGAACGTGCATGAACTATTTGCCACTGGACATTAAGCAACCAAAAATCAATCCTATAATTTACACCCGTCACTTATAACTTTAATTGTTAAAATTTAAATCATTGCCTCTAATTTTTTCAAAGCAATCGACCGCTTGCTCATTATGGAAGTGGGGTAACATGAGACTTTATTTGTAAAAGGACAAGTACAAATAAAACAAAAAAATATATGGTACATGTTTTTTGTACAAAAGTTGGCTGTTATAATGATAAATGGAGATATGGGATATTCAATTTATAAGATAGCAACATCTGGACATTTAACGACATCAAAACCAAAGACCTCAAGAAAATTGTGACTAATGCTAATTGGACGAGTATCTTTTTATTTCTAATTTGTAGTTTTAGTAAACGTTGGTCCCCTAAATTGGAAAGTATGTGTAGTATAATTATCACAGTAACATTTCAGTCTCTTAGTACATATTTGTTAAGTCTTAAAACTTTTGTTCTTCTTGAGAAAAATCAAACCATAATGAAATAAGGAGATGCGGTAAGATTGCCAATTAATCAACTTTCCACCAAAGACAAAATGACGGAAATGGTAGCTTGCTTACATTGCTACTTCATTTTAGATCTCCAAATTACCATTCCATTATATGAACTGCATATTCAAAAATATGTTTTGTCACCAAAATTCCAATAGAGCACATATCATCATATTGTTTCACCCGTGTCCGTTCGACCGTCAATCCCGCACTTGACATATATACATAGGGTTTATACATACGGCTAATTATTTAGGACTACAGTCTTTTTGCTTCAGGTTTAAATTATTTACAAGTTAAACCACGTTTTTTACATTCCATACTAACAAACTATTTTCTGTATGAGTATCAAAGTCTGCTTATATTGTGCTTTTTCGTCTAATTCTATCCGTATTCTCATTCTGTTAGTTTTTTGTTTTTCTCCATATATAAGAACATATCCATCCATTGGAAAATCTAAAAAGGAAAGCCGAAAAAAAGCCATTTCTCCTATATACCTATGTAAATTTGTCGCCAAAATTGACGTATTCCTATCAAAATACCAAGAAAACAAAAATGGTGACCCCCATTTTTTATTACATATTCCGATGTAATTCGATTCAAAGAACACGTGTGTCAAAAAGTTTGGAAATCGGGAGATATGCCATTCGGTATCGTGTTACTACTCATATTAAAGGTACGCATGTCGTCTGGATTTTCTTTATTTTTTGTTCATGACAGGTTGCTGGATTAGGCATTTTGATAACATATAAAAGGAACGCAGTGTACAGACTCCGGCTTACATCTCCTACATGTGGAATTTCAAGCTGGAACTTTTATATTTCGCGGTTTGCCTTACTTATAAAGAATGAATATATGATCTCAAGATTTGTTTTGTAAATAATTTTCCACAAATGACAGACTGTTGAACTTTGTGAAATTTTGCATACAGTTTGCAAGGTTTGTCCGACTTGCTCAACCAACCAACTCACACATTTACACCACGTAGAGTACACTATACTAATGTATGTACCAAGTCAAGAATATGACGGCTGTTTATCATTCTTTCGATGTATTTGAGCTTATGATTTCGTCATTTGATAAGGGACTTTTAAGTTTTGAATTTTTCTTTGAGTTTTGTTATTTTATTTTTTAGAATGTGTATTTTATCAGGATCATTATTTTCCCTCATAATTTTCACAACTAACAGAATGTTTAACCTTTTTTGACTGGTGCATCAAATTTGTCTTTTATAAACAACTGTTTTCCAAATTGTATTGTATCGTCCCGAAACATGCATGAACTATTTGCCACTGAACGTTAAACAACCATCAAAAACCAAGCAATTATAAATCTGTTAACTGAATCAAATTTTTAAAGTACTCTATTTCTGCATGGATGCAGCGATGACACCACCATTGTCTTAAATGATGGAGTTAAAAACTCAGTAATTCAAATGAACCACACGTGAAATTTTTCATGTTATTTTCACGTGAACTTTACAAACATTTGGAGGTATTTTTCATGATTTTAATTAAATTTAGAATAAAGATATTATTTGAATAATCTTATTATAAAAATTTACGTGAATTCAACGTGTACCAAATTCCGTTGATTTATGCATGAACTATTATCATAAGATTCACGTGGAACCAACCAGTTCAAGCAAGTTTCAAGTATATGCTCGTTTGGTGTGAAATTCAGACGAGATTAATGTTAATTCATGTGAGTGAAATTTCCATGTGCAGGACGAAATAAATTTATATCAGTAGAATTTCATATTGCATAACTAGGAAATTTACGAAACCTGACAGGGGAAATGAAAATAAAAAAACAACATTCAGATCCTGACACATATTTTGTTTTCCATATCTCTGAGTAGGAATAACGTTATATTCTGTATTCAATAACGTCATACGTTTTCGGTCAAATTCAAGGCATATCGATCAACTTTGAAGCCATTTATCTCAAAAACAAGGATGGTGACATATGAGTTTTTTTACGTGTATGGATTCAGTATGCAATCCTGGATATTATGTTAGTTTTTTGTTTTTCTCCGTATATAAGAACATATCCATCCATTGGAAAATCTAAAAAGGAAAGCTGAAAAAAAGCCATTTCTCCTATATACCTATGTAAATTTGTCGCCAAAATTGACGTATTCCTATCAAAATACCAAGAAAACAAAAATGGTGACCCCCATTTTTTATTACATATATTCCGATGTAATTCGATTCAAAGAACACGTGTGTCAAAAAGTTTGGAAATTGGGAGATATGCCATTCGGTATCGTGTTACCTTAAGGAATGACTAATATTTTTTCTGTTTATGAAGAAATAACATCAAATATGTGGTGCACACTGAATAACCCGCGTAGCGGGTTATTTTAAAGTGTGCTCCACATTTTTTATGTTATTTAGAATAGACAGAAAAAATATTATAGTCATTTCTTATAATTTAATTCTAAATTCCATTTTAAACCGGAGTAAACCATGAAAAAACGTTGATGACGTCATGGTCACGACAAAATTATGTCTATGAGCTGATAAACAAAACAACGTCAGCCAATCAGAAGACGCGTTACATCCAAAATTAAATCATAACCATATAAACATGTGTTTATAATTCTCCATTAAACACCATGTACGGTATTTTCAGGTACATTAAAGCATTTACCAGATATACTACAACTAGTCAACTACACTTTACCTTTTGCTATAGTTCAAAGAGGACAGACTTTTCCAGCGTCTCTGGCAACACAATATGATGATAAGTTTTTATTTGAGTGAGTGTTAGATAGTAAAATTTTTAATTGAAAATATACTACATACTTTAGGGACTTCACAAGAAACTTAAGCCAGGACTAAAAAACTCATCAAAGATTCTTGGCTTATGATAAGTTTTACCTGATGCATGTTTCGTCTACACAAGATTCTTCAGTAACACTCTAATCAAATCAATTTGAAGACCAAAATAAAAAATGAAAAGCATTATTAACCATAAATTATGAATGTTTCAAAATATTGCTTAGGTCATCTATGCCTGGGGCTGGAAAATAGGTGTTTTTCACTAATTTAAAATTTATAAACAGAAAATTTATAATAATATTTTTTTATGTTATTGTGAAATCTTTGAAATGATTAAATGTTTATATACATGTATGGTGCAGTCCGGTGTATCCCCGCACCTAAGACCTTTGACTTCACTTTATTAAACTGATAAAACAAATAATCTGATAATATTGTGTGAACAAATTCATAACATACTTTTATTTAATAAAATCTTCTGTATGTATGGTTTCACCCTAAATATTTTTTGTAATTTATGATCAAAATTATGGAAACCCCTGTTTTGAGAGTTCTTCAAATGTCCGGTGACCATGCCATCTAAAAATAGCATATTTTAAGTAAAGGAAAGATTTTATGCTACGAAATATTGTTGAATTTGAACCAAATAGACTGCCAAGGATGCTGAGCAAAATTTATTGCAATCTGATAAAATTTGATATCAATGAAACACATTTTATCAGATGGTGTAATTTTTTTTAATGGAAATTGGCTAAATATGATTAATCATTAGATTGCAGTTTTAAATTTAATCTTGAACTTAACAATTTTAATCTTTTCTGTCCCTTCGGAAGACTAAAATAATTACAAGATCGATTCTATTTGTGTAATAATACTGATATGACGAAATCAGGTAATGCACGATATCACCGGACGCGCGGACACTGGGGACTCCACTGTACATGAAAAATTTATTGATAAAAACATAATCAATATATACCTTAGTAGATTTCTAATGCATACATTTACACAGGATTGACTCAATCAAATTATAAAATAAATACTGAAAAGTCCAATGTTATTAGTTTGTTTATGATCAGTAAATTTTTTTATCAAACTATCTGCAGTTCAGACAAGCATTGCTCTACAGAACTTATGTAGCCCTGGTTCAGCTCTACAGTCATTTGATCAGCCTATTTTCTTGTAGCTCCTCAGTTCAGACAAGCATTGTTCTACAGTACTTATGTAGCCCCGGTGTCATATGGTATTTTGAACCCCTTAAAAAGTGAATCAAGGCTCAAAATACCATGCGGTATAATGACCCCGGGGTCATTATACCGCATGGTATTTTGACCCCGGGGTCATTTTTCCCATATGGTATTTTGAACCCCACCATGGAAAATTGAACCCCCCTGTTTTAGATAAATAGTATTGCAGATTATCTAATTTACAATTTGTTGGCTATGACTTTTATTTAAACTGGAGCTATAGTAGGGGGTTCAATATACCATGGCAGGGGGGTCAAAATACCATGGCTAAATAAAATTTTCAAAACATCTTTTTTCAAGCAAGTAAAATACATACCAACTACTTATTGGAGTATAATTACTATGTAAAAGAGTTATAACAGCTAGAATTTTAAAATTTAAAGGTCTATAGTAGGCTAGGGGGTTCAATATACCATGGTAGGGCGGGGGGTCAAAATACCATGGCAAAGTAAAATTTTCAAAATATCTTTTCATGCATGTAAAATACATACAAACTACTTATTGGAGTATAATAACTATGTAAAGGAGTTATAATAGCTAGAATTTTTAAATTGGAGGTGTAAAAGGGGGGTTCAATATACTGATATACCATGGCAGGGGGGTCAAAATACCATGGCTAAATAAAATTTCCAAAACATCTTTTCAAGCAAATAAAATACATACCAACTACTTATAGGAGTATAATTACTATGTAAAGGAGTTATAACAGCTAGAATTTTTGAAATTAAAGGTCTATAGTAGTGGGTTCAATATACCATGGCAGGGGGGTCAAAATACCATGGCAAGGTAAAATTTTCAAAATATCTTTCCATGCATGTAAAATACATACAAACCACTTATTGGAGTATAATTACTATGTAAAGGAGTTATAACAGCTAGAATTTTTGAATTTAAAGGTCTATAGAAGGGGGTTCAATATACCATGGTAGGGGGGTCAAAATACCATGGCAAAGTAAAATTTTCTAAATATCTAATCATGCATGTAATTTTACATACAAACTACTTATTGGAGTATAGTTACTATGTAAAGTAGTTACAATATTTAGAATTTTGAATTGGAGGTGTAAAAGGGAGGGGGGGTTCAATATATCATGGCAAGGGGTCAAAATACCATGGCTAAATAAAATTTTCAAAACATCTTTTCAAGCAAGTAAAATACATACAAACAACTTATTGGAGTATAATTACTATGTAAAGGAGTTATAACAGCTATAATTTTTAAAATTAAAGGTCTATAGAAGGGGGTTCAATATACCATGGTAGGGGGGTCAAAATACCATGGCAAAGTAAAATTTTCTAAATATCTAATCATGCATGTAATTTTACATACAAACTACTTATTGAAGTATAATAACTATGAAAAGGAGTTATATTAGCTTGAATTTTGAAATTGGAGGTGTCAAAGGGGGCAGGGGGTAAAAATACCATGGCTAAATAAAATTTTCGAAACATCTTTTCAAGCAAGTAAAATACATTCAAACTACTTATTGGAATATTGAACCCCCTACTATAGACCTTTAGTTTCAAAAGTTCTGGCAATTCTAACTCTTGTATATAGTTATAATACTCCAATATGTAGTTTGTATGTATTTAACTTGATGGAAAAGATTTGAAAATTTTACTTTGCCATGGTATTTTGACCCCCCTGCCATGGTATATTAAACCACCTACTATAGACCTTTAGTTTCAAAAATTCTGGCAATTCTAACTCTTGTATATGGTAATAATACTCCAATAAATAGTTTGTATGTATTTTACTTGTTGGAAAAGATGTTTTGAAAATTTTATCTAGCCATGGTATTTTGACCCCCCTACCATAGTATATTGAACCCCCCCCCCCCTTTTTACACTTTTAATTTCAAAATTCTAGCTATTCTTACTCTGTTACATAGTAATAATACTCCAATAAGTAGTTTGTATGCATTTAACTTGCTGGAAAAGATGTTTTGAAAATTTTATTTAGCCATGGTATTTTGACTCCCCCTGCCATGGTATATTGACCCCCCTTTTACACCTCCAATTTCAAAACTTCTAGCTATTCTATCTCTGTTACTTAGTAATAACACTTCAATGAGTAGTTTGTATGTATTTAACTTCCTGGAAAAGATATTTTGAAAATTTTACTTTGCCATGGTATTTTGACCCCCCCCCCCCCCCTGCCATGGTATATTGAACCCCCTACTATAGACCTTTAATTTCAAAAATTCTAGCAATTCTAACTCTTATATATAGTTATAATACTCCAATAAGTAGTTTGTATGTATTTTACTTGCTTGAAAAGATGTTTTGAAAATTTTATCTAGCCATGGTATTTTGAACCCCTTACCTTGGTATATTGAACCCCCCCCCTTTTACACCTTTAATTTTAAAATTCTAGCTATTCTAACTCTGTTACATAGTAATAATACTCCAATAAGTAGTTTGTATGTATTTAACTTGCTTGAAAAGATGTTTTGAAAATTTTATTTAGGCATGGTATTTTGACCCCCCTGCCATGGTATATTGAACCCCCCCTTTTACATCTCCAATTTCAAAAATTCTAGCTATTCTAACTCTGTTACATAGTAATAATACTCCAATCAGTAGTTTGTATGTATCTAACTTGCTGGAAAAGATATTTTGAAAATTTTACTTTGCCATGGTATTTTGACCCCCTGCCATGGAATATTGAAACCCCTACCATAGACCTTTAATTTCTAAAGTTCTAGCAATTCTAACTCTTGTATATAGTTATAATACTCCAATAAGTAGTTTGTATGTATTTAACATGCTGGAAAAGATGTTTTGAGAGTTTTACTTTTTGAATTTAACTGAGCCATGGTAATTTGACCCCCTCCCCCTTTTTTACCATGGAAAATTAAAACTACCTGTATATATATATATATGTTTTAATTTCAAATAATTAAAGCCTTCAAGCTACATGGTCTAGTTACAATGCTTCAATAAGTATTTTGAATGAAATTTTTTTGGTAAAGACTTCAGACATGTCAGAGGACTTATACCAAGCAAAGACAATTATTTTAACCAATATGGAAAATTGACCTCCCCTTCTTGTATGAATGATTTTTAATCTATGATAAGCTTTTGAATAATGTATAATGTTCTAATAATCCTCTAGAATGAAAAAAACAGGGGGGGTTCAATTTACCATGGGGGGTCAATTTTCCATACAGGGGGGGGTGTTCAATTTACCATGGAGGGGTTCAATTTACCATAGCAGTATTTTGACCCCGTGGTCAATTTACCATGGGGGTTCAAAATACCATATGACACCAGTTCAAATCTACAGTCATTTGATCAGTCTATTTTTTTGTAGCTCCTCAGTTCAGACAAGCATTGTTCTACAGTACTTATGTAGCCCTGGTTCTACTCTACAGTCATTTGATCAGTCTATTTTATTGTAGATACCTCAGTTCAGACAAGCATTGTTCTTCAGTACTTTTGTAGCCCTGGCTTAGCTCTACAGTCATTTGATCAGTCTATTTTATTGTAGACACTCAGTTCAAACAAGCATTGTTCTACAGTACGTTTGTAGCCCTGGTTCAACTCTACAGTCATTTGATCAGTCTATTCTATTGTAGCTCCTCAGTTCAGACAAGCATTGTTCTACAGTACTTATGTAACCCTGGTTCAACTCTACAGATTTTTTATCAGACTATTTTATTGTAGCTCCTCAGTTCAGACGAGCATTGTTCTACAGTACTTATGTAACCCTGGTTCACCTCTACAGATTTTTTATCAGACTATTTTATTGTAGTTCCTCAGTTCAGACAAGCCTTGTTCTACAGTACTTTTGTAGCCCTAGTTCAGCTCTACAGTCATTTGATCAGTCTATTTTATTGTAGCTCCTCAGTTCAGACAAGCATTGTTCTACAGTACTTTTGTAGCCCTGGTTCAGCTCTACAGTCGTTTGATCATTCTATTTTATTGTAGCTCCTCAGTTCAGACAAGCATTGTTCTACAGTACTTTTGTAGCCCTGGTTCAGCTCTACAGTCATTTGATCATTCTATTTTATTGTAGTTCCTCAGTTCAGACAAGCATTGTTCTACAGTACTTTTGTAGCCCTGGTTCAGCTCTACAGTCATTTGATCAGTCTATTTTATTGTAGTTCCTCAGTTAAGACAGGCATTGTTCTACAATACTTTTGTAGCCCTGGTTCAGCTTTACAGTCGTTTGATCATTCTATTTTATTGTAGTTCCTCAGTTAAGACAAGCATTGTTCTACAGTACTTTCGAAGCCCTGGTTCAGCTCTACAGTCATTTGATCATTCTATTTTATTGTAGCTCCTCAGTTCAGACAAGCATTGTTCTACAGTACTTATGTAGCCCTTGTTCAGCTCTACAGTCATTTGATCATTCCATTTTATTGTAGTTCCTCAGTTCAGACAAGCATTGTTTTACAGTACTTTTGTAGTCCTGGTTCAGCTCTACAGTCATTTGATCATTCTATTTTATTTTAGTTCCTCAGTTCAGACAAGCATTGTTCTACAGTACTTTTGTAGGCCTGGTTCAGCTCTACAGTCATTTGATCATTCTTTTTTAGTGTAGTTCCTCAGTTAAGACAGGCATTGTTCTACAGTACTTTTGTAGCCCTGGTTCAGCTCTACAGTCATTTGATCATTCTATTTTATTGTAGTTCCTCAGTTAAGACAGGCATTGTTCTACAGTACTTTTGTAGCCCTGGTTCAGCTCTACAGTCATTTGATCATTCTATTTTATTGTAGTTCCTCAGTTAAGACAAGCATTGTTCTACAGTACTTTCGAAGCCCTGGTTCAGCTCTACAGTCATTTGATCATTCTATTTTATTGTAGTTCCTCAGTTAAGACAGGCATTGTTCTACAGTACTTTTGTAGCCCTGGTTCAGCTCTACAGTCGTTTGATCAGTGGATTCAACAGAGATTACTGTGGTGGAGAAAGGTAAATAATTATAATGCCATTATTTCAGAATCAATAGGACTGTTGGTTATATCACTAACAACATTTGACCATTTGCTGAATGTCTTTTGTTTTATTTCATTGATAACATTTGTAACAATTTGTTGTACCAGGTGTAATATTTAAAATATTACCCAGAATACATAAGATTCATTGGGATTGTGTGATGCTGAGCTTTAAAGCTTTAAATCACATGAATAATTAAAATTTTTGATTTTCTTCTGTTGGTTTACATAAAAACAAGTCTTTTATGCTTATTCAACATACATTTTTATATGATAGGAAACAAAATGCTAAATGAGCTTCAGGAAAAACTCACCTGATAAATAATGCCAATATGTGTATTGTTTTAGAGCTATTTTCCTAATGCTTGTAGTTTAATGGTTTGGTTGGCTTGCTTGCTTTGTTTGTATAAATGTTTGCTCAAGCATTGTAATTAAGATTGATATGTGAAATCAATAGATAGGCGGGGCTTCATCTTGTATACATTATTCTTTAAGATGTTATTGGATTGTTAAGTATAAAGCAGAGTATAGTATATATTAAAGTAGAAGCAAACCAAATCTTTAAACTACAAGAGTTAGGAAAATAGCTCTAAAAACTAGAATTGTTTGCAGTATGCTAGTAATCCATCACAGATTTCCTGTTCGGAGTTAGAGACTTTAGATGAAAGTACCAGTAGAGCATTCATACAGTGTCAGTTTCCATGGGGACCAGATAATGTTGAGGAAATTATCAGTAGGGGAAGTAACCCAGTCAGTAACCTTCAGGAGACTACAAAAGTAAAATTACAAGTAAGACAGGAAACTACATAACATAGCATGTGAATATAAAACAGGAAACTTAGTTAACAGATACCAGATAATAAATAAGTAAACCTCTTACTAAGAAATCGGATGATAAATCTACAGAGGTTAGACAAGCAAAAAATATTTGACAATTTCCGATCTTTCTTTTTAACCATATGTTACAATGAACTAATACACCTTTCAGTGGTATATTTAAAGCAGAGTCTAAAATATCATTACATAGTTTATTAATAAATAACATGAATAATTACATTGTTGTAAATAAATTACATGTACAAATGTATAATTACATTATTGTAAATAAATTACACTTGCAAATGTTTATTACATTGTTGTAAGTAAATTACAAGTACAAATGTATATGGGGGAGGGTTTAGCACACCAGCAAACATGTTTAACCCCACCACATTCTGTATGTGCCTGTCCCAAGTCAGGAGCCAGTAATTCAGTGGTTGTCGTTTGTTGCTGTATATCAAAACTGTTTTTCGTTCATTGTTTTGTACATAAATCAGGGTGTTAGTTTTCTCGTTTGAATTGTTTTACGTTTGTCATTTTGGGGCCTTTTATAACTGACCATGCGCTATGGGTTTTGCTCATTGTTGAAGGCCGTACAGTGACCTATAGTTGTTAACTTCTATGTCATTTGGTCTCTGGTGGGAAGTTGTATCATTGGCAATCATACCACATCTTATTTTTATAATCACATTGTTGTAAATAATATACAAACCAGAAAGCAAAATTCCAATTTTCATTGCTATTGTCTTAATTTTGATATTTTCAAAGTATCTTAACAATCAGAAACTTCACAATGAACACAGAGACTTAATTTTGGACTGAGGATGTATGAATGAAAGTAAAACTATCAGTTAGATGATAACCCAACAATATAATATTGCAAAAAAATAACATTAAAATATCATGATGTTGATTTGGTTTTCTTTCAGTGTGAAAATGGAAAGAAAAGTTACACACCACATTTGATAGAGTGTAGTACAGTATTAGAACATTGCCTGATGGCTTGTTTATGTGATGCTTATACAGAAAGTACAGCTCAAAAAGGAAAAAAATCTCCACCTACTGAGGTATATTGCTGGAACGAATCATAAAATAGTTTTACAGTGAATAATCAAAAGTTTTGAAATAGGATTGTGAATCATTTCTGTTTAATTCTGAAATGTCTGCACATTTATTTGAGGGTCAACTATGCAAGAATTATGGTCCATTGATGATTTTAGTTTTACAGTGTAATAATTGGAAATTGTAAAAGTTTAAGTTCTTATAATCCCTTTGAATTTCTTACAAGCACCAGTTATCCTGTTTAGTATGGGTAGTATGGTTAACATTATTGTGAACATTTTACCCAAGTCATTTGTTTTATATCTCCACCTTATTTGTTGTAACAACAAATTTGGGTTTGTTAAATCACCAAACATGAATAAAATCACCAAACATGAAAAAAATCACCAAACATGAATAAAATCACCAAACATGAATAATATTATCAAGCATAAAAACTTGTATGATACTTATAAACTGACTGATATAAGCTTTAAGAAGACACATATAATGTTGCTCATGTTTTTTGCACTTGTGTGACATCATACTGGATATTTCCCTGTTTTATTGGAAAAAAATATACTATTTTCAGAAACATTTTTACAAAGGGGGCCTCTTCCTATGTGATGGTAAATACAGACATGCTCCTGGAAAGGGTCACTTTTAGGATTATTCAAATATATCAATGGGGTGCAATTTCACCAATGTGATGTATCAATGGGTTATAAATTTTCATCTTCAGTTTAGAAGTTTGTTTATAAAATCATATGTACCTAATTGATATGAATGATCCTATGTTGTTATCATCTTGATCAGATGAAACTTTTATTGATACAAGTAAAATATTCCTTTTAGACCTATTTAAGTTGTCACATCTGTAACCAAAATCTTATGTTGAGACCCCTTGCGCATCCTGTTTAGCTTTTATAGCAAATGTAGAGCCAATTCTAGGTAAATAAGTTGTATTGAGAGGTTTCGTATCCATAAAAAGCATCAGTATGGCTGACCTACTTTTTTCCAAATTCACAGGTTTATGAGCTGGATTAGTTCTTTGTCGTCAAATTGTGAAAATATACTACTAGTAAATAAATAGAGCATATGTGAAATTATAACTAAAAAAACTTCTTCGAAGAAACCTTTTGATATTTAAACCAGGCTTAATTTAAGAATACATTCATAGAAAGCATATTTTAAACCTGGCAATTGCCTTACAAGCTATTCATACTCATTTGAGCCTCTTTTTAGCTCACATTGCCGGAAGGGCCAAGTGGGAATGAAACCTCACATGGCATGAATGTTCCTTATGAGGTGCTGACCAAGTGTTGTTACTTTGAAGCCGATCCATCATCCAAGATGGCCGCCAGAGGGGGGCTTTTTTTAACTTAGGACCCTAAGGGAAATACATACAAATGTCTTCTTTTAGAGAACCACTGAATGGAATGAAATAAAACATGGCATGAATGTTTCTTATGAGTTGCTGACCAAGTTTTGTAACTTTGTAGGCGATCCATCATCCAAGATGGCCGCCAGCGGGGGATTTTGTTTAACATAGGACCCTATGGACAATACATACAAATGTCTTCTTTTAGAGAACCACTGAATGGAATGAAACCAAACATGGCATAAATGTTTCTTATGAGGTGCTGACCAAGTGTTGTTACTTTGAAGCCGATCCATCATCCAAGATGGCCGCCAGAGAGGGACTTAGTTTAACAAAGCACCCTATGTGAAATACATACAAAAGTCTTCTTTTAAAGAACCACTGAATGGAATGAAACCAAACAAGGCATGAATGTTCCTAATGAGATGCTGACGAAGTGTTGTAACTTTGTAGCAAATCCATCAACCAAGATGGCTGCCAACAGGGGACTTAATTTCACAAAGGACTCTATGGGAAATATATACAAATGTCTTCTTCTAGAAAACAGCTTAATGGATTGAAACCAAACATGGTATGAATGTTTCTTTTGAGGTGGTGACCAAGTGTTGTTACTTTGTAGCTGATTTGTCATCCAAGATGGCTGCCAGCACAGGGAGTAAGTTTAACATAGGACCCTATGGGAAATACATACAAATGTTTTCTTCTACAGAACCACTGAATAGAATGAAACCAAACATGGCATGAATGTTCCTAATGAGGTGCTGACCAAGTGTTGTTACTTTGTAGCCAAACCATCATCCAAGATGGCTGCCAGCAGGGGACTTAGTTTATCATAAGACCCTATGGGAATTACATACAAATGCTTCTTCTAGAGGAGCACTGAATGAAATGAAACCAAACATGGCATAAATGTTCCTTATGAGGTGCTGATGAAGACCTTAATACATGTATCTTTATAGATTGAGATATACTGTAAACTGCAAAAATATCAAGAAAAGAAGATCTACACATAAGTCAACATGAGCAAAATTGTCAGTTGACATCTTGTTGGAGTTATTGTCCTTATAAAGTCATTTTCTACAATTTCAATGAATTTATTGGTAATTTCTGTAAACTTTACAAAAGTCTTCTACTTTTGATTAAACTACGGGGCCAATATTAAACCAAATTTGGCCTCAATCATTATTATGGTATCTGTTATGATTTTAATCTATTTTTACATGATTTCCAAAACCAGAGTAGAATCAGGTGAGCGACACAGGCTCTTGAGAGCCTCTAGTTTGTGGTCATGTGATTTATTGGATGTGTACAGTGTCAGAAAGATTCTGATTTTATTTTCAAAGACATTTTAATAAATACTTAAAAATATCACAGCTGAATATTTTCTTCCCTCAGAAATTAAACTTGCATCCAAAGATCGCACCATACAAGTTGTCTATAGTCAGTTCATCAAAATCAAGATCAAATGAAATCCAGGAAGTTGCATCATATATAAATAAAGATTTAAGGAATGCTGGGATTGATGTATTTCATGCAAAAGATTCCCTCTCAGTTGAAGATCAGTTTATAAGGTATGTTTGCTTTGTGAAATTAACAATGTTTTTATTGTATCTTTCTTCAACTAATGGTTTTTGAGTAGGAGATCCTTATGTTTATACTGGTATTCATTTATATTCATCAATGTTTACTTATTTTGTGTTATAATTCCTCTCACTATTTTTAATATGTACCACCTTTGATTGGAATTTAGTATGACGATAAATTTTCACTTCTGTACTCTCGCTCTGAACAACAAATTTATTTATTTTGTTAAAATTGCTTACTTCCGTACTCCTCACAACAAAATTATTATATTTAAATTTATCTGTGTACGGTGTTTTATTTTAATACCCATTTTGTCCCAGGTTAGAGTTGTCTTTTTGACACTATTTTTTCGTAATTTTTTGTTGTTTTTTATTACTACCTGTAACATCTATGTTATATAGGCACCTATGTTTTAAAATTGTATTTCTATTGTGTCATAGATCAAACTTATTCATTTAGTGTATGTTTACTTGTATTTGTTTAAATGTCTTTTTGATCAAGTTAAGCCATTTCAATTGATATTTTATAGTGTGTCTTTTTATGTTGTAATGTTACACTACTGTATCAGGTTAAGGTGACGGTTGTCGCCTGTTAAAAGTTTAAACACGCTGCATTTTTATGCACCTGTCCTAAGTCAGGAGCCTGTTGTTCAGTGGTTGTCGTTTGTTGATGTGGTTTATAGGTGTTTCTCGTTTCTTGTTTTTTATATAGATCATACAGTTGGTTTTCCTCTTTGAATTGTTTTACACTAGTCATTTTTGGGGCCTTGTATAGCTTGCTGTTTGGTGTGAGCCAAGGCTCCGTGTTGAAGTCTGTACTTTGACCTATAATTGTTAACTTTTTATACATTGTGACTAGGGTTGAGAGTTGTCTCATTGGCACTCATGCCACATCTTCTTATTTATATATAGTACAACCATCAAAGATTACATTGGAATTACATTTATCAATGTAGTACTAGAAATCATAGATTTAGTTGTTGATAAAACCATCAATATATTATTAAACTAAATACAAATTTCCATTAATTTGTATTAAAGTTAAAACTTTGAAATCAGGGAAACAATGTTGTTTTTTTTGCTGAAAATATGGAATTTGGAACCAATGTGTTAAAACTGTGTTTGCAGTAAGAAATATCTTAAGCTACTTGTTTTACCAAATGAGACAAAATTTTCATTTTGGCTGTGATCAAGAATGGAAAGAAGAATTATAATTAAAACAATATTTTTTTTATTAGAAATGATATGATGGGCCTGCCATACACTGCTATTCTAAGTGAAGGAACATTAGAGTCAGGAACCATTGAACTTAGAAATAAAGATACTACATTACAGGTAAAACATTGTTACTTTGTCAGGTAAGTCAGGTAGTTTGACATCAGAAATAAAGATACTACATTAAAGGTAAAACAATGTTACTCTGTCAGGTTAGTCAGGTAGTTTGACATCAGAAATAAAGATACTACATTAAAGGTAAAACATTGTTACTTTGTCAGGTAAGTCAGGTAGTTTGACCTTAGAAATAAAGATACTACATTACAGGTAAAACATTGTTACTCTGTCAGGTTAGTCAGGTAGTCTGACATCAGAAATAAAGATACTACATTAAAGGTAAAACAATGTTACTCTGCCAGGTTAGTCAGGTAGTCTGACATCAGAAATAAAGATACTACATTACAGGTAAAACATTGTTACTCTGTCAGGTTAGTCAGGTAGTTTGACCTCAGAAAGAAAGATACTACATTAAAGGGAAAACAATGTTACTCTGTCAGGTTAGTCAGGTAGTTTGACCTCAGAAATAAAGATACCACATTAAAGGTAAAACAATGTGTTTTCTGTCAGGTTAGTCAGGTAGTTTGACATCAGAAATTAAGATACTACATTAAAGGTAAAACAATGTTACTCTGTCAGGTTAGTCAGGTAGTTTGACCTCAGAAATAAAGATACTACATTAAAGGTAAAACATTGTTACTCTGTTAGGTAAGTCAGAAAGTTTGACCTCAGAAATAAAGATACCACATTAAAGGTAAAACAATGTTACTCTGTCAGGTTAGTCAGGTAGTTTGACATCAGAAATTAAGATAATACATTAAAGGTAAAACATTCTTACTCTGTCAGGTTAGTCAGGTAGTCTGACATCAGAAATAAAGATACTACATTAAAGGTAAAAAATTGTTACTTTGTCAGGTTAGTCAGGTAGTTTGACCTCAGAAATAAAGATACTACATTAAAGGTATAACATTGTTACTCTGTCAGGTTAGTCAGGTAGTCTGACATCAGACATAAAGATACTACATTAAAGGTAAAACAATGTTACTCTGTCAGGTTAGTCAGGTAGTTTGACATCAGAAATAAAGATACTACATTAAAGGGAAAACATTGTTACTCTGTCAGGTAAGTCAGGTAGTTTGACCTTAGAAATAAAGATACTACATTAAAGGTAAAAAATTGTTACTCTGTCAGGTTAGTTAGGTAGTTTGACCTCAGAAATAAAGATAATACATTAAAGGTAAAACAATGTTACTCTGTCAGGTAAGTCAGGTAGTTTGACATCAGAAATAAAGATACTACATTAAAGGTAAAACAATGTTACTCTGTCAGGTTAGTCAGGTAGTTTGACATCAGAAATAAAGATAATACATTAAAGGTAAAACAATGTTACTCTGTCAGGTTAGTCAGGTAGTTTGCCATCAGAAATAAAGATACTACATTAAAGGTAAAACAATGTTACTCTGTCAGGTTAGTCAGGTAGTTTGACATCGTAATAAAGATACTACATTAAAGGTAAAACAATGTTACTCTGCCAGGTTAGTCAGGTAGTTTGCCATCAGAAATAAAGATACTACATTAAAGGTAAAACAATGTTACTCTGTCAGGTAAGTCAGGTACTTTGACATCAGAAATAAAGATACTACATTAAAGGTAAAACAATGTTACTCTGTCAGGTTAGTTAGGTAGTTTGACCTCAGAAATAAAGATACTACATTAAAGGTAAAACAATGTTACTCTGTCAGGTTAGTCAGGTAGTCTGACATCAGAAATAAAGATACTACATTACAGGTAAAACATTGTTACTTTGTCAGGTAAGTCAGGTAGTCTGCCATCAGAAATAAAGATAATACATTAAAGGTAAAACAATGTTACTCTGTCAGGTAAGTCAGGTAGTTTGACATCAGAAATAAAGATACTACATTAAAGGTAAAACAATGTTACTCTGTCAGGTAAGTCAGGTAGTCTGACATCAGAAATAAAGATACTACATTAAAGATAAAACATTCTTACTCTGTCAGGTTAGTCAGGTAGTCTGACATCAGAAATAAAGGTACTACATTAAAGGTAAAACATTGTTACTCTGTCAGGTAAGTCAGGTAGTCTGACATCAGAAATAAAGATACTACATTAAAGGTAAAACAATGTTACTCTGTCAGGTTAGTCAGGTAGTTTGACATCAGAAATAAAGATACTACAATAAAAGGTAAAACAATGTTATTCTGTCAGGTTAGTCAGGTAGTTTGACATCAGACATAAATATACTACATTACAGGTAAAACATTGTTACTCTGTCAGGTTAGTCAGGTAGTTTGACATCAGACATAAAGATACTACATTAAAGGTAAAACAATGTTATTCTGTCAGGTTAGTCAGGTAGTTTGACATCAGAAATAAAGATACTACATTAAAGGTAAAACAATGTTACTCTGTCAGGTTAGTCAGGTAGTTTGACATCAGAAATAAAGATACTACATTAAAGGTAAAACAATGTTACTCTGTCAGGTTAGTCAGGTAGTTTGACATCAGAAATAAAGATACTACATTAAAGGTAAAACAATGTTATTCTGTCAGGTTAGTCAGGTAGTTTGACATCAGAAATAAAGATACTACATTAAAGGGAAAACATTGTTACTCTGTCAGGTAAGTCAGGTAGTCTGACCTCAGAAATAAAGATACTACATTAAAGGTAAAACATTGTTACTCTGTTATATGTCATATATAGATTCAATATTAAATATTTAAAGTTTAACTGTCGAGAGTGAAAAGATATCATATTGCTTAAGATTAAGTTGTAGAATCTGTTTCAATAATGATTTTTGGATGATAGGTGGACAAATTATTTTTTTTCTTTTCTGCTAAAGTGTGATCTTTCTATGTGACGTCTTTAGACATGGTCGCCTTTTTTGGTGATGTCACTATGGGAAATTCAGAGGAAAGATAGGAAACTTGACATCACATTTGAATTTTGACCAATGAAAAGCTGAGATCAAACTAACCATACGTTGAATAAACAAAAATAATCAAAGGGTCAGGAAAAGGATCTATCGGATAAGAATTAGTGAAATATACAAATGTATATATAGTATACCCCTTTTCTCGTCTCTGCCACCATGGCAGCTTTTCAATATACTGTCTTCAATAATAGACAAGTGTCTAGGCAATTTGTCAATTTCTAAATATCCTGAAGTCTTGAAAAATTGTTGTTAATTTCACAGAGGTCAAAGATTATAATCTTGACCTTACTTAATTGAAGAAAACACAAATCTATAATCAAATGCAGTCATAAAAGTGGTTTAGTGACCTTAAAATAGGTATTTGAAATCTGAACTCATCCCTTGATCTTTTTCAGTATAATAACAAAGGATAAAAAGAATAATATACAGTATAAAAAATTAACTCTATTACTACAGTCAACAAAAACACAAGTTTAAGAATATTCAAGAGAATGTTGTATCACATACGGCTCACAGGTACTGGAAGCAGGCTCTGTTTGCTTCATCTAAAGAAACATATGTCAAAAAATGCTCATGGATACTGGCGGCAAAATCATAAGCAGTGGAGAAAAACAAGATGTTGCACTATAATTTAAGTTAATTTGTTTACCAAATTTCAAGTAATAAATTTTGTGTGCGAGATTGTGTTTTAAAAAAAACTGAAAATAACAAATCTGTATGAACCCCAAAGATACAAGAAGCAAAATTTACAACAACAATAGTTTCATATTTATAATTTTAATAAATGTGTATATATTTTACCTTCTATTTGTTTCTTATTTCAGGAAAAAATTCACTTGACTCAGCTGAAGGAGATTATTTTAAAGAACATTGACTTCTGACAGGGGAAATCATAAAATAAACTTGTTAAAATTCAAAAGTAATCTGCACAAGTTAGAAATAATCTTTTTTGTACAGAACATTGTGATTTGAGAGACGAAGTTGTTATAACCATGTGTAATAAGAATGTCAAGGTCACATGAACTGGAATATTCTTAATGCCTGCATTTATAATTGCACTTTTGTTAAAGACACAGTAATGGTATTTATTGTTGAACTTTTGTTAAAGACACAGTAATGGTATTTATTGTTGCACTTTTGTTAAAGACACAGTTATGGTTTTTATTAATGTAATGGATAATGTAAATCAGAATTTAAAATATAAGTTTTTATTAACTTTATCAGTGGCATAGCTAGGCGGAAGCTCGGAAGCTAAGGCTTCAACATGGTTTTGTCAAAAAAATCAAACATAATAAAAAAAAAAAAGGAGCTAGAGAGAGAGAGAGTGAAGGGGAAGAGAAATGGGCGCTGTGCGGTTAAATAAAAGAATTTGTAGAAGTCAACGAGTCGATATCACTTCTCAGACTCCCCGCGTTCGTTCCCATCACCTGCGCTTTATTTCCCCTCTTTTTATAGCAGACGAATATTGTGCCTGCGGGGTGTTCTGCTAGTTACAATGCAACGCAGAATTGACAATGCCAGTGACCAATGCCATCGCTGAACGCAGTTTCAGTGTCATGCGCCGGGTTAAAACATATCTGCGTTATACGATGACATCAGAACGACTTTCGGGGCTATCTATACTTCACGCATACAAGGAAGGAGACGGTCAAGCCTATTGGCATTGATAAAGTTATTGACTGTTTTGCAACCAAAAAGGACAGGAGGCTTGCTTTTTTGGTTTAAAGTCATTGGTGAGAGAGATTGACTCTGACTCTTTTAATAATTCATATCCACACATAAGGTTTCGACTGGCTGTATCTTCAAAGTGAAATGTTTCTCGAACAATTACCCTACTGAGTTTGTATTTTTGAAATAAAACAAGACAATTTTTTTTAGTTTATTCACTGACAAACATGGCAGGAAATTTAGAATCATGTATAATGTTGTATCATAAATATTGCTCAGCTTTTGCACGATATTTGCTTAATGCAGCCAAAAGCAAGGATGAGCCATCACCTTCGTTAATTTTCATTTAGTTGCCCTGGTAAGTTGTATTCCGCTGCCCATCAATATTGCCAATGAGACAACTCTTCACAAGAGACCAATTGACACAGAAATTAACAACACGATAGATCCCCGTACGGCCTTCGACAATGAATAAAACCCATACCGCATAGTCAGCTAAAAAGGGCCCCGAAATGCCAAATGTAAAACAATTCAAACGAGAAATCTAACAGTCTGATTTATGTACAAAATAATGAAAAAAAACCATATAAGATAGACAGCAACAAACGACAACCAGTACACTAAATTACATGCTCCTGACTTGGTAAACTGAGGCACATACATGTACCGAATGTGGCGGGTTAAACTAATTTGAATGTGCCAACCCTGCCCTAACCTGGGTACCCACTATATAAAACTGAATATATTGTTTACATTTCAACTACAAACAATTTATAATGGTGAGGTTTTTATTATACTGGTCTTTGTAAATATAACTTTTTTACCCCTCAGGAATCTCCTAGTTTTTATACGACCACAAAAAAAATTTTGTGGTCGTATATTGGTATGACGTTGGCGTCGTCGTCCTCGTCGTCGTCGTCGTCGTCCGAAGACACATTAGTTTTCGCACTCTAACTTTAGTCTAAGTGAATGGATCTCGATGAAATTTTACCATAAGGTTCAATACCACAAAAGGAAGGTTGGGATTGATTTTGGGGGTTATAGAAACAGTTAAGAAATTAGGGGCCAAAAAGGGGCCAAAAATAAGCATTTTTGTAACTTCCAGACATAACTTGTGTGTAAGTGTATGGATCTCTCTGACATTGTACCACAAGGTTCCATATCACAAAGGAAATGCTGGGATTGATTTTGGGGGTAATTGCCTCCAAATTTTAGGAATTAGGGGCCAAAAGGGGCAAAAAACAAGCATTTTCTAGTTTCATGACAATAACTTGTGTGTTAGTGTATGGATCTCTCTGACATTGAATCACAAGGTTCCATATCACAAAGGGAATGCTGGGATTGATTTTGGGGTAATTCCCTCCAAATTTTAGGAATTAGGGGCCAAAAAGGGGCAAAAAACAAGCATTTTCTAGTTTCATGACAATAACTTGTGTGTTAGTGTATGGATCTCTCTGACATTGTATCACAAGGTTCCATATCACAAAGGGAATGCTGGGATTGATTTTGGGGGTAATTGCCTCAAAATTTTAGAAATTAGGGGCCAAAAAAGGGGCAAAAAACAAGCATTTTTCTAGTTTCATGACAATAACTTGTGTGTAAGAGTATGGATCTTTATGAAATTGTACTACAAGGTTCCATATCACAAAGGGAAAGCTGGAAATGAGTTTGGGGGTAATTGACCAAAAAGCTTAGGAAGAAGGGGCCTAAAAGGGGTCAAAAATAAGCATTTTTCTAGTTTCCAGACAATAACTTGTGTGTAAGTGTATGGATCTCTCTGAAATTGTACTGCAAGGTACCATACCACAAAGGGAAGGCTGGGATTGATTTTGGGGGTAATTCCCTCAAAATTTTATGAATTAGGGGCTATAAAAGGGCAAAAAAACAAGCATTTTTCTAGTTTCAGGACAATAACTTGTGTGTAAGTGTATGGATCTTTATGAAATTGTACTGCAAGGTTCCATATCACAAAGGGAAAGCTGGAAATGAGTTTGGGGGTAATTGACCAAAAAGCTTAGGAAGAAGGGGCCAAAAATAAACATTTTTCTAGTTTCCAGACAATAACTTGTGTGTAAGTGTATGGATCTCTCTGAAATTGTAATGCAAGGTACCATACCACAAAGGGAAGTCTGAGATTGATTTTGGGGGTAATTCCCTCAAAACTTTATGAATTAGGGGCCATAAAAGGGCAAAAAAACAAGCATTTTTCTAGTTTCAGGACAATATCTTGTGTGTAAGTGTATGGATCTTTATGAAATTGTACTGCAGGATTCCATATCACAAAGGGAAAGCTGGGTTTGAGTTTGGGGGTAATTGCCCTAAATGTTTAGGAATTTGGGGCCAAAAAGGGGCCAAAAAACAAGCATTTTTCAAGTTTCCAGACAATAACTTGTGTTCAAGTGTATGGATCTCTCTGAAATTGTACTGCAAGGTACCATACCACAAAGGGAAGGCTGGGATTGAGTTTGGGGGTGTTTAATCATAAGGGGGTTCAAAAAATTTGGGGGGGGGATTTTTGTTTCCTTTTTTTTCTTTGGAATTTTCCATTTTAAATTGGTTATTTCTGATTTATATATAAAAACAACTAATCATGATATGGTTTGAATAGGTAAATTAACATTTTTTAAGTTCTTAGACCACTTTCATTCTGTGTCAGAAACCTATGCTGTGTCAAATATTTAGTTACAATCCAAATTCAGTGCTGTATCAAGCTTGAATGTTGTGTCGATACTTGCCCCAACTGTTCAGGGTTCGACCTCTGCGTATCAAGCTGCGCCCCAGCGGTGCATTTTATTACAGTTTCTTTGAGGAACAATATATATTTTTTTTTAACAAAAGTATCTGACTTGTATCAAACAAAAATGCTTTTAACTACACCTTAACATTCAATATTTTCATTTAATATTTGTGGGTCTAAAACCCTAAATTCCCGGAGCTTCCGGGGGCTTCACCCCCTGAAGCCCCCTACAAGGCCTTTGCCCTGGACACAGTGGGGGCCTTGAGGGGCCCCAGATCCCCTGCCGATTTGGGCTTCACCTTCAACATTTGTCTAGCTAAGCCACTGATTATACTCATTCTGTTGCATTTCTCACAATAAGTAACAATAAAAACATCAGGATTCTTATTTTGTGAAAATATGTTATTTGCTATATATATGATTGTGTCATTTAAATGTCTGGTTACAGAAATATACATACTTGAGTTTTTCTTTAACTAATACCAGTCAAGTTACAAAACACATAATTATAGTTAGTTGTGTTATTACTATAGATTTAAAAATAGATATGGTATAATTGACAATCCAGGATAATATATAAAGATAGTGTTACTCACTGAAATCAGCCAAGTTGCTGAACAAATTTATGGCTATGCTTCTGACATACATAAGCCAAATCACAGAAAATATTTATGGCTCAGTTCAAAGATTTTATTGTTTAAATATTCAAAGGAATTGGATAAAGGCTCAGCTTATATAAATATTCATGGCTATATGATACTGACAAACATCAAACAAGTCACTGAACATTTATATGGTTATGTTACTGACTAACATCAACCGAGTCACTGAACAGTTACATGGTAATGTTACTGACTAACATCAACCGAGTCACTGAACATTGATATGGTTATGTTACTGACTAACATCAACCAAGTCACTATAAAAATATTTATGGCTTTTCTACTGACAAACATCAGCCGAATCACAGAATAATTTATAAATTTGCTACTGACTAAACATTAGCCTAGTCACAAACAAACATCAGCTAGTCACTGAACTTATTTATGGCTGTGCTACTGACTAACATCAGCCGAGTCACTTAACTTATTTATGGCTGTGCTACTAACATCAGCCGAGTCACTTATTTTATTTATGGCTGTGCTACCAACTAACATCAGCCGAGTCACTTAACTTATTTATGGCTGTGCTACTGACTAACATCAGCCGAGTCACTTAACTTATTTATGGCTGTGCTACTAACATCAGCCGAGTCACTTAACTTATTTAAGGCTGTGCTACCGACTAACATCAGCCGAGTCACTTAACTTGTTTATGGCTGTGCTACTGACTACCACCAGCCGAGTCACTTAACTTATTTATGGCTGTGCTACTGACTACCATCAGCCCAGGTTCAGAATATATTTATGGCTATGCTACTGACTGCCATCAACCAAGTCACAGAACATATCAATGGCTATGCTTCTGACAAACATAAGTCAGGTCACAGAACATACTTATGGCTATGCTACTGACTAACTTGAGCCAAGTCACAGAACTTATTTATGGCTATGCTATTGACTGCCATCAACCAATTCACAGAACATATTTATAGCAATGCTTCTGACAAACATAAGTCAAGTCACAGAACATACTTATGGCTATGCTACTGACTAACTTGAGCCAAGTCACAGAACTTATTTATGGCTATGCTACTGACTTACTTGAGCCAAGTCACTGAAAATATTTAAGGCTATGCTTCTGACAAACATCAGCACAGTTACATAATATATTTATGAATACTGGTATGCTATTGACTAACAAAAGCCAAGTCACAGAACACATATGGCTTTACTACAGACAAGCATAAGCCCAGTTCAAAAACATATTTATGGCTATGCTACTGACTGCAATCAGCCAAGTAACAGAACATATTTATGGCTATGATACTCACTGCCATCAGCCCAGTTATTGAACATATTTATAGCTATGTTACTGACTAACCAGCCCAGTTTAAGAAAATAATTATGGCTATGTTACTGGCTGCTATCAGCCCAGTTATAGAACATATTTATGGCTGTGCTACTGACTAACATCAGCCCAGTCACTAAACATATTTAAGGCTATGCTACTGACTAACATCAGCCTAGACACAGAACATATTTATGGCTTTGCTTCTGACTAACATCAGCCCAGTTATAGAACATATAAATGGCTTTTCTTCTGACTAACATCAGCCAAGTCACTGATCATATTTATGTATGTGCTACTGACAAAAATCAGCCCAGTCACAGAATAATTTTATAGCTTTGCTAGGGACTAAATTAGCCAAGTCACTGAACATATCTAGGGCTATGCTACTGGCTAACATAAACCAAGTTTATTGACATATTTAGGGCTATGCTATTAACTTATATCAGCACATTCATTGAACATAATCATGACTATGCTACTGACTAACATAGGCCAAGTCACTGATCATATTTATGGCTGTGCTACTGACTAACATTAGCCAAGTCACTGAACAGATTTATGGCTATGCTTCTGACAAACATCAGCCAAGTCACAGAACATAGTTATGGCTATGCTTCTGACAAACATCAGCCTAGTCACTGAACATATTTATGGCTATGCTACTGACTAACATAAGACAAGTCACTGAACATATTCATGACTAAGCTACTGACTAAAATTAGCCAAGTCACAACATATTTATGGCTATGCTAGTGACTAACATTAGCCAAGTCACTGAACATATTTATGGATGTGCTACTGACTAACATTAGCCAAGTCACTGAACATATTTATGGCTATGCTTCTGATAAACATCAGCCAAGTCACAGAATTTAGTTATGGCTATGCTACTGACTAACATTAGCAAAATCACTTGGCATAGTTATGGCTATAATGCTGACAAACAGCCAAGGCATAGAAAATATATATATGAAAATATCAGCCCAGTTACAAAACATATCTATGACTTCTTTGCCGACTATAACATTATCCCAGATAGTTAACATAATTATGACTTTTTTACTCGAGTAAAATAAACCCAGCTTCTGAACATATTATAACATGGCTGCTGACTAACATTAGCTCAGTTACAGAACATGTTTATGACTTTGCTACCGACTCACATCAGCTCAGTTACAGACCACGTTTATAACTTTGCTACTGACTTACATCAGCACAGTTACAGAACATGTTTATGACTTTGCTACTGACTCACATCATCTCAGTTACAGACCACGTTTATGACTTTGCTACTGACTCACATCAGCTCAGTAACAGAACATGTTTATGACTTTGCTACTGACTCACATCAGCTCAGTTACAGAACATGTTTATGACTTTGCTACTGACTCACATCAGCTCAGTTACAGAACATGTTAATGGCTTTGCTACTGACTCACATCAGCACATTTACAGAACATGTTTATGACTTTGCTACTGACTCACATCAGCTCAGTTACAGACCACGTTTATGACTTTGCTACTGACTCACATCAGCTCAGTTACAGACCACGTTTATGACTTTGCTACTGACTCAAATCAGCTCAGTTACAGAACATGTTTATGACTTTGCTACTGACTCACATCAGCTCAGTTACAGACCACGTTTATGACTTTGCTACTAACTCACATCAGCTCAGTTATAGACCACGTTTATGACTTTGCTACTGACTCACATCAGCTCAGTTACAGACCACGTTTATGACTTTGCTACTGACTCACATCAGCTCAGTAACAGAACATGTTTATGACTTTGCTACTGACTCACATCAGCTCAGTTACAGAACATGTTTATGACTTTGCTACTGACTCACATCAGCTCAGTTACAGACCACGTTTATGACTTTGCTACTGACTCACATCAGCTCAGTTACAGACCACGTTTATGACTTTGCTACTGACTCACATCAGCTCAGTTACAGAACATGTTTATGACTTTGCTACTGACTCACATCAGCTCAGTTACAGACCACGTTTATGACTTTGCTACTGACTCACATCAGCTCAGTTACAGAACACGTTTATGACTTTGCTACTGACTCACATCAGCTCAGTTACAGAACACGTTTATGGCTTTGCTACTGACTCACATCAGCTCAGTTACAGAACACGTTTATGGCTTTGCTACTGACTCACATCAGCTCAGTTACTGACCACGTTTATGACTTTGCTACTGACTCACATCAGCACAGTTACAGAACACGTTTATGACTTTGCTACTGACTCACATCAGCTCAGTTACAGAACACGTTTATGACTATGCTACTGACTCACATCAGCTCAGTTACAGACCACGTTTATGACTTTGCTACTGACTCACATCAGCTCAGTTACAGACCACGTTTATGACTTTGCTACTGACTAACATCAGCTCAGTAACAGAACATGTTTATGACTTTGCTACTGACTCACATCAGCTCAGTTACAGACCACGTTTATGGTTTTATGTTACTGACTTACATACACCCAGTTTAAGAACATGTTATGGCTATGATTTCGACTCATATAAGTCAAGAAATAGAACATATTCATGACGTTGTTACTGACTAACGTTGGCCTAGTTTCTGCACATTTTTATGGCTATGCTACTGACTTACATCAACCAAGTCACAGACCATATTTATGACTCGCTACTGAAAGACCAAAGGAAAACGGTGTGAGCAATAACAGATCATCTTTTGTCCTTCAATATTGAGCAAAAATCATTATAGTAACCAATAAAAGATCTATGAATGACAAAATGTGGAACATTTCATGATCAAAAACCAACGTCCCGATCCATACTACAACGATAAACAAAAATAAACTGTAAATTAATGCAATACAACATTCAACGATTCCTGGCTTCGGAAGGCATATAGAGTGTTTTATTGTTATAAGTTGCTTTTATTGAATTTTTTTGGAGGGTAAAGTTTTAGTAGTAAGACCCGTCATCGCTTGGTCGGGGGAAAGGGTAAGAAAATGCTCACATTAATGTTTGCCGGTAAAACATTACAGTATACGCTAGTGGTACATCAGTTGACAATTGATAGTTATACCCCCGCTTTAAAAAAGTGGAGGCATACTGTTTTACCTCTGTCTGTCCGTCCATCCGTCAGTCCGTCCGTCCGTCCCATGAATATTTTCGTCGCATCTTTCTCAGGAACTACATTACAAAGATTTCTGAAATTTGGTTTCAGGGTTTATATAAGTCAGCTATACTGTGTGATGCGTTTTCAGATTCATCACTCAACAACTTCCTGTTTATCGAACACTTTTATCATTTTACACATGATAGCTAAGTTGAAAATTTTCGTCACATTTTTCTCAGGAACTACAATACAAGGATTTCTGAAATTTGGTTTCAGGGCTTATATAAGTCAGTTATACCGTGTGATGCGTTTTCAGATTCATCACTCAACAACTTCCTGTTTACCGAAATCTTTGGGCGGGGGTATCATCAGTGAGCAGTAGCTCGCAGTTTCA